TGATATAAATTATCTGATCACGTCCTGACAAGAACAACTCGGCAAATCATCCTTTAATTAACTTTGATTGTTGGCGAAAAAGAATGCAAAAGCCTATTTATGACACTTCTAGGAACGATAAATCGACTGAGAAGTGTTATGACATAAATCTTCGTAATACCCTCAAGTATTTTCATGACTTTAATTTACTAATATAGAATTTTTCCGGAACAAAACGATACTTTACACTTCAATTCGAGCAGATTTTATTTTCGCACAAAACAAATTTATCCGACTTTTTTTATGTCACGTTTTCAAACATTAATTATGCATGAATATTCCACAACAACACATTTTTCTTTTCTTTTCACAAAACTATGATGAATGAGTACGTTCTAATCATAAATTTGACATCAAACGTTACCTTATTAGCAATCGAACTCGCTTCTCCAATACTCTCTTCAATGTAAACCCGTTCTTCTTCGCTGATCTTCGGGTGAATAGCTGGCCGTTCATAAGACGAATGCCACCAATACACAGACCAGATAATTCCAACCAGACCTTTACAAATAAGCATGTTTTTCTTTAGAAAATCCTTTTCTGCATTACATGACATACCGTAAAAATAGAATGCCACCTGCCAATTAAAGTACTCAGTTAGAATTCCAGACAGCGGAATGCCAAGTACAGCTCCTGCATACGAACCTTGACGAATGAAGAACATGGATGAGAAGAGATAGAAAATCGATGAGTATCGAACAAACCGGTGAACGAGATTGTTGCCAAAGTACTTCGTTCTAATGGTGGTGCCCACCATCGCCATATGCCATGTGCTGCTGGGTATGTTACACCCTGAATAAGAACAGAAAATCCTTTTAACAAAATGAAATGTCAATCTATATTCTTTTACTTCAACAAGTCCCTGGAGAATTCGAAGAATCATCACTAGACCATAATGAACTTTGGCAGCAGATGGAATGAATAGATTGAGGAATGAAGATATTCCAAGTGCAAATCCGAATACACTACATACACGCGAATGTAACGAACAAAGAGAACAGAACGAACTTTCTTCTTACTGGTTCGCAGGAAATTTTGCTGCTAAGTATCCACCGGGTACTTGCGTAATCAGATAACCCCAAAAGAACGAGCTATCAACAATGCCGATAATTCCTGGTGTCCAATCAAATTGAGCAAGCTAGGACGAGAAGATTTCGGTCGGATTTGCTTTTCTAGATGTAGAACGTCTTTACTTTGATAACTTTGAGGGTTCCATTAGGCAATCTTTCTGTTTCATTATGTGTCATGGCCACAACACTAACCCCCATGTTGCAACGAATGCCGAACGAGATGAGAAAACCTAAGGAACTGAGAAATGCGGTTTGATACCGTACAGGCATTGTTCGAATGGAATCAATAATTCGAAAACGCGATGGAATATAGGAGCCGTATTTTGACGATGTCGCCGGGATGGTTTTGATACGTCGACGACCTGTTCCATCGTCATCGTCAACTAATTCAGCATAGTCGGATTGTGCATCAGGATTACGACGTTTTAGGAAACTTCAAAACAAGAACATATGTTCAATTCTGAACAAATTTCTCTTCTATTATTCTAGTTTGTTAACACAGAATGCAATCTGACGGTTTTCACTCATTAGCACGAGTAATTTGCTTATCTATCAACAGGGAGATAGCGGGTAAGGACAGAAAAATGATTAATATAATGGTAGTGTTCATTTTATTTATATCACGATAACCTGCGAGAAATATGCGTTCGAGAAAAAAACTATAATATAGAATCATTGCACACCTGACTTACTTACTAGCGGAATATTATGAAGAACTAAACCAGATTAGGAAATTTAAGCAACAACTTGTACAAACTGTACCGCGAGTGAGGGAATGAAGTTTCATCATCTAGTCGTTGGTGTTTTAAGCGAAGGTTCATTTCATCAATAGTAATTCATTTATGAACGGAAATATGAAAACCTTTGAAAATCTTTCGGCTTTTCTGCATGTCTTACTCAAATCACCTTCCTTTTGGGTTTCCTTCCGACTATTAGCTATATCATTTACCGAGTAGGACACGAGTTATCCATTAAATATTAAAAAACCCGACAGCGCTTTTGCATTGTCAATCCATTATTAATAGGAGAAGAGAATCTTTTCTCCTTATCGATAGATTTCCTTCCTATCAATTCAGCCGAATTTATTCTCACTACTAGTACGAACAGATCTTATTAAAAGTTTAATTAATTATATATTTGTTCCATTTCTCATCGAGACACAAACAAAATGCACTGAACGACTAATCCAAGACTTGGATAGAACGAGTGTTTTTGCCATTGAAAACCAACTTCTACTCATCTTTTTCTTTTGTTTGTGAATAAGCAGAGATTAATGGAAAGAAAACATTCCTGACTTCGTGCTCATATCGATACACAAAAGCAGCTATGAAGAAAAAATCTTTCATACCCATTGATTTTGTCTAACACATTTTGTGTTGTAGTTCGAGCAATAGTAGTAAAATAAAAAACGTATTCCATAGTGATTTGTCGTTTTAATAATAAAAATACTAATCAATCACTTGTATTCAATACCATAACTATTGACGGCACATGTGCATGTTACTATTTTCGTTCAATATCCATTGGATTTAAACAGATAATACTGGGATGGTGCTGAACGAGAAAAGTAACATTCTTGTTTCTCCTTGCTTGTTCTTCACTCTTCTTCTGCTTCTCTCTCTCTCTCTCTCTTTTTTAATAATGTGTTCACCACAGCTTGAGGAAAACGTTTTCTGTCGTAGGGAAAAAAGAATTTCTAAGTAATTGATTTCGTCAAGTGACTTATACGTGCACGTCTGCAACTTTATATTAATAATGTAGTTCTTCCAGTTGCACCGTTTCTAGAAAGAGAAAACAACTGACAGTAATCCTAATCTTTCTATATATTCATGTCTACCTGTAATTAACACTTAACAAAGCTCATATTGAAATTTGCTCGTATTTTCTAAGGAGGAAAAGCTAATGAAAAAAGGCGTTATGGACAATGTTCAATGATAAAACTGCGAGGAAAGAGAAAGAGAGATGAGAGGAAATCCTCTTTCTTTCCTCTCTCTCTCTTTCTCCCTCTCCCTCTCTCTCTCTTTTGAAATCCTTTTTTTTCATTAATAAAATCTACCAATAAACATCAACTAGAGTTTTTGTTTGCAACGTCTATTAATCAATCATATGAATATCATGAAAATTTGAATAGACAAGTTATTGCAACAGACTCCGTTTGCACCTAACACGGTTCTAATTCTTTCCGAGTATCACCACATTCTGGAGAATAAGTTTTCAAGACAAGTTCGGAAGTTTACAATTTTATTTTCGAACATTAGCTAAATAGTTTTCTCAAATCAAAATCATGCAATGTAACACCGATCGAGCACTCGTATTCTTACCTGAATGAGAACGAGGTCTGAAGTATCTTTTCGCCTAGCGACTATTCAATCTTCTTTGATGGACTTTTCTTCTCTTCTAATTTTATTTTCTTCAATAGAATTATGCCATTGTCGATTAAGATATTTCTTTTCGTTCGTCGGTTTCCGCTTGTTGTTATTTAGTCAATGAGTACATGAACATAACAACAAAAAAAAGGCTTTATGAAGAATGACAAGCGTTACGAGCTATATTCATTATAAATAACAATAATGCTTACTGAGTATTCCACTTAACAAGAAATCGAGATGATGTGTCGAACTATTGAAAGAACTTGAAAGGCTAGTACACTGTTTTTTTTTTCTGTAACAACTGCCGATTGGTTCGTTGCAATGACTTTACTATTGAAATTTTTCTCGAAGCGAAACACGGCAAGTTCATTTCGATCTGTGATCAGACGGAAATGCTTATTTATTTTCGGTATAATTACATCCGTTTTTTGCTCTTTACTTTCTCAAATGTAATCAGTAAATCTGATGTTGTATTTCTTTTCCTATTTCATGATTTTGACGGGAGCAGAAAACTGCATACAACCTTGAAGAACTTGTAGACTTCAGTGTTCAATTTATTTTCCTATTGCGTGTGCAACTGACATGATAACACGGAGCGAAACCAATTACCAGCTTGCATGTCTTCTTTGCGGTAGTGGGCCTTACCTTTAGGGCTTCTTTTCTATTTTACTTGACGCATTAAAAATCTTTCATACTGTTCCACATCAATCTCAAACATACCTTTCATATCAAATATATCTAATCATACTAATTGGAAAATGCATATTCACTAACAGGATATATGCCCTTCGGCGAAAGGAATTATTTCAGCTTCAATTACAAACATCGACAGGTGATTAGAAAAGAAAATTTACAAAACAAACGTTCATTCTTCGTTACATTGAATTGAGCGATAGAAAAACACGAGCTGATCGATTGTATTTGACTATAAGAACGTACTCTCCTACATTAACAACCAAACGAACAGGATCGGGCTGACTTTTCTCCCTTTTCATCTTCACGCGACAACATTCTTCAATCCAATAAACCGCTCTTTGAATACATACGAAGACTATATAATAATCGGTAGAAAACCCCTATTGATTGATGTACGTCAGAGTCGCCAATCCAATGAGACAAAGAACAAATTGTGTTTTGCACATACATATGGTCACTCTGTCGATAGATGAGGACATCTGTATGAAAAAAGTTTCGAATTAAGAGAAATTAACGGTGATTGTTGATTGTAATGAATTATATCGAAATAAAACAGTAGAAAATGATCAATGGAAAATTTCTTTTCTGTATCACAATACCACCATAGATTCGTCCTTATGGATTGGCCTCCTCGCTTTCTCTTGAAGTTTCTCTAAGGACAATATTTACTTTTTTTTCTCGTCTTATTCTCCTTATTTCATTTGTTCGACGTAATTTTTTCCATATAAGAACATTATTCTTTTATTTCAGATATTGATTCATTTTCTTTCACCAACCGAAAGAACTTCCGAACTTTGATCATTCATTCAAAACGAAATTGCTGAGAATGCCTTCCGTTACTGATATTCAACAACAACAACCATTAACAGCATCAAATACTCATGGAAAATCAACACCACCACCGACAACTACAGCGGATTCAACAAATGCCGATCCTATCACTCAAGTACTCAGCGTTCTAGAGAAGAAACAACGAAATCTTGGAAAACGAAAGGTATGATAGAGTTGCGTCGATGTCAAGTAGAAAGAGACATTTGGGATTTTTCCCAGTGATGCGCAAACGATGACTTCTGTTGTTATTTTCAGGAGAAATTGGAAGCATTTGAGAAGTGCGAAAAATCTGGTAAAGAACTTCATAAAGACCAAAAAGACGCGTTAGCCAAATTACCGGAAGTGCTTGGTCAAATGGAATGTGTCAAAGAACTCAGCGAACAAATCAAAAAGATTCAAACCGAAGTAAGAGATCGTTCATGGGTTTCTTTCGAAATTTCTATTCGGCAACTTTTAGTTTATGAAATATCAAAAAAATCTTTTGAAACAAGCCACAGCTGAGAAACGTTCATTAGTCTCTCAACGTTTACGAGAATATGCTCAACTTCGGTATCTTCTCGACCACCGGCCAACAACATTGAAACCTGAAGAATCGACGCTTTTAGATGAACTATCGACAGTAATCAATCCAGCGGATAGTTCATTAAATTCAATATCTCGTTCAATCGATACAGTTCTATCGATCTATCAGGGGGGATCGTCGGCAACATCCGTGAAAAACCTTCAGGGAAGAAATGTTCACGACGTCCGAGCAATTCTTGAACGTTTAATTCAAACAAGTGAACCACAAGTATCGTCATCTGACAAGACCTCGGAACAAGTCCAAACCAAAGAATCCGATGAAACAAACGAGACCAATACCGAGACCGACAATGTTCATTCGATCGCAACTAATAATTTCAATGAATATCCATTTCAACTTGATACGCGAACTCAAGACGTGTCTGTGGAACAAATTATTCAAAATAGTCAGTTTCTTTCTAATGATTTAACTAATCCAAGTCAAGATAATGATGATGATCAAACTCATGATCCAAACCAATATTCACAACCATCGACTGGTATTGATTTAAGTGAGTTCTTGACGAGCTTTCCTTTTACATTGGCCAACTCGGATGTTTAGATCAACAAACTTCTTCACTATCGTCTTTGGATAATCAACAACAAGATAATGTCACAAATCTCGTCGATGCACATGATCAACAAGGTGACGAGCAGTGGCAACAACAACAACGTGGAAATGCTCAGCGAGGTGGACAGTTTCCTAACGGAGGTGGAAACCGAGCCTATCATCGTGGTCGATCGAATAATTATCATCAACAATGGAGAGGATCACGTAAGAATGACTTACCGAATATCTCAATCAGGCATCATTCGTTCTGTTGAAGGTGGTGGTGGTGGTGGATATGACAACTCATACGGTAATCCCAACCAACGATCCTATTATGATAACAATAACCGTGGCCGTGGTGGTTCAAACCAAAATTATCGAGGTAAAACAAAGGATTTTCTTAATGAATTCAATTATTCATCTATGTGATACAGGTAATCGTGGTGGTAATTACCGTGGCGGCAATCGCGGTTATAACAATAACGGTAATGGATATCAAAACCCTGCTCAGTATCACCCAACCAATAATCAACCACAACAAGTTCGTTCAGCACCACCAAACTCAACTCATCCTCACCAACATCCTCAACAACAACACCAACAACAATGATTTAGTTATTAATGTTCGTTTTCTTTCTTTTTCTTTCACGTTTTCTCTCTCTCTCTTTCTTCCCGTTAAATAACAATTTATCCACAATGATATTTTCTTGTTTGTTGTGTTTATCTCGTTACAAAAAAGGTTTCTATATCGGATGGTGAAATATCTTTGTTTTTTTTTTCTACCATGTTTTTTTTGGGTCATGTGTGTGATGTTCACGTTTGGATGATTACAAAAAAAAGAAAACAAATTCATGCATTGTACCCTGCTTTTGCAAACAGATTAAAAAAATTTTCAATTGACAACCTTTGACACAAACATACTTGTTTTCTTCGAATGAGAAAAGAATACTATCATGCAAGATGTTGCGAACGAAGGAAATTTACAAGAAAATGCAATAAAAAGGAATCTGCCCCGGGTGAGGATCGAACTCACGACCTTCAGATTATGAGACTGACGCTCTACCGACTGAGCCACCAAGGCGAGTTTCTACTTGTTATACCAACGAGTTATTCGTATATAATGGATAGAAAAGCCAGTAAATAAAACGTTTTTTTAAGTTTACGATGTATATACATGATTAAATGTGGTTTTATCAATTGATTTTCATTCGTTTCGGATTAAATTCCATGTCGAGTTTTTCTCTCTCCAATCTATACTATCATTTGTCGGTAATGAATGAAACAGTCGAAAGCGATTGTATTGTTACTTAAACCACTGGATTATTTCGTCAAGAGACCGCACAATTCCTGCACAAAATTTTGACATGAGTCTCAGTAGGAAATGGACATTTTTATCATTTCATTCAGTCTTGGGCGATATGGATGGTACACTGATGAAGTCTTTTCTTACATTCACAAATAGATTTACACATTGGTAATGAATAGAAGTAATAGCGTATTCTGTTATAGAACGCATATCACCGTCAACAAAACGTTTCTTTTGTTGTGTTCAGACTGAATTTTGAAAGGATTTCTACACTAGTTGAAAGTTTTCAATAGGGTTTGTTGTTCGAGAAAAAAAATTTAAATCCATCTAATTGATGAAGATTGACTTGGAAAAAATCTTTCAGATGTTTACCATCTCTGTTAGGTTCATATCCAATTATTTTCACATGCATAAGTAATGTCAGCAGTTGAAAGTAAAGATTCGATTTGAAGACCATCGAAATGCACTTTTTCTGTTGTAAATGAATTTATTTGACTTACGAAGTAGGGGCAAGCAAGATAAGAGTTCACATGTGTCATTTAAACGAAGTTGAACACTGATGAACATGATAGTCAATTTCCTAATCTATCTGACTCTACAGTATGCATATTTTCCTGAGTTAAGGTCGATGAAATATTATTTGTTGTTGTTTTTTTTAAGTTTTAACGAAAATCAAGTTATGCTACTGATCTCGATTCGTTCATGAATACCTTGAAAAAAAAATCGATCGACAAAGAACGTGTAAATTTGCTTTTGAAGCATTCTGGAAATCTAATTTTCATCGATCGCGTGTAATGACAACAAGTAGATTGAATGCAAAAATAATAGTTTCCGTGTCCAGATTACCGAAGATACGATAAAGTTTTTCAATTGATAATGCTTCCATTTATAATAACTGTGTTTATATGACTTCACCTATGATAACATTTGTTTGAAGGTGAAAGCCTTTTTTTTACTGACATCACTGATTTTTTTCCCTTCCACACATACATATAGGGGGAAAACGAATGACGAAGAGGGAAATTTTTGTATTGATATCTTGCAAAGAAATGGGCTTTTTACACACTCACACCCTCACCCTACATTCTCGCCCAGTTTCATGTGAGGAAGATTGATGAACTAATTAACCACTGGTAACGCCTGATATACACTTTCTTCTCAAACACAGTCCATTTTTTCAGCACGTGGGTTCACGTTTCAATTGGATTTGCGCAATAATCAAATTAGCCTGTCATTTGTCAGTATCGCGCAGTGCATCATCAAGGTGTTCGATTGAATTTTGCGCTAACCAAATAATGACTATCTATCGAGAAAAATAACATCATGCATGACGTCCATTTTCGATATCGTCGGAAAGTGTTTGGATAAACATTCACCTCTCTTAGATATAATATTTTAATGTCGCCGTGAACTTTAATTGACGACACGTTATCTATTCGAAAGCAAACATTATCAGTTGTAATATAGATATTGGAGCCAATAGATACGAAAAACATTTCAACCAAAATCTAGCTTTCATTTTTCGGTTGCAAAAAGACATTAGCACCCAGTCCAAATAATTTGAGCTGAATCAAGTAGTACAATCAGCCTCCAAGGAATTTGCTACGCAAATAAATCGTAGAAATGACTATGATTCATTCGAAGTATTTTTTCCAAGGAATGGAATGACTTTGTTTATTAAAATTGCAACATCTTATGCATGTCTGATTCATTATTGTTTGTTTCGATCGGTAGCAACTACCAACTTCAAAGTAAATTTGCATGTTATGTACTTATACTTACTAACTAATAAAAGTTGGCAACTCGTTGGAGAAAGTTGTATGAAAGAAAGAAACTGTAGGTGACTCCGAGTAACGATATGACGTAATGCAAACGACGAAAAATGATTCTCGAGACGATAGTGCGTACTTATAAAACTTCGAAAGTTTTCTGAGAAAATATTGTTGTTTTGTTCGACTATTGAGAAATGAGTTTCTCGCAATAAAGGAAATGTTTCGGTTGATCGGAGACATCAATTACATTGATAATTGATCAAATTGTCGTTCGAGTTATGCATCACTTCCTTATTTGATACGCTTACAATCGATAAGAATAGTTTTGCTTCATTTTCTTTTCTTTACTAAACCATTGCTTGGTGTTTATTCCGTTGCGAATATTGAATAGGATGGTATTTGTACTAAAATCTAATGGCAGTGTTATATTCTGGTGCTCCACACTGTTTTGTTTTTCAAATTCACTCAAAATAAAGATAATTTTTCTCGTTTCTCTCAATTTTTCACACAGAACAAAGGTGAATCGACCCCCCCCCCCCCCCTCCCCCCTATATATCGTTGAATCCATATTATTTATCATGTTTTCAATTTTTACAACGAACTGTAAATGTAGTGTTCGCTACAAAGTTGCGCTTATACTTACTACCAATATTGTCATTTATGTGCAGACACTTTCCATTAATGTTGACTACGAAAAGAATCACGTCCTTGCATACTCACGAGGGAAGGTCACCAACTTTAAAATTGCTTTGGAGCCAGAATTTAGTGCTCTGAAGGTAATCGATCATGCTGAATCCGACTATCGTGGCCGTAACGGCTGATGCTACTCTGAAGACCGAGTTTTTGAAAGCCAGGATTCCAGAAAACCGAGGTATTTTATGAATGTTCTTGTTTATTAGCTCAGTTTGTAGAGCACATCGAATTGTCCACAGAAAAATGATTGCTTCTATTTCGTATTGTTTTTTTATAAGACATATAGCCATACAAATCCATATGGGTGATGCACATCGTAGCATTTTTATATAAAAACATAAGAGATTATTGAGTTTTCCTGGAGGGTGCTCTTGCAAGCAAGCAGTGCTTGCTGATTCATGGACAATTCGATGTGCTCTACAAACACAGCTAATAAACAAGAACATTCATAAAATACCTCAGTTTTCTGGATCCCTGGCTTTCAAAAACTCGGTCTTCAGAGTAGCATCAGCCGTTACGACCACGATATTCGGATTCAGCATAATCGATTACTTTCAGAGTATTAAATTCTGACACAAAAGCGATGTTGAAGTTGGTTACCTTTGCTCGTTCGATGACAACTTTTGCGTTCCTGCTCTATACATACAGCGCAGAAGAAATAAAAAGGAAAAATCCAACTGCTTTCTTATTTAAAGTGTGTCGTTGACACATAACAAGGATGAAACGCCAGTAGATCGCGTGGGACACACAAGATAAAATTGTAACTTTTCTTTACACAAGTAAGTGTAGTTTTACTCTATTAGGATCATTTGTAAATATCTCGACTTCATTTTTTATTTATTTTTCGTGGTGATGCTCCATTCATGAGTCATCATCTAATAGCCAATTGGTTTCTTTCTCAAATGAGTATAGTAGTTTCGTAATCAAAGACATGTCTCTTAGGAAAAAGCAGATACTCGAATGCTATTCTAGAAGAATGTCAATAATTAACATTTTAGTAGAAAATCCGTCGACTACTCAGTATGTTTTGTTTTTGTTTTCTTTTTTATATAGAAAAATTGTCCAATAGAAAATTCAACGTGATTTTTTTCAAATCTTCGTGATTTTGAGCAAAGGAAGAATCCTAATCAGTCAGTACACACTTAATCAAAGGTAAAAGCTGTTGCACAGGTAACGAACAAGAGTCATTTGAAACCAACAATCAGATAAAGTTAATAAAAGATCGCGCAGTTAATTCTTTCCATTGTGTGACTCACTGGTATGCTATTCCTTATTTTAGATACTAAGAACATGGCAATATGCGAATTGTTTTGGAATGAGACGTTGCTAGAGAAGTTATTGTGTATACAATGTCATTTTACCCTTTTCCCTCCCATGCAGTTCATGTGTTGTGGAGCTAGGATTTGTGAAAATTGTTCAAAAAAGTATTATCTATTTTTATGCTTTTAATTGCTGAATGTAAAGCTCGATTTGAATTTCTATTTTACAGATTAAATCAATCTACGCAATGCCCATTCTGTTCAGAATCTGGAATATGTGATGTAAAAACGATATTAACACAATCTACGATTTCATTCGCCTTACTATTGTTCATTCAATATTTAGGTAAAACCGGACAAAGGTCACGAGCGTGAACTGAGAAGGATGGAAATATCTTGTCCAAGATGCAATGAAAACTTTTCTGGCCGCTTCCCTGAACTGATTGTACGTGATGGACTATTGAAATTCTTCTTTTTTCTTCAAGATCAAATCATGGCTTTATGTTAGATTCATTTAGACAAGCACCGTGACTTGCCTTGTCCTAACTGCGCTGAAAAGTTTGTTTTTCCGCAGGAATTGGACAGTCATCAGTATAATACGTGCGAACATCGTGTGGTGGAGTGTCCGCTAAGTTTTCTTGGATGTGACAAAAAGGTGAGAATGAATACGAACGTTTGTTTAGTGAAAGACAAAGTAATCTTTGTGTTTTTAAGGTGCCTCACAAATATATTGACAAGCATCACCTGAATAATTGGCATCAACGGTATTTGTTAAACTTCGTACACGCGATACTTTCACCATCATCATTAAACAAGATTTTATCAACAGATTCCAAAAATACCGAACAGACGTTTGAACAAACATTACGGGAATATTTAGAAAAGATAAATCCTTTGATTGAAGACGCGGACCAATCCATGAGGAATTGCAGCCAATTGAGTTCGAAAAGGCAAGACATAGAAACAAAGATTAACGGTATACGAACACAGTCTGTTGCTATTAAAGAATCATCCGAAAATAACGTCAAATTAATGGAAAGTATTTATCAAATCATAGCCAATATGACTGAAATTTTAAACAAAATGAAATCTCAACCGATAGGCGGTCCGAGATTATTAGACATAGACGGAACTTACATCTGGAAGGTGAAACTGTCCGACTTGACAAGCAGTCAACAGACCTTACAATCTGAAGTATTTCTCACTTCTAAAAGTGGATACAAATTAGTACTTCAATGTGAAATTTATGAGAATAAATCGACAAGTACGAGCTATATTTCAGTAGCCGTTGCAATCCTTCGTGGAGATTACGATGCTATTCTCAGTTGGCCGATGCTTTATCCAATCACACTGACGATAGTTGATTTATCCGGAAAGAGAAGTGATATTTCATATCCAATCCATATGGATCCGTATATGCTACCACTTCAAAGACCAATGAATGATTCGAATCCTCCATGCAAAGTGGAGCAGTTTTATCCTTTGGAAAAAATAACGAAAAATAATAGTTATTACGTACAAAACAATGCAATGTTTATTCGAGCACATCTTGATTTCGTGGGAGGAAGTCTTGACTCAATATCAAACGGAGAACAGCAGAAGCTTCCTAATTACGATTCTGCTCGAAATAAAATTGCATCTTAATTACAAGCAGACTGACAATTGATTGCATGGATGAAAACATGGATAAACGGTTTATACATCTTTTTCACCTTCGATCTACCAGATTTTTCTTAATAATATGAAGCCATCCTGATTTGATATTCAAGAGCCGTTTATTATAAACTTCTTATAAATGTTTAAGCTTCACTGTTGGAAGTTTATTGTCCAATTTAGAGCGATAATAATTCTACTTGTAAATTCTGCGACAAAAGAAAAAATATAAAAATTTGGAAAAAACCGACATGACACATTTGTTCTTCCCTTTGTGAACCAATTATAAATAATTTCCAACTTGGAATAATTACGAAAGAAACGTAATAGGTTTTCACATACGAAGAGAATATCAATGATTGGATTTCAACCGTTTTGATAACATAGTATTTCATGAAAAGAACTCGAAAGAAAGTGGAATCATTTATTTATATAAAAAAAACGCATAAACAAAGAACCCCGTATTCCGTATCAGCACTGAGGATTCAAAAAAAGAAGTAGAGAAAGATCACGGACAACTAAATATGTAGAATTGTTCTTTCTGACAGTTGAAGGATTGACTTAATGTCACAGAAAATGTTCTATTTTGTTGGTTCTCATTAGACAAAATCAATATTCACATTTGCATCGCATTACAGTGTTCGTGACTTCTCACATAAACATCTTTCCATGTACTCATAAACGTTTGTTAAAAAGAGAGAAAGAAACGAAGTATTGACACTAAAAACCGGTGTTTCTATTTGATCAAACAAAGTTTGTCAAGACAAAAGAAGAAACGAGTTGCTTGAACTAATAAAATGATCATATAGTTAATGTTTAAAACGAGAAAAACTCGACAACAGGCCAAAGCACAAACCATTGTAATCTGACAACATTATTGAAACAATCATGAACAAACAAAAAAATTCACTCAATCACTCGTTAATATCTTCGTATGATACATTACTGTGGCTAGATACAATTCCCCTATCCCGATCGATACAAAATTTGGAAGCAGATTTCGCTGATGGTTTATTAGTTGCTGAAATCATTGCATACTTCTACCCTGAATATGTCGACTTCGGCATATTCCATATCGCTCGGAATATGTCGGAACGAGTGAAAAATTGGCGCTTACTGAATTCGAAAGTATTACCGAAAATCGACTTTCATACACCGGGCACAATCGTTCACGATATCATCAACGAAGATCATCGTACCATTGAACTGTTCCTCGCACGTTTACGAGAAAAACTTGAAGAACACGCATTCCGTACGGGTAGGAAATCGCGTGTATCATGGGAAACCTGGCGTTCTCTATCGACGGAACGATATCGTCTACCACAAATAATCGTCACGCCAAGACAAAAGGCTGCTCTCGTGCCTAGTTACGGATCGCTTGTCCGAAACGGAAAACTAATCGATTCATATATCGATGATAACGAAGAGATTCTAATGAACAAGGAAGAAGAAATTGAGATCTTACGCGCAAAATTGAAACGTTGTGAGAAAGTTATTCACACCCAGGATAAACGGATACAAGAATTAGAAGATAAGATTGAAAAACTGAGACTCAAATAACTTTTTTTCTCTGTATTGATAAACAAAAAAAAATAAATCACCTTATATTTTCTCCTTCTTATGCATGACGTGTACTGTTCAATGTCACATTCCTTATCTTATCGCTATGACCCGAGCGTACTTTTCGTACAGTCGAAACAAGGCGATACAGTCATATATAAATAGCGAAGAAGAACGCAAGAACACTATCACTGATTGAGAAGAAAACAATGAGCATAATATCAATTATTCTGATCTGTATTCTCATATGTCTTGTGTGCTATGCAGTTTATCAACGGTTTTGCTACTTTGCAAATCGCTCGATTCCTTATCCGCCAATACCATCAATATTTCTCGGACATCTACCTATTCTCTGGTCAGTCATATCACATGCTGAACAACTTCGTCAATGGACACGACAATACGGCTCGGTCTACGGTCTATTCGAAGGTATACGACCGATGTATGTCACGTCAGATGTTGCATTTATCGAAGAAATCTTTGTGAAACAATTCCACCGTTTTCCTATTCGACGTCTAACATTAGTCAATCGTTCAATAGGACACAAACTTTCCAATGTATTTTCCGCTGGTTTGTTGTCTGTATGGAGACGACAGCGCCGAATCCTGACACCAACATTTACTGGAGCAAAAATGCGTCGATTATTACCTACAGTGGATACGTGTGTCAATCTTTTCATGGATAAACTAAACACGGTGCCCAGTGGTTCGATATTTAATATCTATGAATTATACAAACGTTTGACAATGGATGTTATTTGTATGTCACGCATTTCTGTTGGTTAACGCACTAATTACGTTTCTTTAGGTCGATGTGCATTTGGCATCGATACCGATGTACAAAATGATATGGAGAATCAGAATATCTACATGAAAAAAGTAGCGGAAATGTTTGCGAAAAATGCTGAACTTACGCTATTAGCTCGAATGCATCGTGTGACGTCGCATACGGTATTCGGAGATATATGTGTGTTGTTATTCAAACTGAAACGATTGATCACAGTAAACGATTCACAACTTCAAGCAAATGTTTGGTTATTGGAACACATGAACGAATTCGTTCAGCAGAGATTCGATAAAACCCAAACACTTGAGCCAACCAGCGATCTTCTTCAACTGATGATGAATGCTGTTCATTCCGATAAAGTTCGTACTACTGAGTTTCTCCTTCCTCACTCATTCACTCACTTGAATATGTAGGATGTGTTAACACCAACGGAATTATTAAGCAACGTGTTTGTCGTTCTCGCAGCAGGCTTTGAAACCACATCAACAGCATTAGCTTACTGCACGTATTGTCTTGCTTTGTATCAAGATATTCAAGAGAAATTGTATCAAGAACTTGTTGAACATTGGCGTCCTGATGAGACGAATACTTACGATATCATTTCATCTAAATTGACGTTTATGGATTTATTCGTACGAGAAGTTCTACGAATGTATCCGCCCGTTCCTCAAGTTGTCCAGCGTCAATGTACCGAAAATACACATGTTGCTGGGCATGACATTCAAAAAGGTCTGCATTTGGTATAACCAAAGAAATCAAAGCAAGAGACTTTTCTTTTTCAGGAACTCTGATACAAATTGATGTTCTTTCTGTACATTATGATCAAGAGCTATGGGGTCCTGAACCGGTAAATGAATTTCATCCCGAACGACATTTGCAGAAACGACATCCAGTTGCTTTTCTTCCATTCGGTGCTGGACCAAGAACATGCATTGGAATGCGATTTGCATTAAGTAAGTTCGATGTTAATATAGAAAGTTTTTACTCTATGACGTGTTTAAAATAGTGGAAGTCAAATTATGTTTGGCTCAATTGATCAGCACCTATCGTATTCTGCCATCGTCATTTGAAGACTACAAGTTAAATATAACCGAGCAAATCTCAATGACACCTGATAATGTTTATATCAAAGTGGAAAAACGAATCACATCTTCGTCTCAATGACGACCGTCATCGTATTGCTTGTTGTTTTGAACATTAGAATATAATTAGTATCTTCATAAAAACGTATTTTCAATTTATTCTGTAAATTGATTAATAAACGTAGATTATTCTCCCTCCTTTAGTTTACAAATAAAAATTAGTAAAACAGCTTAGTTAGAGCTTTTAATCTTCCAATTGACGCTTTTTGAGCGCATCAGTGAAACGCTTTTTACGTCGATTATTTTTACCACTCATAACGAGTGGTGCTGCATGAACATTGCTTGCATCTTTAATATTCGCTATCAAATCGCTTAGATCATATGTCGGAATATTGATGCTCGTCTTCGAGAATAAGTTGGAAAAGAAGGATTTCACTTTGTCATAGGCCGATTTGATGTTATTCTTTAAATCTGTTAGAAAACTATCAGATTTCTCCAAGCTGGCTGTCAGAGTTGAGGTGAAGAGTCGAAATCGTTTTCCTTGTGCGACTTCATTTGAGATTTCTTGTGCGACAACGTCCGCTGGATTAATCACGAAAAGACGATCAAAACTATCATTGCCAATCTCTTGACGAAGATCATTGAAAAAATGTTCAGTTGCATTGATTGCAAATTCAACCGCTTGATAACTGAAAAANATGAAATCATCAGATTTCTTCACACTAGCCGTGATATATGGTGTGAAGAATCGAAATCGTTTTCCTTGTGCGACTTCATTCGAGATTTCTTGTGCGACAGCGTCCGCTGGATTAATCACGAAAAGACGATCAAAACTATCATTGCCAATCTCTTGACGAAGATCATTGAAAAAATGTTCAGTTGCATTGATTGCAAATTCAACCGCTTGATAACTGAAAAACAAAACACCACATTGCACCGCACCATCTTCACTCAAAAACTCTCTCTTACTGAAGACTTGCATGTGGTGAAAAGAGTAAACTGTTCGAATCTTTATTGATTCCACCGATGGCTGGTACATTTGCCGAATCATCCGAAACAGAACCATGTGAACATTTACCAACATTAGCTGGTTTATTCAGTGGTTGACCATTTTCACCTGTCTGATTGAACAAGTAGCCACTTGTGAGTATTCGTTGGCTATTGATAGCAGCTAAAATGTTATTAGTACAATCATAATACACCAGTGGACATTTTCTTATCGTAATTTGTTGCCAAAGAGACTAACATTAGAAGATGACAGTGCATGACAAAGATCAAGTATTTCCATTACTTACACATTTTTGTGTTTTCTTAGTACAACCCGTATCAGAGCATGTTGCTTGATTTGGTGCAGCAACTTGTCCAACAGTTTCGTTTCGTCCGATCAAAGTGTTCACATCAGTGTTACCCATTTCTACCCAGTTAGAATGTGAATAGAAATCTTGCAGGGTATGAAGTAACTGTCCTGTCTTTTGTCGCGCATCAGTTAGATCACTATCAGCAGTGCGTGAGTCATTTACAACTGAAAGAAATCTGTAAATGAAATGCATGCAAAAGACTCATTATTACCTTTTTGTCTGAGTAGGATGATACGGCGACTACCATTGTTAAAAGTTTCACTATCGAAATGTGCAGGTGATAATTTTTTCGTATCTGGATCAAGGTCCACCAAAGCATTGTGTGTCATCACCAAATCCAGTGTGAATTTCAAAGGAAGTGAATAGAACTCGACTTGTGCATCGCTATATTCAGGATGTGCAAGTTTGTAGAGGTCATCAATAGTATGCTGCTTAGTGAAGTAATCTTGTTGATTGACAGTACCATTGTTGTTATTATTGGGAGCAATGCGTGTTTCATAGAAGAACCGGGCAAGACTACGAATGAAAGCGATTTGTGTGATTTCTGTATGTGTGATACCTACAGTTAATTAGAAACAAAAGAATTAATGCTGAAGACTAGGTAGTAATATCATGATGTGTACTAACTATCACCACTGAGAGCACCATCGGCAATTACCGGTTGCGGAATGAATGCATTGGCAAACGATATACAAATGGTCAGATACAATAACCAGTAAATATTGGAATTCAACATCATCAACGAATATCTTCAAAAATCAAAATGTAAACTCGATGTACACTGATTGTCCTCGTTCTAGAATCTCCCGTATTTATATCACAAACACCATTGTATGACGTCAATATTATGATTGAGAATGACGCTCTATTTTGTCATCCACCTATTCAAACGATTAATTCAATCATACAAATTTTGGTAAAAGTTACGTGGCGAAATGTTTTCATATACTCTCGCACTCGAAAATCCTGATCGATGAGAGCGTAGTGAAGCGCATTTGTCCTTGAGGTTTATTTCTTATTCTATATGACTTTTGTGACGACGTTTGTCTTACTTATCATATCAAAAGATCGCAATTACTCTTGAGCGATTAATCAGTCATTCTTCGGTATAGTACTATTCTTTCGAAAAATATTCTCTCGTAATAGCATATTTATGTAATTTTCATATGCTTGACAAAAGTTTCCAAGTTCAGTTGGTTCAAGATTCTATTCGGCAGATTGTTCGTTGGATGCAAACAACGACGCATATATAATTATGAGCGGAAAATGTTTAAGAACTTGTATATCTATTTGAAAACTCACTACTTGCCTTTTTAATTCACCTGTCTCAATGAGAATACAACGATCATATATTTCAATTGAGTAGTCATTTCTACCAAGATACGTGTCTAGTAAAGTTTTCTATATATAACACTATAAATATATATATATCTCAAGCATGAACTAGAGGGCGCCACTGACTAATTACTGTTTTTAATAATAATACATTCAATTGAAAGTAATTGTATGCTTTTTATTGTTAAATAAGTTAAACTGAAAATTCGATCGTATAAAAATTGATCTGATGTTGACAATTGGTCGAAGTGTTCGCCGATAGTAATCAACCATGAATCATTGATCGTTCTAAATTCTATTCGCAGATCTTCTATAGTTTTCTTATTTCGAAATCTGTTTGTTGCCTGAATAATTTGTTGATATATTTCTAGAAAAGAATGTCAGCGAACGATCGATTAACTCGGAGTTTACCTCATTTGCAAAACTTAATCAAACGAGATCCCGATGCTTATCGAGAAGACGTAAGATAGCATCGAAAAATTCCTCTCATATTGATTCAATCGTTTTAGTTCAAACTACAATATCTCCATTTCGAAAGTCAATTTAAGGAATTAGCGGCTAAACCCGATGCATGGAACAAGTCTTTAGCAGATAACATCTCCTTTGTTTCACAAGTATTTTCCATCTTTGATCAAATTTCACAACTTGAAATTCAAATTTAGGTCGCTCATTGTTATCGAGAAGAATGCAAAGAATTATCACAAATGTTTATGGATGCTCTCCGACTTTATTCGACTGTCCTTCACAACGATATTCGACTCGTATGTATCAGCGTTGTCTAGAGAGGATCTTTATTATGTTTTTCTGGTCATTTGAAGGTAATCGTTCGCGCATTGATCTTGATGCGTAACCGTGGTTTAATTGAATGTCTTCAATTATGTGAATTGTTCTTTCTCCGTTTATTACAATGTCAAGATCGTCTTCTACGTGTTACAATTCAATCACACATTATCAACGATATAAAAAAACAAAATGAAAAGCACAAAAATCACAAATTAAACAGTGTAAGTTTGATTTTCTCTTCGTTTCGACCTTCTTTTATATTCGATCTCATTTTAGACATTACAAAATTTTATGTGTACTATCATCAAAGAAAGTAATGCAACTGCTGTGAAAATGGCTCTCGTAAGTTTGTGAATAACCCGACAAGTGAGATTGGATTTGATACATTTTATTCAGGATATTATGGTTGATTTGTATCGCAAGAATATTTGGAATGATACGAAAACAGTTAATATCATCGCTTCGACATGTTTCTCGAAAATAACTAAAGTTTGTTCGCATTGAATATCAGTCGAATGGAAGTTGTATTTTGTATAGGTTCAAGTAGCAGCGTTGAACTTTTTTCTCGGCAACAATCAGAGTAAAGATGATGATAAAGATTCTGACTCCGATGATGTAAGTTGATGGGTAATGTTTTGGATCATAGGAATTGTTAATTTTTAGGATAATTTAACAAGAAAAGATATTTTACTTGGTCATCGTGTTGGAAAGAAGTCAGCTAAGCGACAGAAGAAAACCGAACGAGCGTTGAAAGCACTTGAAGTACGTTTTCGAACGACTGAATCGAAATATATTCATCTCCTTTCGTATTAGAAACAAAAAAAGAAAAAGAAGGTTGAAGTGTATGATTTCTCTGCACTTCATCTCTTTTACGATGCGCAAGGTAAACTAAATCTTAGCGAGAAAACGTTTTATTCAATCACGGATCAATTTAGATTTCGCCGAACGTCTGTTTCGTCAGTTAGAATCTTCGAATGAACGTTTCGAAGTGAAATTACTTCATCAAGATTTGATTTCTCGTCTCATTGGCCTTCATCAACTACTTCTCTTGAATTTCTATCCATACTTACAGCGATATCTTCAACCGCATCAACGTCAAGTGACGAAAATTCTCCTTTTTGTCGCTCAAGCATCACACGAACTTGTCCCGCCAGATATTTTACAGAGTATCTGCAGAACTATCGCAAATAATTTCATTACCGAGCGAAACTCCGGTGAAGTCATGGCTGTCGGGTTCGTAGAAAGTAAAATTTGAACGAATTTCAATTCGTTTGTGTTTAGTATGAACACCATCCGTGAAGTTTGTGCCAAGTGCTATTTAGCAATGGATGAAGATCTTTTACACGACCTTTCGAAATACAAATCCTATAGAGACAAGTCGGTTTCGGCATCTGCTCGATCCTTGATTCAAGTTTTTCGCGAGAAAAATCCGCACCTCCTCGAACGAAAAGATCGAGGCAAACCGACGGAATTTCAACGCGATCTTGTTCCATTAGCATACGGGCAAGTCAACCCGAAATCTTATCTGGAAGGTGCTGAAACACTTGAAGATGGTACTCAAGAAAAAGACGAACAATCCGATGATGAAAATGAAGACCAAAGCGATGAAGAAGGCTGGATGGAAGTATCACACTCAGAAGACGAGGACGAAGTTGAAGAAGAGCAAGAACAGGAAGGTGATCAAGAAGAAAATAAGGTATGAACAAGGAATTTCATTGAATGTACAAAGAATTTTCTTTAGATGGAAACACCGATGACAGAAGAGGAACGTCGTGAACGTGCGACGTCCATCAGTACACAACGTATATTGACTCAACGTGATTTTGAACAGCTGAAAGTTCTTGAAGTGAAAAAACGACTCCAAGATCGACGACGAAATCGGCTTGAACAGTCGATGTCGACAAGCAAAAAACGTAAAACTATATCTATCGACACCGATTCCGATTCCGACGATGAAAATCGAGCAAAAGCCGGCCAAAAGTATGTTTATTCACGAACTTCAAATTAACACTGATGTGTATATTTAGCTCGGAATTGATCTCATTGAGAGACATCGAACGAGTTCATAAGAAGCGCGCACATGATAAAGAATCTCGTTTGGAAACTGTTCTTGTAAGTAGCGACCATCGGTACTAATTGTCTACGCGTGCTATTTTCGAATCTTGTAGGCTGGTCGAGAAGGACGTGAGAAATTTGGTAAATGGAAGAAGGAGAAAGGTCGAGTAGGTTCGACAAATAAAGAAAAATTGAAGAACAAAAACTTCCAAATGCTTAAACCCAAATTACGCAAGAAACAAAAACGATCGTTTCGTGATAAACAGGTTCGATTGACACACAACACTCTAGCAAACCAACTGATATATCCTTTTTTATTCTAGATCGCTCTGCGAGATTCATTATTGAAAGACAAACGTCTCCGATAATTGTTTTCTTGTTTTTCTCGAATAAAATAAATCCTTGTTGACTGTTGACGAACAAACTTTTCCATCGAATCATCTTAGATTATTGTCTACCATGATTTTCGACGTCATCACAAGTCTAGCTTTGTCTTTTGCATTGTGGCTAAAATAGAACGTCTGTTTTTAGTCAAAGCTCAGCAAATCGGATCAATTCATCCTTTTCTCCGAATCCGCCGTCTTCTCTTTGTTTATACAGAAGAATTTAATACCGAATAAAACCAAGCATCAGGTTTCATTCAGCTGTTAATCAATGACAGGTTTAATTCGATTATTTCCATGCCGAGTTAGTTGATGATTTGATGACGTAGAAGATTTCGCTTCGATAACAAATTGTAATGAACTTCCTTCGTTTTTCTTGCACAATCATCATCGCCAAAGGTTTACTCTATTTCCTGAAGATAATAATGTGCTTAAATGAGTGGAGATGAAAACAGAATGATCTGTCTTTTGGCAAGAAATGGCCTTTTCTTTCTATTTTTCTGCGTGATTACAAGTTGCACCTGTTTTCACCGATTGGTTGCGTGTCATTCGAACAGCTTTGCGAATATTCATTTCTTTTGTTCGACGCGATCGCTTTCTATTGACGCGTTTTAACACCAAGTCTAAGAACTACGTTGTTTATTGTTTTTCTTCTGTCATCGTTATTGAAAAATCAGGAAGCAATAAAAGGTAATTAGAACTCATTCTTATGTAGTGAACCCATTCATTTACTTTTCTTTAGAAGCGAGGAAATTAGACATTCAGTTTTTATAACTAAATGCTACGTTTTGAAAGCGGATTTCTTCTTCTTCTTCTTCTTCTTCTTCTTTTTCTTCTACTTTTTTTCTAAAAATACTCGACATATATTCGACAAGATTACAGACTCCGCGTGTAATCTTATCAGTTATATCGAGAGCGAGTTTTCCCGGTAGAAATCTAATCTGACACTTCGAAGTTTCTTCCTCACCCTCATGTAACAGGTAAAAATCAAGTGAACTTCATGTTTTATTTGTTATAGACATAGTGAACATACTGGCAAATGTTTTCTGAATGGAAACTGATAATAACACTTGTCTGTTTTCAATGGAGAATCAATATTTATTATATAGTCGAACGAGAGGTTGACTTCATTTGTGAACACAGTGCAGCTAAGAACTTTACGGTCCATAGTATGAATATTTCCTAGAGAATGTTAATAATTGATGAGCAGGAAGCGAAGTATTTGGATAATCGACGTTATTGAGAGATTCACCAGAGAATCAAAGGTCAATGTTATCATTTGATATCATCTCTTGAGAGGAAGCCACGCCATTACACATGAAAAGAAACAAACTAGCAATTGTTTTTCTTGTATTTCAGGTAGAAATACTCTTTAAACGTGCGTGAGATTAATAGAAAATGTATGCGAATTATCAAACATCTATTGTCGCTATTATGAACTCGATGCACTAGTTTTTCTACTTAGCTCACTGACAAACTACAATGAAAGAAAAGCAGAAAAACAAGAATGGAATGCATCAGGCTACCGTAGGTGGTAAGATATCATAATAATCTTAACCTGTTTCTCATTAATGAATCCAACACATTCAAGTTACTCGACGTACATTTTTATCAGTAGACAACATTCCCAAGACCTATTTTCCGTCTCATATCTGTTATATAACTGAATACAGGTAAGTTCAAAGAGAATATGATTTATTAATAAGAAAAGCTTTTTTTTGAAATATATTCAATAGATATGTTAATATCAAGAATTTCTATGCTGAATTATTCAGCTTGGAATATATGGATCAACGAAATGAGATACGCTAGGAGAATGGATTAAAGAGAGTAAAAAAGAGAAATGTAGATTTTCTATGTAAAGTATGTCGGAAGAGAGATATGAAGAATGTCACCAGAGGCTAATTGAATGGAAAAGAAGAAAATCTGTTTGTGATTATGCCGGTCGATGAAAATTAAACCATTCTTCTCGTCTTCAGATAAATCTTTAACGATTAAAATCATGAATAAGACAGACAATAACCTAATGTTTTCAATGCATATCAATGTTAATCATATATTAACATTCTTATTTGTTATAATTGCAATTGTTGGCATATTGGGAAACCTTCTCGTGATTATCTCGGTCGAATTCGATGCTCGAATGAGAAGATCATTAACAAACCAACTGATTGTTCGCGTGGCATCTTGTGATTTTCTCATTCTTGTTTTCAATATTCCCGATTTAGTCCAATTTGTCTCATCACCAGATGGAAATTGGGTTCTTAATCAATTGGCATGCAAACTCATTCGAACAACGCTTGTTTTAGCACAATATGCATCGGTGTTAACCATGTGTGCACTAACAATCGAAAGGTATTTGTCTAATCAACTTTTTTTTCCTCCTTCGAATGTGTTTCTTCTTTGTTGTAGATTCATCGGAATTGTTTATCCACTCCGTTCGAAGTTACTGCGTGAAAAAGAACATGTGATTGCGATCACATTTGTTGTATGGATAATCTCATTTGTTTGTGCTTCACCGAATTTGATCTATTTACGGATACTAACCGATCCAGTGTCCTCACGTCGCGCATGTGTGCTTCAATATTCTAAAATGAATATCATGGAAAATCGACGTAGTTATATAATTCATAAAGCTCTTGAATCAGTTTTATTCTATTTTCTTCCGCTGCTCTTGCAAGTCTTTTGTTACGCAAGAATTGCTCGACAGTTGTGTCATGTTGACGATGCACTACAAGCATCTTTTCGAACAGTTGTGAAAACATCTACTCAGCGAACACAAGTTCGTCTTTCGAAATGCGAAAATACTAACCAAACGTTCTAATTCTCTCTTTTCAGGTCGATATCGATGATGAAGATGATTTTACCGACAATGACGAGAACTCGGGTACCAAATACACTCGTGTCGATTCCATTTCTCACTCACCGATTCGTCGCTCCAAACAATCATCACAACCTTGTGTGACTTACGTTCTTCAACGACAACCGTTCAAAACGTCCTACCCAATACATCGAACAACTGTCACTTATGATGCATTGAAATCTCGTCGAAATGTTATCAAAATGCTCTTTGTCGTCGTACTCATTTATTTCATTTCCTTCAGTCCACAAGTGCTCGTTTTCATCTTGTTTGAAACGACTCTCGTTCGTCATGCGCCACAGTTCATCCAAACGCCTTATTTCATTGCATTTACCATGCTTCTCGTCACGCTCAGCTCGGCATCGAATCCAATAGTTTACGCAATCTTTTGCTCGAAGTTTCGACAGAGTTTCGCTAAACTTCTGCGAAAGATATTCTGTTTCTGCCGCAAAGAGTTCGATTACCGTTCAAACCATCGAGCTGTCTCATTACAGCAAATTCAATCATCCAATCTTCGTGTGAACGACAGAGTCCATACTAGCGAAAGAAGACATTCGCCTACCAATGGAAAACAACGAACATCCACTTGAATATGTGCTTATTCAACAAAACTAATGTCATTTCTTATTTAATGTTACTGAATGGTGAATAAATTCTATCAAGTACTTACATCAATTGAAACAATTTTCTGTTCTGGAGTCATTGATAAATATCTGCTATTCATCCATTTTTTTTTGAATGACGTTCTCTTGTATGCCTAAAAGTGAAAGATAGCAGAATCGATTGCAAGATGTTTTAGGAGCTCAATATTGCTCGTTTAATTAAGATATGCATCCATAAGCAGTAATAAAAAAAATGTCTGCGGTCTGACTAGTCTTCACTAGATATGAGGTGTTGAATTGTATTTAGTCTTTGCAAAAATGTGATAAACACGATTAAATGCGCTGTTGTAGACAGTGTAACGAGAGGAACTAGATTAGACAACTCGCTTAAGCCTCGAACGAGGCTTTGCTGTTCTTCAGACAAGTGCTAATAAGAACAGAAGAATGAATGCTCTTTTCATATTCGGAAATCATGTTGTTCTTTTGGCCAAGATCTTTCTTTGTCTGCCTATGAATGAGCATTCATTAGCCGAAGGCTTTTAGTTGATAAGTTTTAGATAGAAAATATGATTTGAAATTTGTATTTGAAAAAGTTCATTCTCATTGTACAAAGATACGACAAGTACTTTGATCGAACGAAATATCACTCCATTTGACTTTCGATACATCCTATCCGCTATAATCCATGATTACAAATGAATGAAAACAAGTGTAAATGTGGATATTCGATGGGCGAAAACAGAGAGTAGTCATCGTATTTACTCGTCAATAATACCTTACGAAGAGACTGACTTTTTTGTTCTTCAAGGTGAATCCCTGGATTAAAAAAAATGACATCGACGCGCGCAGTATGGTGATACTATAAAACGTGTAGAAGAAAAACAACAAATAAACCAGAAATTGATTCATCATTTCCAACGATTAACGATGAATGATTTAGAAGACAACGAAGAGCCCAATCACGAACAGACAGAGCCATCAAATCGTCAAGAATTCTTCAGCCGTATTAAACAATTCAATGACTTTCTCACATGGGCATTCGAACGTCCCTTTACACTCGTAAATACAACGATTAACAACGTGCAAAGTTACATTGCCAATAGTACAGTCAGCTGTGGTATATGTATGTGTACAACGATCACTGTGACGCTTTCGGTAACAAGTATTGCTGTCGGTGTCGGTGTTGGCGTCGGTGTTGGTTGTTCCCAATGAAAACGATTTCTTTTTATTAAAATTAATCTTTTCATATCTTTGAAAAAAATTCGTTTTTCGCTTCAATTGACCGTACTTTCTGCGACAGAACATACTTGCTTTCCATGTATACATGTTTAGTTCTATTTATTTCAAAAGAGCATGATGTGTTAGTAATCTGCATCATTCCCAGTAATCGTCGTATTAGTCACGTTAGTAAAAGTTGAATTCGTCGTACTACCTACGTACGATTTTGCACATGATAATCCTACCCCTAGTCCAACACCCAAACCAATGCCTGTTGCGCAAGCCACACCAGTCAGAGCACCGCACACACAAACAGAGAATAACGGTGAACAAAAATTGGGCAATTGAATACCAAGATAACCCAAAATTGTCATCGGAAATTCGATCAACATAAAAATCATATGTTGAAGTAGTGCTAGTGTCTCATTCAATATATCCCACCAGCCCATTTCTTCAGTTGGAAGAGGTTGTTGAAAAGGCGGTACTGGTGCACGAAATCGTCTCGAGAGCATCTTCGATAATACTAATAATATTCTCGCTTAATCAAATGTGATCTTGTATGAATAAGAAAGAAAAGGATTACTTCCTTTTTTATGACAGGTATACCTTGCTAACAGCAAAACAAACTAAAGTTGTTTTTTTTTTGTTTACTGTCTCGTGTGATTGATGATTGATTTGATAATGTCATTGGAGAGAGAGACAGATGCTATCCATCGAGTGATTATAAATTTTATCAATTTCATTTATTTCATATGCAAAATACAAGACGATTAGTTTAGAGAGTAACGATAAAGATACGAAGCGAGATTTTGTAGACACAAAAGAGAAACAGTTCAGATAAAAAAGCGTATTATATTCAAAAAGAGAATGTTTATTTATCATTTTGTTTGTGTACAATCAATTCACAATTGCTGATGAACACATCAAATTCACACCACATGTACCATCACCACGATATAAACGGTAATAACCCTACAAAAAAAGTCAAATCAATTGTCAAAGTAGTTGACTCGATTTTCATTACCTTTTCTCCCCAATGTGCACCCCAACTATTCTTGATAATCCAAAATGGAATTGATTTCGAACCTGTACACACACGCACGTGCAAAGTATTCGATAGTCAACTGTGTATCTTACTTTTCTGTTCGACGCCATAACCGACTAGTAGAACACCATGATTTAAACCTTGTGGATTGCAAAAGGCACGTCGAGGATGAGCAACACCACGGAAATAGAACTGTCAACATAGAAAATGTAATTCGTACACTAAACAAACCGAATTTTCCTATATACCTGCATCATGTTAGCGTTTAAGCCAATTGAGATCGGTGCATTTGTTGCCAACCATTCTGCCATACCTTAGAAGCAAAACTTCATTACCATCAATTAAGAACATTTCGATTTCTTTACCATTTTCATCTGACGTTATATTTACATAACTATCGATATTAACTTTAATTTTAGATTTGTCCAATAAGCATTGATTGTGTTGTTTCCCTTCATACTTGTAGTCCTCTTCTGTCATCAATCCGCCCATGCTGATGATTTGTCCATAGGCATCTGTCATATATCCACCATTACAGCCTTCATCGACTTTATCACAATCGACCAATTCTATTTGAATGCGAAAAAACATTAAAAGATCAAAATGTGAAGTCTTGGTACGGACCTTGTTCGGACAAAGAGATCAGATCGCCTTTTTTCGCTTTCCAAACACCTTCGATATTTCCAGTGACACTGAATGCCCAACATGAACCACATTGACCTTGATTTTTCACATCAGTAACAGCACTGTGATTGCGCCAATCGAACGCGTCCGGCGTGACTTGTAGCGGATCTTTGCGCGATTCTGACGATTGTACGCGGATACCTTTTGACAAGGAAAGACGTTCGTTTAAATGGTATTGAGTATATTCCTCCTCTGAAAAACAAACGAATGGTGATCGAAAATGAAAGAAGGTCGAAACAAACCATTCAGATCACTCAAGTGTGTTATTCCGTAGATAGCCGTGCCTTCTTCTTGCTCATTGAATTGTTCAATTCGGTTTAAGTTATGTTTGAAAACTTGAAATCGTTTTTCTTTTTCTAGATAGACAAATTCAGTTCGATGAATACGTAAACTACAATAATTCAATCAAACCTTTGTCATCCATATAGAATTTTTGATGAAGTCTTTGGAAGCGATCGAACAAATACGTGTCATATTCGCCGACTTCGTCAACTGAAGTATGCTCGACAGGAATTTTAGTTCCGGACTAAAATTATGACCGAATTCATACTTCGAATGCATAGAACAGAATATACTGACTACAAATGGGTACGGAATCTTATTTGCATTACGTTGCACATCTCCACCGATTAATTGTTGATTGCGAGAATCTTGTTCCAGTGAAATACAAACGATTGCACGAACTAATGCTCGAATATGTCCAACAGGATCGTCATAAACGGCTACCGGACATTCGTATTTCTACAACGAGATATTTTGTTAAACACCTACCATCTTTCTCTTCAAAACTTACGATATCGTTATCACTTGATGTGACTTGGAAATGGATTGTGTAGATTTGACGACTGTTTTCTATGTCAACCTAACGGAAATGATTGCATGTTGGAAATTAAATGAAAATTTATATACGTACAGCGGTTTTGATTTGAACAATATGCGTTGCACGCATTTGTTTATCATTTCGGAAATGTTCTGACAATGCTGTGTGAGCAAAAGAGGTGATTTCAGTATCCACCGCTGTTAATTTTTGCTCGTAAGTTTTTCGTTCTGTTCCATTAATGGAAACAACGAATAGTACGAATAGGAAAGAAACTAACCACATGTTTTAACTATATTTTCAGTTAAACTGAATTGAATGACGATGTTTATGGATAAAAATATCAATCACCTGATGAAACTCATCTACACAACCAATCAATGGTATGTTTGGCTGAAGAGAATGCCCGTTGCAGATGTCACTCGCTGACAGATATTAGAATTTCAAAGAGAAATGTAGCAGTGACGCACCATTTTATCGAACTTAACACAAAATAAATGAGCTCATTGGTCAAAATGACAGATTTTTATTGTAAAGGAAAAGAGAAAGAATGTTTATTGATGAGTTTGGATATTATCTAATTGCTGTTTCATTTGATTAATTTGAATTCGATGATTTCGAACCACATCTTGTATATTTTCCATGGATAAGTTGTCTGACTGACTTTGACTCTGATTGAATGAAATGAATTCTTGAATCTGTTGAATTTGTTGGGTTAAACAATCGATTTGTATTTGATAAGTTTCTAATTGCTGTTGCATTCGTATTTCTTCATCCGATAGAACTGGTATAGATTGTTCAATCGTAGATAAGAGATCGTCGATACGTGACGATAATCGTTTTCGACGTGAACATTCCTATCAATCAAAAGAGAAAGTCAAGAAATCGAATTCACAATCAATGTCTTACTTGTCGGTAGAGTTTCATTGAGTTTTCGAATTGATTTTGTATCTCCTGGAACCTATCTGTTAATTGTTTGTTCTCATTCAATTGTGTTTGATGAACTTCGACTAAGTAACGTTGTTTATCGTCGATTTCTCGACGCACTTTGTCTTGTTTTTGAATATATTGTTCGGTGAATATTTTCATGTATTGAAGAACGTTTTTCTCTAAATCAGAATCGGAGAGTTTCGTTGATGAAGATCGAAGTGTCACAAATGGAACGGATTGGTCGCGAGCAAGTATCGAACGAATACGAGTGAGAAACTGCGAAGGTTTGCTTTCCGATACGGTAGTATCACTATTGCTCGCTGAACTCGATACTTGTGAACGAATCAGAATCAATTCCTAAAAGATACGATACAAAAAAAAGTTGTTTAGGGAGAGTGGAAACTCACCTTTTCTGTGTTGCTTTGCGATCGAACGATGGCAGCCAGATAGTGTCCATTGTTATCGATGTGTATTGAACCAAGCTGTTCGATTTCATTTGTAATTTTATTGTTCAAATTCGCACCGTTGATCAATTGTTGAATTTGTGTCGGTTGGAGTTGCTTGGAACCTTGTTGAACTTGATCGACCCAGGCAATTTCTACTACATAGATATTCGCATTCGAATCTGTAATATAATATCTATTCGGCGCAAATCGATCCGGAAGAATCGATGTAACAATTAGTCCAAGATCACTGTTTGGGAAAGTCAAACAATCGATCGTGAATAGATGATGTTGATTGATCGATGGCGACAAGATCATACATTGATGAAGTTGAGTTCGATTCGGTGTAAAGATAGCTAGTGGACAAGAGGATGGTGCTAAACAGACTAACGTCGATTGATTTTGTCCAGCACCGTAGTTGTCAAAAGCTGAGGGAAGAATACGAACAGGACCGTGAAAGTCTTCGTCGATGTGATTCTTCAACAATTGATCTTCCTCGATTTCGAAAAGAAAGATATCACCGTCGGTTTTCATTGCGAAGAAAAGGATTGATGTTGATTCTTTTGTTTGTTTCTTCGTTACATCTAGTTTGATGATGTCGGATGGCTGATGGAGAGATATTTTTTTACTCGGTGTGTTGAATTTCGTGTTTGAAGATTTGCCGATAGAAAATTTATGGATGTGTTCAAGTCCATCGGCTTTCGATGACCGAATATGATAAAGATAACAATCAGAAGCAGATGGAACCGAATAAACGATAGCAAAATGATTGACTGTTAACCAAACGAAGTCAATTAATGAACAATTAACAGACGCAGATGATGTCGAGGGTGGAACACGAAGTATCGGACACAGACGAGATCCTGAAGATGAAAGATGAATAGAAACAACAACAAAAAAGATTCGACTCGTAGTCAACTAACCTTTTGAAGGTGAACGAATGTGTGTCTCATGATGTGACTGTGATAAGAAAATAAGATAGACAAGTTTATCAGCTATCAACGCAAGAATGGTTTCATCTTCGTTAAGGATCAATTTTCGAATCGGCCATGTTGGTGATGATGAAAGATGAAGGCGGTCAAATCCGAAATCTGTCGTATTATTTAATGTTATCGATGAATGAACAAACAAACAATGATTTGACGAGTCGTAGCCATATAGAGATGATTTACCAAAGGTAAAGACATTGACATGATGCCATTGAAATGGAATACGTATTGAATTCATTTGTGACATTTCGTCAGGGAAATTATTTTCAATAGAAAACCGAACTGATTCAAGTAGATTCCCGTGGATCAAAAAGGAAGCCAACGAGCATAAACATCGATGACTAATTTCAATTGTCTAAACAGATGGCGTGACAATACTTCAATTCGGTTTGATTTATGAACACATCTCGGTGACAGAACGTTAAATTTCCTCTCTTTAGTAGAACAAATTCTCGACAATCGATCGATATGATCACACTCAATGGCTTCTGAACCTTGAGAGCAGAGATGTCCATGGCGGCGCTGCCGCTGCCGCTGCCGCTGCCGCGCCGCTGCCGCGGTGGCGGTAGCGGCGCGGTAGCGGTAGTTTTTCTTCATCGATCATCGCGGCGCGGCGCGGCAGCGGCAGTTTATTTTTTCGACCGTCGCGGTGCGGCGCGGCAGCGGCATTTTTTTTTCATCGATCGGCGCGGCGCGGCGCGGCAGCGGCTGAACTGTTGAAAAAACTTATTTTCATTAAAAGAACTCGATAATTTTGGAGGTTTAAATTTTTTTGTAATGAAGTTAAACAGAAATTTGTTTTCCGTTAGTATATTTCTGTAACATTTGGTATGAAAAAGCCTGAATAAAAATGTACATTTCGTGCTATTCATTCGATTTATTCTCTGCATACGAATCAATAAAAAACTAAGACATGTGAATTATTATATTACAATTCATATATATGTATATATATACAGGGTGATCCAAAAGTCACGCACCAAAGGAAAAAAATTGAATATCTTCATGAAGGCTTGAGCAAATGAGCTGATTTTTTTTATTAATGGTAGGGGCATATACAAGCTTCTTATTTGTATAGATATCGCTAAGTATACCCTCTGTTAAAAACTCTGCTCAAAAACCTCGTAACAAGGATCATCTAAAATTATTAATTGAGCATGAATTTCCATCGCTCAATGATAATATCGAACTCTGCCAAGCAATCTGTCATTCTGTAGCTAAGCGTTGCCGGATGTGTATTAGAGCAGAAGGCAAACAGTTCGAACATTTGCTTTAAAATATTAGTCATTTTCTGAAAAAAATCTTCCTTCCTTTATATTAAATTTGTTTTTTTTTATATATGAAAAATAAGATTTTTTTTCTTGAAGTCAATAGGACTAACTAACAAAGAGTGTACTTAGCGATATCTATATAAATAAAAATTCAGTCAAATTTGAAATTTGACTGAATTAGAATTTTGCCCACGACATATATATACATATCAATGTTTCATATAATTAGCTGTGCAATAACGCACATTAATATTTCGCTCGCTCGTTCACTTTTGTCTTCCTCTTGATGCTAAAAGCACCATTGATTTTTATCTGTTGAGAAGAATATACAAAAGCATTTTGTTTAAAGGAACATGCTACGAATATGAAAATATTTATATTAAATTTCAGTGATATCACGAATTATCAATCTTAGAATTTATTTTGCTTAGATCTTAAGCTATGACACATAGTATGATGGTTTCAAAAAATCGTTACACGTAACGATAATACAACTGACGCAGATGAAAGACATAACTCGTTTCATGGTAACTAACTAGTAAATAAACTTATAACAATGCAATAATATCAAAGCTTTTATAATGAAAAAATTGATTATAAAGTGTGAATTTTATACAGCTTTGTCTTGATATAAAATTACTTTTCCTTGTTAATACCTGTATACTGTATTACTTTCGAAGCTAATTATGTAAGACAAATACTGGTCTTCAAAAAATGTCTTATCGTAGTTATAATTGGTAAGAACAGCGAATATTTAAGCAACTTTTCTCATTCGATTCTTCGATTTATTACATTTGATCACATTGTTTTACGGAATAATAATATAGAGATATACAAAAGAATTCATGTTCTTCTTTCGTTTCTATTTTCTATTGCTATTCCTCAATAAATCATCTCTAATCGTGTTCGTATATATTCAAACTAAGAGACTCTTTTCTTTCTTTCTTTCGTTCGTTCTGTCCTTCTTCTCGTCCGTAATAGTCATTGAGTTTCCCATATCCGTCCTTGCTCGTGTACTGGGCAGACGAAAATATCTCTTACATAATCTTTTCTCTTAGTCGGAATTACAATATATCCAAACTATCTATCTATCTATGTATCTATCTATCTTCTTTTCCGTTTAGTCTTCTATTTTCAGTTTGTTTAATGTTAACGTGTGGTGTAGAAAGTGTGTTGTCTTTCTACGAATAAACAAAGTCATTCGATTATTTCAGTTTATTAAAAATTCATTTTCATTTTTCATTTTATAATAACTGTAAGTGATTTAAAACGACAGAAAAATGTGTTGTTTTATTCTTCTTTGCCGAAACAACAAAAAGATTTCTTGTTGAATTATTTTATAGTATATCAATAAATCGTTTATCCATGGCAAATGCTAATCTCTCATCTTCTTCGATGGAAGATGATCTCATTATTGATTCATCTCCTCCTTCAACAACACAAACATATACCAAAGAACAATTAAAGTTAAAGTTCAAATTAGCTAATATTGATGAAATTTCGAATAAAAAGGCGAAAGATATTAAAGAAAAAACAGAAGAAATCAAAAGATTATTGAGTAGAAGAACTGACCGATTTACAATTGTCGCAAATGGTATAAATAAAACACATTTAGCTAGCTGGTGGTCAAATTTTGGTTTTGCTAAGGAAACTGTATTAGGTGAAAGTTTTCTAGTCACAAATTTTGTTTCTTGTCAACACTGTTTTACTACTTATCGTTATGGTTCATCATCAACTGAATCAATTTCACGTCATCAGTGCAACAGTACATCTCCTACATCGAACAAATCTTCTGCTGTCGAATATGCATTCACATTAGATAAACATGTTTTCAAAGAGAAAAAAACATTTAGTCATTTAGAACAACAAAATCTTACAAAACTTTTTTCAAATTGGATATGTGATAATTTGCGTCCTATATCAATAGTTGATGATTCAGGCCTTCGAGAAGTTTGTTCATTTTTCTATTCTTTAGGTAAATTTATTTCTGTCTAGTTTGATGTATTTGCTAATATATTGTATGTTTTCTTTTTGTTTCATTTTTAGGTGAAAAACATTTTGGTCGTTCAATGGATTTAAATACTCTCTTTCAATCTCGGCAAACTATATCACGTTCTATATCGAATGAAGCAAAACAATATCGAGATTGTTTAAGTGAGCTGATTAAAGAACCACTAAAATCTCAATCATTAACACTCTCACCTGATATGTGGACAGATCGATATCGACAATTGTCGTACTTAGGTGTAACAGTAACATTCGTTGATTCGCATCTTCATTTTCGAAAGTTTACCTTATGTTGTCGAAGTTTTCCTGTTGAACTAACTAAAACTGGTGAAAATATTTCTAAAGTGAAGATTTTTAACTCAGTAAGAAAACCAGAATTAAAATTTCGATTATTATAGGTTTTGAAAGAAGAATTAACTCGATATGGTATTGAACGTTTTGATTGTGTTCAATGGGTTAGTGATCGTGGATCAAATTTTATACGTTGTTTCAATCTTAATATGATTGAGCCAATATTTTGTTTTGCTCATCGAATTCATAATGTATTAACTATCACATTTATTAATAAAAAGATTGATGGATATTTCAACGATGTCGATATTGATGACATACCCGATAATTTAGCTGAAGCAGATCTTCTTGCTGATCAACATTTGCCACTTAGTGCTAAAAGAGTTTTACTAACTATTAAATATACAAAAGCCCTTGTTCAATATGTGAAAAAAGTACGTTTTTGTTTGTATTTGTTATGGAAGATAGAACATAAATTTCTTTCTATTATTAAATAACGTATATTAACCAGATGTTTTTGAATATTTTCAGTCAAATTTAAATGAATTAATAGTCAAGCTTGGTGATGAAGGGACTACAACATTGAAACAGTCTGTACCAACAAGATGGTTATCATTATTTACATGTGCTGAATCAGTTTATAGTAATTTCGATACAATAATTTTAGCTTTGGAAAATCATCGTGCAACTAAATATATGAATGATTTAACCAAATACAATTTACTTGATATATTGTTATTATTAGCACCTTTACATTCTGCACTTGGAGCAATTCAAACTGATGAAACACCTTCGTTGCATTTAGTTGTTCCTTTCTATCAAAAATTATTACGTGATTATGGTTCTTATTATAAATTACTTTTATCGGCAAAAAAAAAATTTCCATCGATATTTCAAACATCATTTGCTGTAGACTATTTAGTAACTGAACCTAGTGGTATGTATCTTTCTTGGTCGTGATTATGCATATATTATTACTACAATTGCTCTACAATCTCTTAATTATATTGAAAATGATTGTTCATACAAAGTTGAGAGTTTTTTACGAAATCATCCTCAATTCTATTGAAATACTATTTTGCTTTTTAACACCCCTTTGTTCATCACGATCTCTATCTAATTCTCGCTTTATTTATTTTATTATTTGTCATAGTTTCAAAATGTTATGATATTGTAGGTGTAGAGTTCTTCAGACAACGTATTCTGGAGAAACTGACTGAAGTTTTTATTTTTGATGATCGTCACTATATGGCAATGTGTCTACATCCAGCTCAAAGAGAATTAGGTAATAAAAGTCTATTTTATTTTATTGATGAAAGACGACTACGCATATATCTCAATAGATGACGTTGCTTATCAGATTCGAAATAATTGTTACAGCAATATTCGAAAGTATTTACAAGAGAATGAATCTCAATCTGCTATTGTAACAACAGATCGTACTTTATCTTCGAAGAAGAGAAGAAAGCTTTTGCACAAGTTTTTGGACGAGGACGATGATGAAGGTGGTAAAGGTAATATAAAGAAATACTCGAGTATAAAGTTATTTATTTCCGTTTTTTTATTAAGAACAAATGGAGGTTTTCTTCGAGCCTGATTTCGATACTGATAATGATATTGATCTTATTCATAAACCAGATGGTGTACGTCCAACATCTCCATCGACCGTGTCTACAGAATTTTCCTATCGAACAAATTATCAAGCATTTAAACCTGATGAACTTGATCAATATCTGGAAGCTGACTTTCCATCATCCATAGTCAAAGAGAATCCACTTGAATTCTGGTCGACTGAATTTGCATCCGAGAGATTTCCTCTTTTGAAATCTCTAGCGCGTAAAATTTTTTCAGTACCTGCAACATCAGCAGGGACTGAGCGTCTTTTCAGTTACAGTGGAATTATTTTAAACAACAGAAGGCAAAGATTATCTCCTAGTCAAGTTGACAATATGTTAGTGATTAGAAGTGCTCGAAAAGTGCTAGCAAATATAAAATAAGATGATTTAAACAACAAATGATTGTTGTTTTTGTACTTTAATACTTGTATTTATGCTTGTGTGAAAAAAATGAAATTTAATGGTTATTGAAATAAACTTGTGAGAAATTTTTGTTGAAAAGGCAATTTGTTTTAACAGAAGTAGCAGATAATATACTTCGCTTAGAACCTCTACAAAAGACTGATTGATCGAATTATTTTCGAACTAAACAACATGTTTGCATTAATTTATTAATTAAATATAAAGAATATTGGCCTTCTTCTCACCTAATACATCTAGGGAAAGAAATAAGATACGTAAAGTCTGCTTGTCAAGGCAAATACGTTCCAAAAATCACATTATTAATACCATCGCGGCAGCGGCGCGGCATGGACTTTTCGAAAACCACCGCGTCGCGGCAGCGGCGCGGTTCAAATTTTTGTGAGACCTTCGCGGCGCGGCGCGGCGCGGTTCAAATTTTTGTGAGACCTCCGCGGCGCGGCGCGGCGCGGTTCAAATTTTTTGGAAACCTCAGCGGCGCGGCAGCGGCTGATTTTCAACCGCGATGGACATCTCTGNCATTATTAATACCATCGCGGCAGCGGCGCGGCATGGACTTTTCGAAAACCACCGCGTCGCGGCAGCGGCGCGGTTCAAATTTTTGTGAGACCTTCGCGGCGCGGCGCGGCGCGGTTCAAATTTTTGTGAGACCTCCGCGGCGCGGCGCGGCGCGGTTCAAATTTTTTGGAAACCTCAGCGGCGCGGCAGCGGCTGATTTTCAACCGCGATGGACATCTCTGCTTGAGAGTAATAAAATTAAGTATTGGAAATCACATCGATTACGCAATTTGGGAATATCTAAGCGTGAAATGTGGAACATGCCATTATATATCTTTATCGATGCGTCTCGATCGTCAACGATAGTATCATTAATATTTATCAAACAACGTGTGAAATTAAAGTTAAATGAGGGAGACAATCAGAAGCTAATCGAGAGAAAATATGACTTATAAAATCTTGTCTTTGATTATGTTTTTTTTATAGAACATTCTGTAGTTCTAATGGTCATGCTTACATCAAGGTGTAATTACTTTCCTTCATTATTTCTTTAGGAGAAAGAAACTTTAAAATATCATCGAAAATTTTTTAACATGAGAAAGAAAACGAAATTTACCTTGTTAGCAATAGGTAGTTGGCTATCGCGCGTTTTGTAAACAGCAAAAACCTTTCGATCGAAAGAATGAAATCGAAAAGCAAATCCGAACCAGTGATCATTTCAAATGATTCAGTGACGTGTTACGCCGATCGTCTAGTTATTCATCTGTACTATTTTCCTTATGGTAGTAAAACTATCAAATATGAAGATATTCGATCATGTCAATTGTTGCCATTGCGTCGATTGAATAGACTGAAATACAAAAAATGGGGAATGGGATTGTCGCCGATCTGGTGGCATTCGGATGTGCAACGCTACTATCGGAACTATTACCTTTTATTAGATACGAATCATTGGCCGTATATTGGAGTTACCATGGATGATAAAGACATTTTGAATGTGTTTGAGCTGATCCAAAGTGGAGCTCAAAGTAAATTTCTATCGGGGCCAGCGAATGGAAAGGAAATGAAATATCGAGATTTCAGTGAATATGAAAGTTGTGAGCAATAGAAGATATTGATCTTTGTATTTATTAATAAACAGACAGAAAAATTAAACAGTTACAATTTTTGATGAAGGCTTTACTCGCAGTATATACTCCGATCAGTTGAACGTCGACTGATGAAACTAAGGAGATGATGGTACGTGCAAATAACACATATTGTTTGCTTTGGCTAACAAATTGTGTAGCCGCAGTTGGTTCTAATCATAATGTTGGATGTTATCAATAGATGAATCCGTTTGCCGATTCCACAAGCAATAAATTATTTTTACTCGAAAAACTCTTTCGTATTCATTAACCCCAACAGCGCTGGCTGATCATAGTCTGGCGTTATTTTGACAACATTTTCGTTCCGCGCACTACATTTGTTTGAATTGTTGTTTCTTTAGCATAATCCTTGGCTACGATAGACGACAAAAGTTGCTACACAACGACGCTGGTCGCTTATCTAGCGTAGAGGCTTGGCGAGTTGTTACTAAATAGTTGATATGTCCAGAGTGATGTGTTTATAAGTATGAAGTGTTTACAATAGTCGTAAATTTTCGTTGAACATCTTCTTTTTGCGGTTGAATTTGAGCACAACAAATCCAACTAAACTTTAGTACTAATGCAGAATCGATAATTTATTAATGAACTAGTCTTCGAAATGTCATTATACAAACCATGACTTCTTTTCACAGCAATTGCTGAATTGTGTTCATTGTCGAATGTTTTCGACGATGACGAAAGTGCATGTCATATCTTGAACATATATGCATTTTAATTCTAATCCATTATGACTCGGACTCTTTTGTTTATGCTCGTATGATCACGCTTCATTTACTATCTAATCGTATCCAACATGAATGAGAAAGAAAACTTGTGTATGAAAGATTTACACGTCTCGACTTTCTTTGTAACATTAGAATGAAAGTGATAAATCGAATGAATGGAGATTAATTTGTGTCGAGAACGGTCAACATTTGATGTACACAGAAAGAGAAACAAATTCAATGTTTTGATTATCAATCAGAACAAAATTTTTTTTCTTTCCAGTCGATACACTCGCATCACAACAAATACACATAATATCAATCCTACTACCAATAAGTATATTCCCTGCGAATTCTCATACAAAAGCCAACGAACGACACGTTCTCTTCGATACTTTTTACCCTGAGAATCCATTTTACTCGACCACTCTGCACACCATTCTAACGAACCATTCAGTACATCTACGCATACACACACATATAATCAAGTCAAACTTATTTCTATCATACTCACCCAACTTGTTGGTTCTAGTATCGATCTTGGCTTGTTTCATTTCTCGTTGAATCTCGTTTGTCAACAGTATGGTAAGATTTGTGGCAAGTTCTCGAAACCACTTTACAACATGAGCATATTTTGTTGTTCGGAACACATGTTCCTTATTTTGTACAAGTTCTTCTTCGAGTTGCAAATGCAATGAGCTCTTGTTAAAGATTATTATCCGTATGGCTGAAATACAAGACAGTTTAGTGATAGTTGTCTAAAAGGAGCAGTAGACTTACGTTCGGGTAGCTTATAAGCACTGTCGGCGAGGTTTTCGATGATGCTGGTGGCTGATATGAGATCTTTGTTTACTTGACATTGTTGAGCAAGGCAGAGAAAATGTTGTCGTAAAGACCGACGTTGTTGGGATGTGAGATGGATTTTGTGTTGACCGAAATCGAAAATCAGTTTTTGTAAACGTGTTTGTACGCTTGTTGTATTATTCTGATTACTACACAAAGACTTCAATTGAGTCCAATGAATGGTATTATTAATGCTGTAAGCTTCTTTCAATAATCTATTGCGCCAAATGTCATGTAGAGATAAGTTTTTCACTGGATGCCACCAATTACTTGGATTTCTTTCTATGTCTTGCCACGAATAAGACCGACGCCATACTAATGTGTCGAACTCTGTTGGTGAGACAACGGTCATGTTTTCATTGAAACCTAGTGTTTGAAAGAAATATTCATGAAAGGTACCAATACCTCGCCAACGAATGTAATTATCGACTGTCTTCAGAAAACGTCGACTAAAACCAACTGCATTCGTCATTGATTCAAACCATGGTGGAGGAAGTTTCCCATATGCTAGCTTCCAATGAGGCCAAGAAGCTTCTTGATTGCCGTCAAAATTCGGATCGACACGTTTGACTATTAGATCACTTGTGTTTGAATAAAGTTCATGAATAGCACGAAATGCACCTACGCTCGGAATGAAAAGATCATTTTCAAGAAGCCACACGAATGAATAGTTTGTATTCAACTTGGAAAAGTACAGCAGTGACTTATCCCACGATGATATCTGAATCGGTTTCGAATATACGTACATTATATGTTGATATCCATGGATGACACATTGTTTGTTAGAAATCTGAACAAGTTTCACAATGGATGTTTCCGATGAGGGAACTTTGAACGAATTATCATCCACCATGACAAATACATCGATATTATCTTGTTGTACAGCTCGTGCTAGTCTATCAGCAAACTCAAGAGTTTCATTCATCGGTCGAACAGTAAGAAAACAAACGGCAGTACTCGTCATACAAATCGAACTAATTCGAAGACATAGTGTAAAAATTAGGAAGAAAATTCCGGCGGCGCACATAGAAATATGTATTGAAAATGATTAATTTGATTGTTCGTCGAAGTGCATTTCTTGATGTGTGAAACACAATCTGACTGGAAACTTGCGTTAGTGATTGCACACAGTAATGTTATTCCGATTGGCAAACAAAAAGGAAGAACAAAAAGCTTTCTATGCCTATAAATTCTTAATTAAAACTGTAGATTGCTTTTTTTATGTTCTCTTTGAACACAATGGTTTCTTTGTATATTCTTTTCACTTTTTTTGATTAACTACAGCCAACTTCATGTTGAGCACACCCTCAAGTAACTGATTTTCTGCTGCTCTTCCACATACAAATCAGGTCATAAGATGTCGTCCAAAAAATTTTCATTTTCTTATCATTCTTTCCTTGCCACGTGGTCGTATGTGTTTGTTATCGACTAATAAAACACACACTTATCTATTTTCATTTTGGTTTAGTTTGGTTTCGAATAAATTCAAGAACGAAGAATGCCCGTCGAAGTTGGTCAGCAAGCACCTGATTTCACTCTCTACAATACTGAACAAAAAGAGATTTCTTTGAAAGATCTCACATCCAAGTCGAATGTAGTTCTTTTATTTTTTCCATTGGCTTTTACTGGTGTTTGCACTAAGGAATTATGCTCAGCTAGAGATGATATAAGCAAATATCAAAAGTTAAATGCAACCATCGTTGGCATATCAGTCGACTCCTTATTTGCACTCGGTAAATTTCGTGAAGAACAAAAGCTTCCGTTCGACCTCTTATCCGATTTCAACAAAGACGTTGCAACAAAATACGATTCACTCTATGAACAATTTCCGAAGTTTGGTTTGAAAGGTGTTACCAAACGCAGTGCATTCGTTATTGATAAACAAGGTGTTGTTAAATATGCTGAAGTGTTAGCTGATGCAAGCAAAGTACCCGATTTCGATAAAATCAAAGAAGTATTAGAAAATTGCGGCCAATGAACTGAAACGAAATCATACTTATGATGTATTTTGATTTTTGTTTTAATAAGAACTAAAATAAATTCGTTCGATCTTTCGTTTCTCTGCTCTTCAAACTGACGTCATTTAAACGCGCAATAGGTGAGTAATTACGATCGCTCGATATACAACATGCAAGTCAATACAACGTCATTTTATTCATCGATGCTCCCGTTTCGCGTTCTCGCCATTTTGTTTTTCCTTGAGTCAATGGTTTCGTTAGTAAAAGCAGATGATGATCCAGTTCTGTTCGAAAACGATCACATCACCTGTTATTCCGATCGTTTAGTTATCCCATTTTATTACTTTCCGTACGGCTCAAAAACGGTCAAATACAAAAACATCCGTTCAGTCGAATTACTCGACGCCAAAGATTTAAGTTTCTTCCAAACAAAAACTTGGGGAATGGCACTCTCATCCATCTGGTGGCCTCTAGATATTCGCCGACAATGGCGCAAGCATTACCTCGTCATAGATGCGAACCAATGGCCGAAAATCGGCATTACTATGAATGACGAAGATACGATCAAAGTTTACAAGTTAATTCGACCGAAAGTATTGAGTTAAACTTCAACCACTGATTATCACGCCACATCGGACGAGTGTTTTTTCAGAGATAAATTTTTTTATTTGATAAGGACATATATCGTATAGAACAAATAAACAAAGAAAGGGATATCTACGACGTTAAAAATTGTTTGGTTAAGTTGAAAGAATCTAAAATCGAGGCGAACAGAATTCGAAAGAAAAATCTCGGTTTCAATAACGAATACGGAGTTTTCTCTTGGAAAACAACGTGAATAAATGCAGTTGTTAATTCTCCGGAGTAGGCTGCGCATTTAATTAACCAATAAGTATACCATTGCAAAAATTGCATGAATAAAGGTATCTGCGGCGGTAGACAGTTCAACGTCGGGTCATCAGTTCGTTGGTATGTTTTTGTCTGACCGTTTTTATCTGTTTTGACTAATTTTAAACTTGGCACTGCCCAATCGTTGGTAATTGAACCGAGCCAACACTCCTCGCTAATTGATGAAGCTTGTCGGTTGTAGACATAAGGAATTTCTTCTAATGAATACTTTCGGCTGAAGATTTCGTTCAATTGTCGTGCTTGCCGACATGCATGTGTCATACCTTGTCCATTTTTTGGATTGAAAACACACATAGCATCGCCGACAAGAACGTAGTTTCGAGGCCATCGTCGACCAACGGACTCGACGTATTTTCGATCATCGAACGCACGCCGATAAGGAAGTAATGGGCCGATTAGTTTAGTCGATTTTAGCATCAGATAGTAATCATTCGGCAGATGTTCTTTGACCCATTCTAAGAGACTTTCATAGGTATCATTCGGAGGATATTCATTGTTGATGCAGTAGACAGCAAAATTTGATAATAAACCTAATGAGTTCCGATCCGACGTGTTCAACTGACGAATGGGCGTCGTTAGAAAACCTTTATTATGATGTGGAGCATGTGCGGCATTGCCACCGACGTGAATGGAATCTAATGTTGAATTTCCTGTTTTGAATCGTTCACCAACGAATGAAACGTAACCTGTTCCAACATGTAATTGTTCAGTCGGAATGGTTAAATCAAAATCTTGTTTCAACCATTTGATTGATGAACTAAATCGTCCTGTACAATCAACGATGAAATCACCGTATAGCACATTTTCTTGTTCATCTGAAGTCGTCTTTGAACGGTATCGAACACCTTGAACAGCATTTGTTGATCGGTCAACGATCAATCGGCTGACCCGAGTATTGCACACCCATTGAATTGTTTGTTGATTGAATGATGAACATAATTCACGTCGTATAATCGTTTCTAATGTAAAACGATCGATACAAAACCATGAAAGATCCTCAGTTAAGTTCTTGTTTAACAAAACATCACCGATAACGAAACGAAAGTTTTCCTTCAATGAAACAACTTTAGCACCATGTTCGTTAATTAATCGATTTTTCAAGTTCGGAAATAAATCAAACAGAATCTTTCCACCTTCCCCTTGTAGAACATGAATCTGATAACTTTGACTCGTACCCGATCGACCTAATGTATTGGAATTCTTCAAGTTACAACGATAATCCAGTAACTCCTCAGCGGTAGAGTTCATCAAAGTTTCATTCAGAACATCATCCGGCTCAATAATGGTAATTCGTTTGAAGTACTTCGATAAATACGCAGCTGTTGTCATACCAGAAATACTTCCACCCATGATAATCGCATGTTCATATTGCTTATCTGAACTGACATTTGTTCGTATTCGATTCTTTTGTTGATTGTATACGAAGTAAATAATACCTATGAGGGGAAAGAGAACAAGCCAAAACATAATGCATATGATGTGTGAAAAGAAGAAATTGCATTCGTATTTAACAAAAACGATAAACTTGTCTTGTCAAACATCTGATGATATACGTGTGATGCGCACTGATTGGATACATTCTTTCTACATACGAGATCATACCATAAAGGTGATATCTATTAGTCATTTTATTTATCTCAGTAGTAGAAACAGAACAAAACGCGAAAATCAACAGAAGAAAAGAACAGGACTAGTTATGAATGATTACAGCTATATTTGATATATCTACCCAATGCCCAAATTGGAAAAATATTTCGATAATTCGTATAACTAATCATACAGTTACCATTGAAAACACCGCTAATTGCTTCTTGATTCCAATCCCCATTCGCGCACTGTTTCTTCAAAAGAAATTGTACACCGCGACGAATAGCACTGTTATCAGCTTTAGCCAATATTAATGATAGAACTGCCCATGCCGTATTCACTACCTGTGAATGTTTATGCGGAACATATGTTTTGTGTACGCAACTTAAATAGGATTCACCCCAGCCACCGTCGGCATTCTGCTTTGAAAGTAGAAATTGCACCGCTCTTTGAATAAATTTCGAGTTTGGAGATTCTCCAACAGTAATTAAAGCTTCGATAGCAAACCATGTTCCATAAGTGAAACATACCGCCCAACTGCCATACCAACTACCATCCGGTCGTTGTTTGCCTTTGATGAATTCGATTCCACGTTGAATAGCGTCATCGATTTCTTTTCGTCGATGGTTGGCGAAATAACTTTGTGCACGAAATTTCCAAAGCGCTTGAACACAAGCAGATGTACATTCCGTGTACGAATAATCCACCATAATTCCTTGAAAAACTTCCGCTGGATTCAATAATTCTATCCAAGCAGTTGAACGTTGTAGTTCATATGTTGCCCATCCACCATCTTTATTTTGTATACTTAAAAGAAAATTCACTGCATCTTCTAATCGATCCGATGAAATTCGATGTGGACTAATTGACATTTGCTCATGCAATAATAACGTCGCTTTAATACCTTCAGCTGTACAATCTGTGATAGGCCAGCCGTGATCACGAGTTGAAAATGGCCAACCACCTTTCGATATATGACGATAGAATTTCACATAATCTTTGACATCTTCTAAAACTTGACTAATGTCCAAATAGTAATAAGCGGAACTGAGACATTTATTATATAAATGACCTAAGCCCGTTTCTAAGATAGCTTGGATAGAAAAGGCAGTGTCCCATAATTGTGAGCCGTTGTAGCCTTGAATTTTCATTCCATCTTCACTTAACCACAAATAGTCGTCAACACGAGTCAAATGCTGATGAAACTGTTTACTATCTCGTCCTTTTGCGTACCAGATGGATAGCATATTGATAAATTTGTTAACTGGACCGATATTGACATAATTTGTGTGTTCATCTTCGGCTTCAATGTAATTGATAAGAAATTCGCGTGCTTTGTCGCGTAATTGACGAATATGCACGGTTTCATATGTATTCGTACAAAAATTTAAGACTTTTAACAACGCTGTTTGAGGATAATACAAATCCAATGCACTAATCGAATTTCGGTGCTTGGTAAAGTCGATACTTTCGTATTTTTCCACATACAATTCTTTTCGTAATTCTCTCACTAACGGAGTGATTTCTCCAACGATTTTTTCAGCATAAACATAACTCATTGGTACATAAACCATTCGACAATGACACCAGTATCGAGATGGATGAATGGGTAGCCATTCAGGCAATAACCACAATTCAGGAAACAGAGAGTTTACACCTTCCCATGGCATTACACCGAGAACACATAACCAAAACTTTGCCCAGCTCGGTGCATACATTGCACCTCCTTCCGATTGAATAAAATGATGTGCTTTCTGTAATCGTTCGTTAGTAAATGGAACACCTAATAATCTTAACGATATATAATTTAAAACTGTACCAAACATAGTTGATCTATTTTCAATATGCGTTCCCCAACCACCGTTCGGTAACTGATGGTTGAAAAGGTATCGAATTAACTGATATTTTTGTTCTTCAGTAAATTGAAAGTTAGTTACATACGATGTAATAACAGCACCGGGTAATAAAAACATCGGACCACCGTAATCGCCAGGCCAATGTCCGTCTTCGGCTTGTAATGCAGAATAATAGTTAACAGCACTTAGAATACTTTTGACGACCGATGCCGAAAGTTCTTCTTGAAATGTTGGAATTCGTAATTTATCATATTGATCTGCGTCAGCACAGATTGGTTTGTAATTCTGTTGAAATGCTGACTCACGATAGATTTTATCCGATGAATTCGGATTCTCTTCGTCGTAGTCAATTGAAACTGCTGGTTCGTCTTGGAAATATCTCCAAAGTTGCCGTCCACGATCACAAATTAATCGCCAAGCCATTTGCACTAGTTCACTTCGAAAAAAAAATATCAAAGACTTTCGTTCTCTTCTCGTGTGGTCTATGACACATGGTTTATATACGGTAAAAACGAGATAAGAACAATATTATATTCTGTTTTATTTACACATGTCCGATTAGTATTTTTTTTTCTTTTCTGTCAGAACAGAATAAAAATTGATCACGCCACTATCTGTCTATTGATACAGTTTCTATCTACAGGTTTGAAATTCGAATGACAAGTGTCTTGGATAGATTTTTTTTAAGCGAACAACTAGAAAGAACAAGTTACAACACAGAAAACTACATAATAAATTATATTGTACGATGTATGTTCGTTTAAAAGGTGATCTACGAAATATTTAAGACCGCCTGCATGAGAGGTGCGATCTTGTCACTAATATTGGATGCGCTTAATTGGTTCCGGAAAAAAGTTCTAGCTTCTCTCGAACAAACTTGAATACGAAACATAATGGCTAACAAGTCAATAAAAAATTTATGCGCTTTTGCTTCGCCTTGCTTATTCGCGACATAATTCCAAAGAAGTTTTGTATAATGGATTTGTGCACGACCAACAGCTATTGGATCATTTAGCGAGGGTTGTTTTTCGTCCATAGCTAGATGATCTGTGAAAAGTATAATGGCCATAATAAGTGCCAGGACGGCTGGATCTTGATTCGTTAATTGAACAAGTATAAGTTTTATCTCGATAAACCCCTTCATTATACCACCTGTATCGCCACATAATTCGAAAAATAGTCGATGCTTCTCTTCTTGTTCGGGGGTGCAACTGAGAGCTTCTGTTCCGTGTATATGACATTTATATACGGAGAAAGCTGAGAGAATATTGAATTTGATCAAGAGAAATCGATCGTCGGGGTAGGAGAGATTTTCGAATTCCTCGATGTGACGGAAGAATTCGATAAAATGTAGAGACATCTGACTAGTCTTATGTGACCATGCAACAAGTGCCGAATCACGATCAAATACGTCGCCGGCGCAAAACGGCTGTTGTACATTTTTAAACGTCTCTATGAATGATGATCGGATACTTTCGATGGCGAGCCAGTCTTCAATCGATAAGGTATCAAATAAAAGACTTTCTATTCCAATCGAATCTGCACTATTTGGTTCGCTTAAATTCAACAATAACTAAATGGAAGACGCTTGTTTGCATAGCTATTCATTTTTCATTACGATAGACTTACACGATCGATATCATCGAGCGGTTCCTCATTTGCTGGGAGAGATGGTGGCGACGAATTTTGTTTTTCTGTCGCATTTCGATTTTCTTCCAAACGTTTCTTACGTCGTTGTTTTTCTTCTTCGCTCAATATAAAATCCTTCCGCATTCCAGCTTCAAAACAGCGATCCAAGCGACAGCGAGGACACTTTCGATGAGTTTCATGAGACACTGAACATCGACCTTGATTCGTGTAACAACGTAATTTATCCTAAAAATAAGTAAAAAGATTAGCAACAAAAACGAAAGAACGCTCTCTCTCTCCAGCTGACTCGAGATTGATTAGCATTCCGACGAAAGAAAGCTTTGCATGATGCGCATGACAGAGCATCGTAATTAAATCCAACCGCCCGATCGCCGCAAATCGCACATATTAAATCTGCTGATTTTCGCGAAGGTCTCGCCTGCTTTGAACGACTTTCATGTGAAGAATCCAGGGCTCGTTTGTACACTTGATCACTCTTGGAATCCTAAACAACAGAATAGTAAAATCTGACCGAGTACATGATCCAATACGAACGTGTGTGGAAAGTTCTGCTAGAACAGCCAAATCTATCATATCGTTCTCATTTGGATTCGCTCCGAGATGCTGGTTTGGACGATCTAGATCTACAATACGCGTGTCTGGCCGTTTGTTCAGTGCTAATTGCCGAATTAAATCTTCATCCGACGTAATGATGATCATTTTCGTTTGTCCGTTCATATTTGCTTTTCGATACATAATGACGTATTTTATTTTGTATCGTTTAATATATTTTCATTTTCTAAAAGAGTATATATGTGTCACATGAAGTTCTGAGTTCCTTTTCATACTAAAATTAGCTAGAATAGTAAGAAAAGGAAAAAAAATACTGTGAAGGTAAAAAACATCAAAATATAATTTTCTTTGAGAGAAAAAGAAGAAAAACAGCGATGCGTCATCCTTTCCTCTTTCCTCTTCAGCCTGTCTGATTTTCTTCGTCATTATGACAAGTGAAAAATGATGCAAGGCTAACCTCTATGTAGGACATACCGGTTATTCTTAGCAGTTCGCAGTCAAAGGGGGAAAAATAGTAAATGAAACATAAGATGTACAATGAAGATTTATTGGATTTTCAGTAACAAAATTCTACGCGATTTGTAAAGCAGTTTGTAACAAAGGTGCCATTTGATTAACAACATCAGGTTTGGAATACTGTACACGAAGAAGGTTTCGAAAATTCTTCGCACTCGCTTGAATTTTAGCAATCGTATGTGCTAAACGAGTGAAGTATTTGTGAGTTTCTCCTTCGCCACATTTGTGAACGAGATAATTCCACAGAATTTTCGTGTAATATGTCTGAGCACGACTGAGCGCCAAAGAATCAGATAGCATCGGCTGATCAGCATCCATTGATAAGCCTTGAGTGAACATTAATATGACTGTCAGGAGACCAATTATACTCGGATCTTTGGAAGTGATTTCTACGAGAGAGAGAATCACACCTATCCACTCAAGTCGAACACCAGATGTATCATCACATAGATTGAAAAATTGGCGAAGTTTGTTGGAATAAATGTTATTCTCGTATGCACAACAATCGCCCGCTGGATTATAAGAGTAGGATTTCGATAAGTGAATGATTGTCATGAAGTTATACTTGATCAAGATGAATCGATCATTGTCGTGTAGGTTTTCAAAGGCGGGAATTTTGCGGAAGAACTCAATGTGTTGAAGAACGACGTTTTGAGCGAAGTTTGACCAGGATATCAATGCCGATGCACGAGTCGTCGTATCCGTGGCGAAACAACGATTATGTCCAGGTAAAAATGTTGCTAATAATGCTGAGCGGACACTTTCGATTGCTTGAAAATCTTCATTAGATAAAGGATCGAATAAAATATTTTCTATCTGTTGTGAAGTAAGTATTCGATCAGACAAGTCGTCTTCGAAAGTTGTCAATAACTGAAACAGAATAGGCTTTTTATTAGACTGCGAAATGGGACGAGTTTACTTGATCGATTTCGTCGAGTGGTTCAGGAGTCGACGGGGACGAACGTTTCAATGTGACCTGTCGTTTTTCTTCGACTTTTTCTTTTCGATGTTGTCTTTCTTCTTCACTCAAAATGAAATCCTTCCGCATACCAACTGCGAAACAACGATCCAGTCGACATCGCGGACATTTCCGGCGTGTTTCACAAGACACCGGACATCGGCCTTGTTTAGTAAAGCATTTGAGTTTCTCCTACAAAATATTTTCAAACATCGTTCATGTTCATAAGAAGTTCAAAAACAAACTCGAGATTGCAATGCATTTCGATGAAAGAAAACTTTACACGATGCACAGGTAGCTACATCGTAGTTATATCCAGTCGCGCGATCACCGCATACAGCACAGATGAATGTTTCGGACTTTCTTGATGATTTCAGTTGTTTCGATCGGCTTTCTTTCGGAGATTCGAGTGCACGCTTGTGTTGTGTCTGGTTATTGTTTGTACTCTAACAAAAAGAAACCTTCAAGTGATTGGACGACAAAGTAATACATACAAGTGCGCATAACTGCGTTAGCAACGTTTTGTTGGTTACATAATCCTTATCCAAATCAATAATTTTCGCGTTCGTCGTCGTATTCGACGCAAGCTTTTCAATCAAGTCTTCGTCCGCGGTAATGATGATCATTTTAGTGGTATTCGCCATCGTCGTATCTGATTAGGCTTTGGAATCAGAATGGATATTTTTGAATTCTAGAACAGGAGCGAAAGAACGTTATTTTACGACTGACTGAAAACATGAAAGCGAAACGAAAAAAAGAAATAACTACGTCGTTTGCGCATATTTTTTATTTGCCAGCAATACGTCTCAATATATCGAGTGAAAGAGCGTTGGCAAAATTAGTGTGCAGTGTCGCTTTCTCGCATTTGTCATATCAATTCTTGGCAATGACGTCGAAGTTATTGAGCTGACAATGGGAAAGATAGAAAAGGTTGATTAATGATACGCCAACGACGAAAGACTGTTTATCTAATTAATGAAAGGGTTTAACGAAATATGTATATATATAGAGTTTTAACTCTATTGAATAAGAGTGCATATGGGTAGAGTAAAATTGAGATTTTGAACTCGAGTACATCCATGTTTTACCAGGTAGTCCAGAGACATTTTTTTCAAATTAAATGTCAAGTAGAGGGCAATACATGCTGCCAAATCGATTTCAATTGGTTTGAGAAGAAGAACTTGACATAGGTTGGACTCATGGATTTCAAGTTTTAGAGAACAACGAGTATCGCTATCGTGACGACTAATGAATCGGGTGTTTGTTTGAAAAACAATTATTAGTGCCTGGTTTATATCCGGTATGCAACTGCTGATGTGAAATTATATTTCTAAAGAGAAGTCAATTTGATATAAATAAAAGATATCTTCGCCTAGTTGTGTTTTGCTTTTTCAATAATAAGGAGAAAGAAACTTGTTTTGAGTCTTATCATTCCCAAGGCTTTGCCATAATTAAAAAAAAGAAGCGCGTCTGTGTGTCAAACACTTCAATAACACATCGTCAGTAGATTACTTTTCAAAACTATTCATAATTACTCTCTATGTGCAGCTCACTTCTGCTATCGCTCAGAGCTCATGTAGTTTACGATAGGTTGCACTGAAATTCTGTTCGGAACATAATCCATTTCTCTCTTACCACTGCGATTGGTTTTGATAATCTTTAATTGTACATTTTCTTGACGGATGTATATACATATATCCACTTCTTCAATTTCATGAATCGGAAAGGATTCAACGTCGCGACAGGTAATCAAATTCTTCAATTGGACAAATCAAATCCTCTCTCTAAATCATCTTTCATTTGTATAGAGGTCACTTTGTGGACACAGGTTGGTGTGCGTTAGTCCAAAGGATTTGAAAAAAATCGTTACATCACTATTGTTCAACACTATTTTTTGCTTAACCATAATGACGATGCACAACGCATAAATATATAATTGAATTTTCTGCGAGTTTTAGACGAGAAAAATAATGCCACCAACGAAAGATGTTGACAAGAATGCGACAGATCATCTTGTGGAGAAGTATATCGAAGAAAATGATGTGATGATCTTCTCCAAAACATGGTGTCCGTATTGTACAAAGGTTGGTTTGACATTTTCGTATTCGAATGAGATTGATTTGTTGTTGCTTTAGATTAAGAATGCTTTGAAATCAGCAAAAATTGAGTTTTATTCTATTGAATTGGACAAAATGGGTACGACGTTCGTTGACCAGCAACTTTTCCGATCAGATGTCTTCTATTTTAGCCGAAGGTGATGATATTCAAGAGGCATTGATCAAGAAAACGGAACAAGAAACCGTTCCAAATATATTCATCAAACAGCAACATATCGGTAGAGCTCGTTTGTGCATGTTAGAGAAGACAATAGTCTGTTTGATTACTTTTAGGTGGATGTGACAAAACACTTGCAGCATTGAAATCAGGCCGCGTAGCTGCTCTTCTCAGCCCACCGGAGCCGGAAGCGAAACATCAGAAATTAGAAGACGATGCATTGGATTCGTATGACTATGATTTAATTGTCATCGGTGGAGGTTCTGGTGGTCTTGCGTGTTCTAAAGTAGATCATAATGCTGAAATATACTTTTGAACTCATTTTTCCGTTTAGGAAGCTCAATCGTTTGGTAAGAAAGTATGTGTGCTTGATTTTGTCAAGCCAACACCAATTGGAACAACATGGGGTGAGTACTTTTGCTTCTATATGAGCAATTGGCTTTACTTTGAGATTAATCCAATCTAGGTCTCGGTGGAACATGTGTTAATGTTGGCGTAAGTTCGGTTTCTTGTCTTGTGATTCTCTTCGTTAATTTTCGTTGCAGTGTATTCCGAAAAAACTAATGCATCAAGCAGCACTAATCGGTGAATATGCTCAAGATGCGACCGATTACGGCTGGGCTCAACTTGAACAAGGTTTGTCAAAAGTTATCTCCTCGAAGATACCGAGCCTGTTGTTTTTCAGCGCGTCAACATAATTGGTCGAAAATGATTGAGTCGATTCAAATGTATATTCGTTCGTTAAACTTCAAATATCGTGTCGATCTTCGTTCAAAAGGTGTGGTGTATGAAAATTCCTATGGAGAATTTGTCTCCCCGCATCGATTGAAAGTTTGTTCTTGTCTTGTGAAAACAAAAGGTGTAATTCATTCGCAATGTGACTTCCTCATAGATAACTGATAAGAAAGGTCAATCAAAAGAAATAACTGGAGAAAAGATCGTTGTGGCTGTTGGTGGTCGACCGAAATATCCTGATATTGAAGGTGACAAACAATATGGAATAACCAGGTAAGAAGATTTTCTTCGATTTAACAATAGAAACGATATTTGTAGTGATGATCTGTTCTCACTCAAATATGATCCGGGCAAAACGATTGTCGTTGGTGCATCGTATGTTGCACTTGAATGTGCTGGATTTTTACATGGCATCGGTCGAGAAGTTCAAGTTTTCGTTCGCTCGATACTTTTACGAGGCTTTGATCAACAAATGGCATCGAAAATAGGCGATTATATGTCAGCTATTGGCATTAAATTCAGTCATCAAACTGTCCCGATACGCTTAGAATGTTTAGAAGAAGGCAAACCAGGCAAATTACGTCTTCACTATCGGCAGACACTCGAATCTGGAGAAGTGAAAGAATCCTATGAAGATTGTAATACAGTCCTATTTGCTATTGGACGCGAAGCTTGTACAAACGAATTACACATGGACAAGATTGGTTTCGATCTAAAAAAAGCTAATGGCTATAAAATTAAAACTAGAGAAGAACAATCTACTCAAATTCCATGGTTATATGCGATCGGAGATTGTATCGATGATGAGACAATGCCACCTGGTCAACCTTTGGAACTGACACCAGTTGCTATTCAAGCTGGACAATTACTAGCTAGACGACTTTTTTCGGATAGTTCGTTGAAGGTGAGAATGTTCTAAATGGAAATCTTCGTGTCTGTTTTTGACACCTCGTATGTTTAGATGAATTATTATAACGTTGCAACAACAGTTTTCACTCCAATCGAATATGGAGCTATTGGTTACAGTGAAGAAGATGCACTTTCGAAATTCGGTGAAGAAAACATCGACGTAAGAGGAACAACACGTTGAACGGTATTGATTGGTTCGGTTCTGTTTAATTAGATCTTTCACAGTGAGTTTGTTCCTCTCGAATGGTCAATCTGCCATCATCGCGAACAAGTTAAAAACATGTCTTATTGCAAACTAATCGTTGAGAAGAAAACGGTAAGTCTCAATCCAAGAAAACCTTCTAGAAATCAGCTGCCTTTCAGGATCGTGTCATCGGCTTTCATGTTCTCGCTCCAAATGCAGGTGAAATAACCCAAGGCTATGCCGTTGGTATGAGACTTGGTGCGACAAAAGCTGATTTCGATATGACTGTTGGCATTCATCCAACATGCTCCGAAGTCAGTCAAATTATTCACTTTGAATCGATAGTCATGGATCTTTATTTTAGAATATCACAACTTTGTCGGTCACGAAATCATCCGGTGAATCAGCTACTCAAGAAGGTTGCTGAGGTTAAAGTTCCCCTGGCTGTATAGACCAGGGCTTTCCATTCGATTGATAGAAATCAACATGAAATGATATTGTTTGTTTTCTTAATGACGAATTCGTGTGTCAAAGCTCGATATTCGAGACGCCTCGAATTCCGACTATCATATCATTGATGTTATTTGATCATCGAAACTCATACGGGTGATTTTTTTAACCAGTTCGTTGTATTAGTATGACTAACAAATTTTCGTTTTTCCCTTTTCTCCTTTGTTAACTCATGCAGACAATAAATAACAACCTTTATTTTATTTGATAATGATATGTATGTGATTGCGAAAGGTATAATTGACGATTTTAACGATATTTATATCATAAGGAGAAGGAAAGAGAAAAAAATTGTGATTCATGACTATTCTAATACACGATCGCATCATTTGTACTCGAAAATTAAATGGGAAATAGGCCCACATCGAAAAATAAATCATCGATAGGAAATCCGACAACTCCATTGGAGGATTTAAATATCGTTTGGTTAGATGCTTTTACTCACGAGGATTCCGATCGTACCTTCAAACTTCTGCCGAATCTTCAACAAATTTTACCTTCGATTCGAACATTTAACAATGTGACACATTGCGAAGCCTTCCTCCAGAATGAAGTCCATAACAATCAAATCGTCTTCTTGATTGTTTCTGACACATTCGCCGAGGAATTTCTTCCACATATTCGTGATCTGTCTTACATTAACTCGACCTATATCCTCGGTCGTTCCGATGCGAAATCCGGAGAGAAGATTTTCTCTGATATATCTGAACTTTGCCGTCAACTGAAAGAAGACGTACGTGACTGTCAAAATGATTTAACTCCAATACATTTGCTCAATAACATTCAACGTGATAATCAACTTGATCCAAGTTTTATGTACTCTCGCCTATTGAAAGAAACACTGATCAATATCGATTACGATGAAAATGCGAAGAAAGACTTTGTTGAGTACTGTCGATTGCAATTCAATCGACTGCCGGTACTCGATGATTTCGAAAGAGATTACGAAAAGCATTCACCGATTTGGTGGTACACAAGAGACTGTTTCGTTTATGAAATGCTCAATAAAGCACTTCGGACGGGTGATATCGACATTCTGATCAAAATGGCGTTTTTCATCCGTGATCTCCATCAGCAAATCCAGCGTTTATACGTTTCGCAAGATCATCATTCGATGATTGTCTATCGGGGCCAAGGAACGTCAATCAGTCAATTTGAAAGCTTATGTCAATGCAAAGGTGGCTTGATTTCATTTCCGAACTTTCTATCGACTAGTCTAGACAAGGAAGTTTCTTTGGACTTCGCTCGTCGTGCGATTATGAAACCAGGCCTTCGTGGAATTCTCTTTCGAATGAAGATCGATCGGAAATATTCGAACAGCTCCAATCCGTATGGATCGATCAACAAGTTCAGTTATTTCAAAGGACAGGAAAAGGAGATTCTCTTTTCTACGCACACAGTTTTTCGTCTGGAAGACGTTCGCCCGATGAAGGATGAACCGAAAATCTGGGAAATTGATTTGAAACTCACTACAAACGAAGACGATGTTCAACTTGAACAATTGACAAAACATTTCCGCGAAGATTTACAATCAACAACGAATCAGTGGGAGAATTTAGCGAAATTGTTGTTAACCATGGGTGAATATGATAAAGCACAACAAATCTACGAAAATCTCCTAGAAAAGACCTTCGAAGATGATTATGACCAATTAGCTTTTCTCTATCATCAATTGGGTTGTGTTTATAACGAGAAGAAAGACTTCGAACAAGCACTCAGCTACTTTCAAGAGTCACTTTATCTCAAAAGAAAATATTCACCCGATCAACTAGCTGATTCGTACTCAAACATTGGTTCAATCTTCCATAGACTAGGTAAACTTGATGACGCACTGCAATATTTCCAATACGCATTGGAAACAAATACAAACGACGAAGGAATTTTAGCGTCGCTCTACAATAACATCGGTATGGTTTTGAAAAAACAAGGAGAATATGTTGGTGCTATAAAACATCTAGAGAAAAGTCTTCAGATCGATTTAAGTCGTCTTCCATCAACGCATCCTGATCTGGCCATAACCTATTCCAATATTGGACGAGTTTATATTAATTTGAAAGACTATTATCATGCTGCAAAGTATTTCCAGAAAACGGTGAACATCCGCCGACTTTCACTCCCACAGAATCACCCGTCGTTGTTGATCGCGATTGCTAACTACGAAAACACATTAGCGTTGCTACCTGAAAATAATTTACAGGCGACTTCATCAGCTCCGGTTCAATCAACATCTTTTAAGCATTCACATCGATTGGATAGAGCACTTTCAAGTTATGTGAAGATGCTTAAAAGAAAACCTAAGTATTGAAGGACTTCGTTGAGTAGATTGTTATAGATATTTCACTTAGATTTCTACTGGAAATAATGTACTTTCTCATATTTTCTAATGAATAAATGTATCTATAAAAAGAAACTTCTAAGTGAAATACGACGTTTCGAAAAAAATTTGTTTTATTAAGTTCATTTTTCACAGGCGCACGCTTGAAGAATCACCACACATTCACCCTTTTGCTTCAAGTAGCATGCTGCCACCGTTTAGTTTACTGCTAATTCTATTGATCATCGCAGAAAGTACTCAGTATATCGCTCTCATCGAATATGCTGGAGCTTCTTCAACAAACTGGACTGATATAATTTCGTATGAGAGTACATGTCTCGAGTGCGTATGCTATGCGTTTTCGTCGTCAAATGCATCCAATTATCAAAGTTTCAATTGCCATACAATTGATAAAACATGTGAATTTTTTGCCGATGACTTATCATCTATGTTACATATTGATCTCAACTCCAAATTTTTCTTCATAAAAGCAGAACCGAGTAAAAGATTTATTTGACTCGTGAAGATATTATAACTCATTGTTCGTTTTAGTGTACATTCCCATATGGAATACGACGGGTGTCAACATTACAACCGCTGGTTCGGCGTTAAATCAGACCAATCATCCATATGGATTGTTCATTCCTGCGAACAGTGATTCATTGTACATCGCTGATTCCGATAATAATCGAGTCTTGAAATGGCTTCCAGGTGCTACAAGTGGAATATTACTAGCTGGAGGACAAGGACAGGGATGGAACGCGACGCAGTTCAATAGCCCAAGAGAAGTTTGTCTTGATAAAGATGAAAATCTTTATGTCGCTGATTCCGGTAATTATCGCATTCAGCGATTCAATTATGGATCTTTTGTTGGCCAATCCATTGCTGGCAATGGCTCATACAATGCGATCGGTAACTCTTTTGGCAATATACTAGGCCTCGGCGTGGACCTTGACTACAACGTTTATGTTTCCGAGTATAATCAAGCGCGTGTAACCAAATGGATACGAAATGCCACATCTGGAATAAGAGTAGCCGGTGATGGTACACAAGGAAACACTCCATCACAACTGAACGTTCCAACGGCATTTTATACTGATCCGATTACAGGTACGCTCTACATTCCCAATCAAGGTGGACATTGTGTGACGAAATGGTTACCCGGAAGTTCACACGGAGTCACTGTTGCAGGTGTTTGTGGTCGACCCGGAACGAATGAAACTCTGCTGACTTCTCCAAAATGTGTTACATTCGATAAATATGAATATATGTATGTTATTGACGGCGTTGGTGGTGGTCGAATTCTCATGTTTCTCCCTAATTCACTAGTTGGGATACCGATTATCACAAATGGACTGAATAATCCTATAAGTATAGCTATTGACACTCAATTGACTATATACGTTTCCGATTGGGGAAATAATCGTATTGTTAAGTATATTTTATTGAAATAAACATTGAAACTCTTCGAAGAATAAGGCGCTTGATTTAATCATCGACATTTGTGTTTAGTTTTCGATTATGTTATTTAATTTCCATCTAATTTTCATCTTTCATTGTCTGAATAAATCGTTCGGAATCATAGGAATTGAATTCGAAAGAGAAAATGAATGCTCGATTCGACTTCAAACCGATCAAGGTATCGAAACATGTCAAAATCAGCAATGCTTGCATATTAAAGATCCATGGCGAGTGATCGGTAGTCACGTACAAGATCAACCATGCTACGTTCATTATCTGCAATTATCTTTTACAAATTACGATCTATTTCTTGTTTTTATCGAACTACAATATGCCAGTAATACTTCTCTGGATAGTATTTTTTCCGACAACTCAACAGTACATAATCTGCTCGAGGTATGAGGAGCTTCTTTGTGTACTAATCTTGACTATTGATAGAAAATTTAGATACATATTGACAAAATCTATCCGTTTAACGACAAATATTTTCTAACCGAAGATACGTTGAACAAATTAGGTGGACGAAGAGGCACAATCTCGCTTTTACAAATTGAAATTTTCAAATGGTATAATTCTCGTCTGGCAAAGAGTCAAACAATTGAAAACGATCTTGTTGATTGGCAACCATTTCAACAAATTGTCGTTCGCTATCCGTGCAACATTCGCAAATCAATCGAACGATTAGTCTTAGCCAAATATCTCGCTTATCAAGAACGATCATCGTGTCCAACACAAATTCGCGTAACCAATGGTGAAGAGCTCATAGGAGCAAGACATTTGCCTGTTCGTAGAAGCCATCTATACAATTCGGACTTCGATAATGAATTACAATCTGGTGAGGGTGGACGAGTTATTCAAGACAGTCCGGTCGGTGGTCAAGACAGAGTGTTCAACTCCGATTTTATCGGTCGACTTCGTTTCGATTCCGATGATGCAGCTCGACCTGGATGGATGAATCTAGCTCAATCTGGTTCAGTAGACACTGTTCAACGTCATTCAAATGGTCAACCGGATAGATTGCCAAGCTTGGATTTCAACGACGGAGTTCGATCTGATTTAGCTCAGCAGATTTCGATTAGAAATTCTGATTATCCATCAGTTAGCGAACGAAACAAGCTATACAATTCTGATTATCCATCAATCGGCAATCCGAATAGCTTATACAATTCTGATTATCCATCAATTGGGAATCCGAACAGCTTATACAATTCTGACTTCAATGACAAACATCGATTTACTTCGATGGATCCAATTCGAACTATTCCTGATTCGTTCAATTATTCGAATTATTCGAATTCGACATTCGATGAACCATCAAACGACTCCAGTACTCTGGCAAAGGTTTCCAGAGATAAAACACACTCTTCTATCTACAATTAAATTTGGACTATTTAGATCCTGTTGATACTACTTATTTTTCTCTTTGCTGCTATTTTTATGATTTATCAATGCTGCTGTTCACGATCACAACCAACAATTACTCAACAATAGACATACAGAAAATGTTCGGTATTTTTTTTTTCATAGAATCGTTTGCGATAATCGATGTGTTCGTTTTCGATATGGCCATGAATCTTGTCGATGTTCGATACATGAACATAAATGACATGTTCCCCAAAGAGCAAGAATATTCCAAAGACAACTGACTGTTAAACCAATTTCATACCGTAACGATTTGGCTAATGTGACCAGAATCATATAATTATGTGCAAAATATAACGAATTACTCAATGACACGAATATATTCGGTTGAATGGCGAGAAGATTGGCGACCAGTAGAATAAATGAGATGAGTGACGCACCTAATAACATAGAAAAGAAGAACACAAGAAAGCAGAGAATGACAATTCTTGCGAACCATAAACCATAGAACCCAATGCAGAAGATCGTCACGCTCAGCACGACTAAGAAGATCAATTCGAATTCGTATTTTGTATGGAAAGTTTCTTTTTGCATTCGAGAAACTCGATTAGCATATAGTAGAATATTAACCAACAAAAATAAGAAATAGCATGTTAGTAAGACTCGTGTTCCAAAAGGAGAACGTTGACGATCGTATCCCATTCCTCTTGGAGACTAATCTAATGCGTACGATCCTCTACATCTGCTGTTTTATTGTCATCGTATAATGCTCAAGTAAGGTGAACATGACAATAAAAAGAAGATTCTACTCGGAGTCTGAATCGTAATTACGCATAATGATTCTTTCCTCTCTTTTATCTTATCTTTACTATACATATTAATGACAAAATAGATAAATCGAAAGAAACAAACGAATAATCATGAATATGTCATTCATAATAAGCGATGTGAACATGCATTTGTATAGATAATAGAGTGATAAGAAACAAAGACGATGTTCGACCTTTGTAAAACATCGTTTGTCGATGTTAAACATATTTATTTTCTTGATGAGTCAATCGAAATTTTCAAGAGAAAAATTTTCGTTCTCAATTAAATTCTAAACATAGTTACGATCTATACTCTATTATCTTTTCCATCTGCTTCGAGGCCCATCATAAATAAAGCCTGTCGACTGATTGTTCGCCAAGAGTAAACCTTTGCTTGGGCGTGTTCTCTCTCTCTCTCTCTCTCTCTCTCTTATTGACCATACTTTAAATGCATGATTAAGCAAAGTCGTTTTTCACTGGGCCCCTGCCTATCAGTTATACTTAGTAGTATATATTGCGCAGATATCTTTGAGTTAAGCATACGAAAAGTAAAACATTAACGATCATTGATAGTTGCAGTTAACATGCCATTGGTAATGAGTGCCGTTAGTAATATGTTTAGTCGGAAAAATAAGAGCAAGACAGTGAAACGAATGCCACGCCGTAAGTTGATTTGTTGGAAATTTTGCCCATGAACAAATCGTTTCTTTTCTCTGTAGAAACACCTGCAAGTACAGGTCTTCGATGTTATCCACTTCGTCTCGGTCCCGGTGTTGAATTGATCTCTACTATTCATGAATTAATGGAAGATATTGGTGTACAATCGTTGTTTATTTTGAGTTGTATTGGAACATTATCTCAATGTTCGTTAAATTCGCGTCAATTGAATAAGAAAGAATACGAAATCGTCTCATTAAATGGAACATTCGATAGCGAATCGCATCATCTAATGGGCTCATTTGCCGATCCTCAAACTGGTGCATTGATTGGTGGTCGAGTTCATTCATTAACCGTGCATTCGACTTGTGAGCTGATGTTAGCCGAGCCGCTTGATTGTACGTTCTCTCGCGCATTTGATCCTCGGACTGGTGGAAATGAACTAGTCGTTAGGCGGAAACTTCTCACTGATCCTTAGTTCGAAGAATTTGCTAAACTTTTTCTGTACAAAACCTTTTCTTTTTTCGTCGTTAAATAAATATTTTTGTTTAATTAATCAACTCGCAAGATATTTTGCATCTTGTTATTGTTTTCCCGCTGTCGGCATCCTTGATGCATCTCTTCATTCATGAATAGGTACGGATGACATTACTCGAATAAATCGATTTCTAATCATCAATCATTTGCTTTTGGAAGGCATGTTTTTCATTCTCTTGACGAAACGAATAGAAACTTCAGTTATCATTGACTCTTCATCATAATTCGATATGATCGATTCAAAAGTGATGAATGGATATTTATATACTAATACAAAAAACATCAATTACAATGATAAAAACAACTTGGTAATTGTCCAACGATTCGTACGAAAGTCAGTCGCTTCATGCGATAAATCACGAATGAAAATGATGTGTTAGATTGTTTATCTGTATACATAGATGAAATCATCAAGGTTAAAAAATCGAAATCAAATTATATGCAATGAAAGACTCGCTCATAACTTCGATCTTTTTCGCGTGCTCATGAACTTCATTATTGCTTCCATGAATTCATCCGTTACCCATCGCCGCTTCAAAGTATTCAGTTCTTCTTCGTTGACCTCTTTTAATTTGTCAATATACCATTTTTGTATCAAGGCTTTGCCGTCTAATAAACTTCCTTTCGGTAATGATAAAATCAGTTGACAAATCTTCTCCTTCTCTTCTTCGAACGCACTTTCCTCTATGACTTGTGTCACGAGTCCACGTTGTTGAGCTTCTTGGGCGGTTAACTTTCGATCAAAGAGAAGAATCTCTTTTGCTTGAAGTGTCCCCATCAGCGATGGGAAAACGTATGAGGAACAACCTTCAGCAGATTGAGCTGTTCGAGTGAATGGTAAAACAAACGTCGATGCTGATGAAGCGTAAACTCCGTCAAATAGGCCCAGTGTTGTTACAGAAATACCAACAGCAGGCCCATTGACGAAAGAAATTAAGATTTTTGGAAAACTTATGAAACTTTCGATGAATTTTTTCAAACGGATCTTGCCTTGTTCAATTGCACCTTCGATATCATCGCCTGCGGATGCCTATGTACATAAATCTTCAAAACAACGAAGATTGAAAGATAAGGTCATCACTTACAAACGCCTTCGCTGGATCGGATAAATCTGTTCCCGATGAATAAAATTTTCCTCTACCAGTCACGGAAAGCAGAACAAGATCAGGGTCTTGAGCCGCTTCATTCAAGACTTGTGTGATACCATCGTACATATCACCGGTAATCGCATTGAATTTATCGGGACGATTCAAAATCAATTCCCAATGGGACGGACTTTTCTTCACTAACTGAAGTTGTTCAGTCAACATTCGACTACTAACACTCATAATATTGTGTTTGTAGGTCGTAAGTTATAAGATAACTCGCTCGCTGACTGACTGAGAGAAGAAATATAGATAATTTCTCGTTGGTCCTGTTTCGTAAACAAATAGAATCAGAACACTGAATCTCTACCATTCCGGGGGCGACATCTATGTGAATAGAAATAAAGATCATTTCGGAAAAAACCGTTCATTTTTCAATCTAGGAAAATTATCCACGTATTTTCAAGAATTATTTGTCTGTTGATCTATGCTAATTAGGACAATCATGTCCATGTATATATAAATAAATCTATTTGTTTACTTCTTTTTTTCGTACCTAAGAATCTGGTTGTAGCTCGTCGTACACATGACGAGTTAATGCGGACATTCTCCTTTCTTTCGATCCATGCAGCCATCCATCCATCATTGTATGGTACCATTACTCGCTATCATACTTCGTGTAATAGAATCAGTATCGTTTTTTCTTCTCCTCCTAACATTTTCTGCATTGTTTTTCTTCTGGAGAGATCATGAAGAAACCATAGACTTTCGTTTCGTAGTGTAAAAAATTTCTTTTTGCATCTTCACTCGAAAAACGAGGTGAATGTACTTGAAATCTTTATTTACACAATTCTATCTCGTAAGTTAGAATCATGCGCTGTGCATCAGGATTTTCGTGAAGATAATGAAATCATGCAGCCAGTGCGTGACTGCGACAAGGTTACTAAAGATTTTGCACTAAACAGCGTACGGATCGGTGGTTTTTTTTACATTCAATGGATGATACTGCGTAGGGCAAAGATTTGTTTTTTCTTATTATGGCCGTGAATATTTCTACTCGCGATTCTTTTTCAGTAGTCAAGACTTGCCCTATTTAGTTATAGATAATGTCGTCTGAAGCATTTGTTACATTAGCGACCAATGATGGCTATGCACTGGGAGCTCTGGTGGTGGCAGAATCACTACGAAAAGTTGGAACACAACGAAATTTAGTAGTCATGGTTTCCAGAACATTATCTGATTTAATAAGGTGAGTTTGAGGATGTTTATTGCTTGCTGAATTTCTCGCCATGCTTGCCTTTCCAGACAAACGTTACAGAACAGTTTTGACGAAGTTGTTATCGTTGATGAATTAAATTCCAACGATGAACAACATTTACGATTATTAGCTCGTCCCGAACTCGGTGTTACATTTACAAAGATCAACTGTTGGCAATTAGAGAAATATTCGAAATGTGTGTTTCTCGATGCTGATACTGTTGTTTTGCAAAATATAGATGATTTATTCGATCGCGAAGAATTGTCAGCAGCTCCGGATGCTGGTTGGCCTGATTGTTTCAACTCGGGTGTTTTCGTCTACAAACCATCCAAAGAAACATTCAGAAAATTAGTGGCATTTGCGAATCAACAAGGGGCATCGTTCGATGGTAAGACGTTTCCTTCTACTTATGATTTAATCATCATTCGCAAAACTATATTTTAGGTGGAGATCAAGGTCTTTTGAATGCGTTTTTTTCAAACTGGCGTTCAGCAGATATTGCTCGACATTTGCCATTTACTTACAATGTCACATCGAACACATTCTATTCATATGTTCCAGCTGTAACACAGTAAATATTCTTTCGTTTGTTCGTTGTCATCCAATAGGAATTTTCCTAATAGATTTCGCAACGATATCCGTGTCGTCCATTTTGCTGGCGCATTGAAACCGTGGCAATTGACATATAATCCACAAAACGAACAGTTATCTGGTAACTTGGGCGGACAACATACAGTTCAAAGAGAATTTCTTCTCGCTTGGTGGAAAGTGATGTACGAACGCGTTTGGCCACGATTATCCAAACAAAATCAGGTCAGTAGTTTGAAGTGAATTGCTTGTTTTGCATCCAGCATGTTGTGTTCTCCTTGTTTTTATGCAGCAATTGAATCCATCTCAATCCATCATTACCGAGGTAAGGCATGTTATTCGATTTTTCCTGCTTATCCTAACTCGAGTGAATAATTAACTAAAATATGTTTAGTCTGATATTTCAGTGCTGAAAAGTTCATCTTTCTTGTGGATGAATTTTCCTTCGGAAAAAGAAAAGCAAAGTGCATTTGAAAAGCGAAGTTTATCTTTTCCATCGATCATCGATGACTTATTTAATGATATATCAATACGAGAAAGTCTAAAACGGAAATTCTCGGCAGATAAATTTCTTCCACGTGCAGAAATCTTTCATTTAAAACAAGGTCAAACGAAACCTTTTCATAGAACACAACCAAAAATTCGTCATTATGACTCATTTCAATTCCAAGAGGAATCTTTATCATCAGAGAAGATTCTTTCGTTATTTGCCAAACAGCAATATACGATGGTTTGAATGAAAACAACGCGAGAATTTTAAGTTTTGCATCTGCTCATTTGTTTTTCTTTTGCATCGAAAGATAATTCAGTTGATTGAGAATAGTGTAAGCAGAAGGTCAACAGATCGAATCTACTCGATGGGAGTATTTTATACAGGACAAATAGTTCTGTATAAGGTACCAGCACAGTATTAATCGGGGCTCCTTCAATCGTGGAGTAAATTCCTCACTGTGACATCGAAAAGCATGAGCAAGTGTTCCCGAGTATTCGGTGCGAACCACGAACTGTATATTCTGTAGCTCGGTGCGGTCCTATCTGCATTTGTAGACAAACCATACGGATCACAAGAACGAAAATTTTCTTTTCTTTTCTTTTTCAGAACAATTCACAAGTTGGATTCGGCGGTCAAGTATTAAACTATGGTTCATTAACTAGCGATCAAGGTGTTCAAGCTGGTTCAGTAGCGCATCGACGAGCATGGGAAGCCGGACATGTGGATTATCACGGAAGAGATTCATTCTCGAATATTCAAGAGCAGTTAGAGAGAAATATTGCTCAACAACCACAACAATATCATCCATCCCAACCAAGACAAATAACACCACCACCATCACAGTAGGTGATTGTTTTTTTCATCGGATTGATTTCCATTATTTATTTGTAGAGCAACATCTGCTTCTAGTACTAAACAATCTTCAGGTAATGATTGAGATATGTTGATTTCCTTGCATTCATTTTTCTTGTCCTATATTTAGACCAAACCAAAGCAGCTACCGATGCTCCTTCAGGTACGGGATAAGGTGAAACATTGTACATATAGCATTTCATTTGTTTCTGTCTAGGAGGTATAAAATCAACAACAGCTGAAGGCGAAAAGAAATAGTTCGAATGATAAAGTCAAGAAAAGGCAGAAAGAACAGAATTTGTCGAGTTTTGTTTCATCCGTTTATTTTTATCCCCGTGTGCAGTGTGATGCTTGATTTGATTTTTCACCCGATGTTCTTTCGTTCGTTTTTTTTTTCTTTTCTTTATTCTTCTCTCTTTTTTTCTATTAGTTACTTCATTTATGCTTAGTCCTAGACATATTTTTAGTCAACAACATTAGCAGAAATCGTTGATACCATACATTAATAAAAATTTTAAGCAAAGTAAAAGCTACACCCCGGAACATCAGTCTTCATCTCTTTGATGATGATTTATCATGCTACATGACAATCACATCAATCAATATTGCTTTCGACATCCTATCGCTGACACAATCGCATCATGCCGAAGGAACGAACTAATTCCTATAGATATTTGCTTTCGATTCTATTCGTAAAGTAAATGCTTTATTAATTGAATATTATTCTATTAAAATTTCGCAATATGCACCTGAAAAACTATTCATACAAGCACAACGATTCTCGATCGTTAGACATGTTCCATTGTTTTGACAAATATTGTTCTTATCATCACAAATTAAACTATTCAATTCACAGTTTATACCAGCAAAACCCTTCTCACATTGGCATTGCCGCTTGATTGGATCGCATTTGCCACCGTGTTGACATTCGTGTAATAAACAATAGAGTTCGCCTGTGACATTCACACAACTGTCTGCTAGACAGATTTCTTCCGGATATTGACATTGCTCTTCGCCACACTTGATAACTTCTTGACAAAATTTACCAGAGAACCCTTCTTCACATCGACAGAGTCCATCGGCGGTTGTCGGCGATTGAAGACATGTTCCATTGTTCATACAAGGATTCGATGAACAAAATGATTGATGTAAATTTTCAGAACACTCAATACCTGAGTAGCCATATGTGCAGAGACATTTATAAGTTTGACTGACGACTTCATGAACACATATTCCATTGTTTTCTAAATGAGAAGAAGTTTTTCTCTGTCAGCATAATGATATTCGACTTCCTTACGACAAGGATTCGATGCACACGGATGTAATGGAATATCACAATAAACTCCTGTTACATCTTTTGGACATACGCATCGTCCGTATTTGTTATCAATTAATGCACACTTGCCTTGATTTGTATGACAATATTTCTTGCATGCTGCAGGTGTTATGTATTCACAGTACGGTCCAGCATAATCAGGTGGACATAAACAAAATCCATCACCTGTTTGATTCAATACAACGCATGTTGAACCATTTCGGCAAAGTTCAAGTGAACAAAACGTCTTTTGTGTATGCTCGCACAGCCGACCTGAATAACCAGGTGCACAAAGGCATTGCCCATCAACACCATCTAATGGCACACATGTACCTAAACACAGATATTAATGGTCGTCTTTTTTACTTGTATTTTCTTCGAAACCAACCGTTATTTCGACATGGATTTTCTTCACAGAACGGAACACGCTTTTCGCACAAATCTCCAACATATCCCGGTTGACATAAACAAATTCCAGCCGGAGGTTCGATTAATATACACGTGCCGTTGTTTTTGCATGGTGATAAACTACAAAATGTGTCATTTCGATAATCATATTCACAAAATGAACCGTTGAACATCGGCGGACACGAACATTTGTAACCATTATTCGACGTATTATAACAAGTTCCATTATTCTGACAAGCACATTCGCCGAGATTTTCTTCGCAAGACACTCCAGCGTATTCGGGTGGACATAAACACATGAAAGTGCTATTTGTTGGAGATTCTTTCGCAAGAACTGGCGAACATAGACCTCGATTATAGCATGGATTACTTTCACAGGCTTGTTGAGCATAATTCAATTTCTCACAAAATCGACCGTGAACATACTGAGATAAAGTCATGTTAGTTGAATGAATTGTTAGCAAAAGAACACTTACAGAACTACAATGACAAGTGAATTCCGATTTGGAAATGAGTTCACATTTTCCAGCTCGACATGGATTGGATTGACATGGATTCGTCCAATTTTGAAGATGAACATCTAATGAATAAGATGAGCAATTCTTTTCTTTCGAAGACTCAACTCCTACATACTCATCAGAGAATCAGATCCATGTATAGTTTGAACACAGAAAGCAACCATGAGTGAAATCGTCCACCTAAATACGTTGTTCATTGGTAAATGTAAGAAACGAATACGAAATTCTTTACTTCGTCATTTCACTTGTATTACGAATGTATACAGTGATTGATTGTGAAGAAAGAGAAAGAAAAGAGCGATTGTTTTGTCTGGACAATAACGTGTTCGTCCACTTCTATATTGTCTTGTCTGTATGTGACCTTTCATGTATTATCAGCTTTATTATGCATCAAGACGACCAAACAAACGTATTAAATTGATGACAAGAGCTGTAAACCGCATTAGTCTAATGAATCTTAGCATATGATCAGACAACAATCGAATATCTCGTTAGATTACCGAGATTGAGTGACAGACGAACGTGTAGCAAGTGAATGCAGAAGTCGTACAAAAAGTTTTTCATGCAAAATGTAGAATAAAAACAAATTTGATTACACATGACGGCAATTCAATGTTTGAGTATATATTTTTAAAACGTCATATTAAAATACAACCATGCGATCGTTGCCTCAAACTTTTTTTTTGTGTTTACTAAGTGCAAAAGTACGTTTTTTCTTCTCGTTCTGCGTTACTATGTGAGCTACGCACTTTTATGCAACATAAACATTCAAGGTAACATGCGAATAGCGACTATTTTCTTACGAGACAATCAGACAAAAATGATCAAAATGAAGTTGATTTCTGCTATGTTGCTGTTTTTACTGGCGATTATCATCATGATATTTGATCTGTACGAATACCACATATACTCATACAAACCAAAATATGAGTATCCGTTTCAAGATCCATCGTTACCGGTTGACACAAGATTAAACAACCTAATGTCATTGTTAACAACAGAGGAAAAGGTTTATTTCAATTGTTGAAATAGACTGTAAGATGCAACTATTTGCTTTTTTAGATTGACATGTTATGGATAGGAGCATTGACACCAGGTAGTGTCGTGGAAGGTTTTCGTTGATTATAATTTCCTTTCTTTTTTTATTACTTCAGATGGAGAGACAATCAATTTGATTGTACCGCGTTTGGACATTCGTGGCTTTTCTTGGATGGGACAAGGATATGTTTACCGATCGGCATCAAATGGTTGCAATATAAATTGCCAAAGTCCGGCCACTGATGGAAACGTTTCTGTTTTACCACAAGGTACAGGAGTAGCTTCAACATGGAACAGAGATCTCATTTTTCAAGCTGGTGTCATGATCAGCGATGAATCTATGGCTATACATTACAATTATCAAAATAGAACAGTTGATTACAAAACAGGCGCATCCAGCGTGATAAATATCGCTCGAGATCCTCGTTGGGGACGAGTGCCGGAGACATACGGTAGTTAAATTCAGTGTTCTGACTTATCTTTGTATTCTTTTTGGATGAACAGGTGAATGTCCGATATTAACTGGTGAAATAGCAGTCGCTTTCAACAAAGGTTTGATGGGTTATACAAGATTAGAAGATACGAAACTCGAATATGAAATTTATAAAGTTCTGCCTGTGATGAGGTAAATGATCTGTTCGAATATATTTTTCAGATTATTTCAAAGATCTTTTAAGACATTTTGTTGACTACGATGGTCCTGATAATGGTCGATTTAGTTTTAATGCAATTGTATCTGATCCTGACTTGAGGTATGTAATAATATCCATTGAGTTTGATCTTCCAACACATTTTTGTATACAGAGCAACATATTTACCAGTGTGGAAAAAACTTATCGATGAAAATGCTATTGTCGGTGTGATGAGTGCAATCAGTGCGGTCAACGGAGTACCATCAGCGGCAAATAAATATCTGCTAAATGACGTTTTACGAAACGAGTGGAATTTTACCGGCTATGTGATTAGTAACATTGTTTGATTTGTCTCTCTTTCTCTCTCTTCAACGTCTTTTTTCGTGTTTGCAGGCGACTGTGATCCAGTCGGTGACATACAGAGATCGTTTCATTATACAGCTACATTAGAACAAGCCGTCGCTGCGTCTGTATCGTCGGGCAATGATATTAATTGCGGTGGCGTGTTCCAATTGTTGCACAAAGCACTCAAATACGGTTATGTCAACTTGGATACAATCAATACTGCTATTAAACGAGGTTTACGTTCACGGTTTTTAAGTGGGAATCTCGATCCAATCGGTAGTGATCCGTATGCGTCCATGCCCTACTCAGTTGTCGATAGTTTAGAACATAAACTATTAACGAAACAAATTGTTACTGAATCTGTAGTTCTCCTACACAATCCAAATCAGATATTACCATTTAATTTAACAAAAATCAAGCAAATTGCTGTTATTGGCCCATCCGCCGATGATATCACTGTTCAAGCACATACCTACCATGGTACACCAAGTAAATGGATAACAACACTGGATGGTATACAAACCATAGCCTCAAAATCGAATATCACTGTTGTTCATACTACGGGTGCATTCCGTAAGAATGATAGTGACGAAGATTTTGCACATGCTTTAGGATTAGCTATTGAAAGTGATGTTATCTTATTTGTTGGAGGCCTAGATGCAAGCTTCGAAGAAGAAGATACAGATCGTAGTACTCTGCAATTACCCGGTGGACAGTCGGAATTGATTCAATTGTTGATGAGTTTAAATAAACCATTTGCAGTTCTAATTGTGTCGGGTTCACCTATATCCGAACCATGGATTGTACAGGAAAATCGAGCTGCTCTCCTGTGGATATCCTATTTCGGACAGAGTGGTGATGCAATAGCTGAGATCTTATTTGGATTCTCTGTTCCGAGTGGTTGTTTACCATTTACAATACCTATGAATACCAGTCAGCTATTGCCAATCGATGATTACTCAATGAGCAAATCACCTGGACGAACGTATCGTTACTTAGATTATACCAAAGCACCACCATTCTTTCCATTTGGTTACGGTTTATCTTACTCGACATTTACATATACATCACCATTATCTATTTATCCCAATCGGATAGATAATCTTGATACTGATATTACAGTGAATATCAGTCTTTCCAATGACGGTCCATATCGGACACAACGAGTAGTACAATTGTATTATGAATTTGTTAATTCAACAGTCAGCTATTTACCAAAACGTGAATTATTACAATTTAGCAAATTAACGTTTGACATCCATGAAGAGAAGACAGTTTCTTTCATCTTTCGCATTAGAAATCTTCCATATTCTAATCGACAACAAATACCTGGCAATGTAAATCTATGGGTTGGAAATAGTTACAACAGAGATGTACAAGCAACGCTTGCCATCGTCTTTGACGATTGATGAAAATCAACACAAAACAAGATTTCTATTTAGATACCAGTGATTAAGTTTTTTTGTAACGATTCGAACATTCTCGAATAGAATAATACATTACATTTCTGTTTTCTTTCTTTTACTAATGATGCATACGAGAAACGACGTAGACTTCTGTAGGCGGCATTTCCTGTTTTGTAAAAAGTTAACTATGATACAAATAGATCGGAAAGGCATTGAGTGCACCCTGGATTTCTTAATTTACCTCATCTATTTTTCTGTTAATTGTCACGTAATAGAAATCACGAAATATTCTCGTAGTTAATGAATTAATTAGTATCATACGGCGTTGAATATGTTTATATATAATCTAAGCCTTATCAGTATAAATTCTTCATTTTCCTTTGAGAATAGGAAACTTATTTTGACTTATGGAATATGAAGTTCAGTTTATTTTACTTCTTACCTTCCTCATTCCAGCACTTATTCTATCGAGTGTTGTTCTCGTACATTTTCTCTCGAATCGCGAAGTTCGTAATAAGGCACCAAATCATGGATGGATGATTTTACTCATTTTGAACTTCTTTCAATTGTTGTTGAACATTCCGATGCCTTTGAATTATTACTATTCGAATAGAACTGGCCCGGGAACGAACGGCTACTGCATCTGGTGGACGTGGTGTGAGTTTTCATTCAACAGCACTGGCTTATTCCTAATGGCATGGATATCAATCGAACGGCACGTGTTCATATTTCAATTGAACAATGGTTTTCAACAAAAGTGGAAAAAATGGATCTTACACATTCTGCCTCGGATTTTCTGTGTCTTTTGGGCACCAAGTTTATTCTTTGTTATAGTAGTTATCAGTCCTTTTTGTACTACTTCATGGGACTTTAACACATTTGCATGCGGTCCACCATGCTATTATTCCATCATGTTTCTCAATCAATTTGATTTTGTTTTCGATCTATTATTTCCCGTGTTTGTTATTATGTCAGCCAATGTCGCGTTAGTTCTCCGAGTTGTCTATCGAAAAGTCTCACGGCAGCGTGTTATTCAATGGCGACGTCATCGTAAAATGGTGTTACAGTTATGGATTGTTTCATCTCTTTATATCGCATTTTGGTTCCCAGTAACCATAACTTTGTTGATACAAAATACCGTTTCGCCATCATTTATGGCAGACCAACTTCAGACTATGCAGTTCCTTGTTTATTTCATTCCACTTCTATTACCGGTCATCTGTCTCAGCACATTCCCGAAACTAGTAAAGAAAATCAAGACGTTCATTCTACCATTGCAATCGAATACCATTGGCGTTGTTGTACTCAGATAACATGGAGAACGTTAAATAACCTTTCTTTCTTTCTTTTTTCTTTACGATTAATAAATCTTCATGAAATTTTCTAGAGAATAATGCTATAAAATGCTATTTTCCGAAAAGTGCATACTTGAAGTTTACTCGCTCACTATGAAGGACGAATTACATAACATTGTTGTGATGATAAAAATGAGTCTCAGATGGCATTAGCTGAATTTAGAAAGTTCTGCACGAGACCCGTCGACAATATTGTCCGTAAGCAACTGTTAAAGAATAATCCTGAACATTCTTGGTGAAGTTTTATGCGTTTTTTTTTTATTAATTTAAAGAAGTGTCAACACCTTTCTGATGCACGACCCGATTACTATCCACTCGGTTTATTTTCACGCTTTTGTAATTATTTATGTTTAAGAAGAAAAGAAAAGAATTCTCTGCACGACGACAGAACTTTTCCAGCACGTGAAAAGAGAACAGCAGCAGAATTAACGTGCTTATTCAAACAAAAAAAGTTGAAGGCGTGCCGTGCTTGATGTATTTTTCCATACATATGTTGCGTTCTTGTATTCTTCTCTTTTAGAAATCAGAAAATGTTCACAGCGGTGCATAGACACATCGGACGATTATCAGTTGATGGACAACACATCAAAGATAATGATTTGAGATCTATACTCACCAACGTGTATAGTGTTTTCACTGGACATGGTATGATTAATCATGTTTTGACATCGCCAGAGAGTTTGAATACGATGCAATTTTTTTGTAAACATATGGTTAGTAATGGTGTGCAGAAAAATATTGTACGTACTCAAATCATCGACCATGAAATGTTTACTTTGATAAGAAATACAATCCTATCGATCGTTGAAAAAAACAATCAATTAACCGAGCAAGACTGGGGTCCGTTTCACGCCATGTCCGTATTGTTGACATCGGCATTGTCTCCTGTGCAATTTGACGATGGAAGAGTAAACCGACTCGTTATAGAAACATTTTGTAGCGACGCATTCTTCAATGCCGTAAAACAATGTATGGAAAATTTATCGTTAACCACTGAGCAAAACAATCCAACGAAATATCGCATCCTTAGTTATGTTTTTCGACATATTTACGCACATAGTAAGACGTACCGAAGCAGAGTTCGAATACTGTTTTTAGATCTTGTGGTGCGATGTGTAACATCAAAACATTACGTTGATCAATTTGAGAAAAATGAAGAAGCATCAAAAGATTTTTTCTTATTGGATTGTCCCAGTTTTGTTCTTCCGAACTCAATTGATCGACACAGCGAAATTGCGAAAATTCTATGTCCATCTCTATTGCAAGACTATCGAACCATTTTAGCTTATCGTATTCAACGAAAATCAACTGATTCGCACAAAAATCCATATCTTACCTTCTATTTGAAATTATTGAACTTTTGTACAGCAATCGAATCGACACGCGATATGTTCGTACAATACGTACCATCGATCATCACGCAAATCTTTATTGTTCTGAAAGATTATCTTGTGTTAGAAAGTGACAAAGTCATTACGGGTATTAAAGATGAACAACTCGTCATTACTATTCTCACATTGATCTATAATTTGTTACCAAATTCAGCAATCAACCTCGCGATTAAAGAAAACGCACCGATATCAGTTTTAGTATTACTCAGCGGTAAAGAACAATTACAAATGACGAACGGCAACTTTGAACGAAAAAAGTATGTCATTCCAAAAGCGATTCAAATCGAAGCTCAAAACCTTCTTCCTCTGCTAACGGAGGATATCGAGCAATTAGAGCGACCTGAAGAAATCACACGTGCGTCAATGACATGTTTAGCTAAGGCTGTTAAGAGTGAATCACATATGTGTAGTGGAATGCATGCTAGTAGCGTACTAATGAATATGAATAGTAAGTCGAAATGGATAAAATATTCTTTCATGAATCAATACGATTATTTCGTTTCAGCTATCGTGCAGAATGATCAAGTCAAAGAACAGATTGTTGAGCAAGGCGCTCTTCGACTATTGTCGGATTGCGTCTGTGATCCAAGTATTGCCATTGAGGAAATTCGGCAACCAGCATTGAGTGTAATCTGGACAGTTAGTTTCAATCCAAGAGCTGCGTGCATATGGAAAACAGATCAAGCGCTCATAGCTCAGCTACTTGAAATCGATAGGACGCATGTCAATCGGCCGCCATCGGTAGCAAACAGTATCCTTTGGCAATTAGTTAACGAGGAAAGATTCGCAGCTACGCAATCAAGCATCCAACGCATGTTAGTTTTACCAAATGGGCGAATGCAGAACAGTGATGATACGATGTGGGTTAACATAAATATGCCTGGCGGTGAGATCGTTGTTTTCCGAGAAAATCTAACGCAAGAACAAAAGGAAATGTTGAAAGCTGAACGCGAACAGACAGCAAGTCTACCGAACAGTAACATCCAACCGTACGAATACGATCTAATGATAAGCTATTGTCATAGGAATAAGGATCTATGTACGATTATTTATAATTGTTTATCGAAGATGGGTAAATATAGAATTTGGTTTGATCAAGAGCAAATGTATGGTTCAACCATGGATCGTATGGCTGAAGGCATTGAAAAGTCACATTTAATCCTAGTCTGCATGTCGAGCGCATACAAAAACAGTAACTCGTGTCACAAAGAATGCGAATATGCTGATAAACGTCAGCATAAAGTACTTTTCGTGAAAGTCGAACCAAATTATACGCCAAACGGTTGGTTAGGATTCTACCTGGGACAACAATATTACATAGATGTTACCAAACCTGATTTTCTGAGTCGATTCAAAGATTTGATTAAACAAATTAGCTTGCAAAGAAACGAAACACCTGATTATTCAATGCTAGATAAAATTGTTACGGCCGATGTACAAACTGCTGTTGTCAATGCAATACAAACAAAATCGGAAGGAAAACTTGGTAGTAGTGATACTAATATTCGTCATTCAGTTTCAACAAGTACACTATCGTCAGTGTCATCCCGAAGTTCATTGAATTTCAATGATCTTGCCAAAACGAAAATCGACGATATATCAAATACTCCGAAGATAACTATGCGAGAAAATATGACACCAGAGAAACTTGCAAAATATTACCCGGCGCGGTATTCATACAGTAATATCAATGATGATCAAGATTCTCTCAATGATATTGTTGCGAGTATTCCAACGCCAAGCATGTTAAGTTTACCGAGTGAAAGTGACATAGTTGGACTAAATGATCAAGTCGGTGGATTTCGACTAGATCTGTTATCAGCAATGATGCCGCAAATGAATCGAGATTCGATTACTGTGTCCGAATTGGCTTTGAATACTGAGAGAAGCAGTGTAAACCCAAACAAGCTAGTCAAGGATTGGACACGCAACGATGTGCTTGAATTTCTCCAGAAGAACAATCTTATGCATGCATCTGTATTATCTCAAGATCAAGCAATTAATGGACAACGCCTTTTAGACTTCTGCGAAAGTAATCAGTCACCACCTCCTACGATTATATCAACAGCCGATTATGAACGTTTAAAATACGAACTGCACAAACTGATAATCTTCGAGGCCAAAGAATAGAAAGAAAGGGCGAAAAGAGCATTTTCCCGTTCTACTCGGACATAGATAAACATACAATGTTACTCGAAGGATTTTATTTATTAATTTTCTTGATTATGATTGTGATAAAAAATACAAATCAAAATCTTCATTTTTAATTCCACACTTTTTAATAAAATTTCGAAATCCGCAGATGGCTGCTTGATGCTCCAACTACCAAGAGGTAATTCTAAATTAACTTTATCCGGGCCCTTTGCGTTAATAACTAACTTAAATTGATCATTTTCCAAAATTGTGACATTCCAATGAATATCAATTGTTAAATCAGTTCCCTGATACCAAAAGATTAACATATCACGATTTTCGATCAGTTTATGTTCAGTAATCCACTGGTTTTTTCCTTGACTTGACCAACGCATGCATTTACGATAACGATCGACGAGTCTAGTTTTTAAATTATATATCATTGACACCATGCAGACAAACGGATCTTCGAAAGAAATCACCGGCAATGTCGGTTCAGCATTAACTGTCGATGAAACAGGGAAATAGTCGGTTCGTTCGTGTTTGCCCTGGAGTGGCACGATGATGCATTGAAGCTGGTAATCAAGTTCATCTATTGACCATTGCTGATCTGGACCAGCAAAACCACGATCGAAGATTAGCATTAAATGTTTTTCTATATGTTGATACATAATTCTATCGTGGTTAAAACCTGAAATTGACAAATTTGGTGATTCCACATAAAAAATATATCTCCTACAAACATACTTGTGACAGCGTCAATTTTACTTTCGATAATTTTGACGTTATCACGCAATTGATGCGGTGCATTGCCATATATATCACGAGATGCTCTTGGTTTGTGACCAGTGAGCAGCCTGAAGAGAAGAGCGCAGGTACCCGATGCGTCAATTGTAGGACTGTGTTGACAAGGTTGAACTTGTTGATTAGTTTGAAAATTGATCTCTTCAAGCTGTGGAACCAAGTAAAATTCACTGCTTCATTGCTCCTCGATAGGTTCCATGCAATTAACCTGTTGATTACCATCGATCCATGCCGAAGTGAAGTTAACTAGCATCAATCTGAAATCATCCGTTGTTGGATCTCGTTGAATAAGAATGTTTTTTGGTTGAATGTCACGATGAACAATCTTGTGATTGTGAACTTGTTTGATGATCATTAACAAGGATCGACAGATTTGTAAAGCTCCAAGCAATGGAACTTTACCATGGACTTTTAGATAATCTGAAAGTCTTTCGCCATCCATTAACTTCATAATTGTCCAGAATTCTGTTTTTGATGAAGCTTCATCGACTACATTACTTTCGCATATCTTCGGCACACAATTATGCAATTTACTTAGCAGTTGTAGAGCAACTCGCTCACGACGAGCACGTAATAAGGTTTTCCCATGACTTCCTGGCGAGTAGATTTTTATTATGGCGCCCGTGCCTTTCTTCGATGAACTTTTCAATCGATATTGTTGATCTGTATCAGATGAATCGGCATTCATCATTTCACCGGTCCACTTCCAATGAGCGGCCAGTTGCGACATATCCGAAGGCGATGAGCGAACTGTAGTCTCTAAAATAAAGAGATTATTTGAAAAAGAACAAGATTGAAAAAGCAGCATTTCTACGTGTTTGTGATCTCTGCGAGGAGCTGGCGAGTTTGTCTTTTTGAACAGTTGATCTATTTGTTGAAATCGACGATGATATATACGGCTGCTTACTCATTTGAGAATGTTCAACAGTATTAGCAGCTGCAACGGATGAATATGACTGTTGTAGTCGACTTCGATTTGAACAAGTGCTCCCAAGACTTCGTGTCGGTGATGCAGATCGACTGCTGTTAACCGATGGAATTATATCCGTATTATCATTCCATTCGAACAACTCCTGGGCTAATTCTAATTGACATTGTATTCTTTGTTGTCTCGTCGACGAATAAAATGTGTCATGATATTTATCTATCAATTGTCGAAGTCTATTTTCAGATGGTTGTCGTACTAGGTAAGCTGTTATTGACGGCTTCGTTGAATTGCCATCGAATGGTTGCAAAATTAAATGCTGGGAAAATTTCGGATTGATATTCAACCGTTTGAGAAGATCATCATGAGTAACATCGGGAGGTAGATTGCTCAGTTTGACACGATAACGTGCATCTTCCAAACCTATGTTCAAATCAATGATCATAGAGTGAAGATAGATGAACGGATTTCTCCTTACGCTGCGGGGGTCGAAAATGCGGTCTAGTTGGGCGCACATCCGTATGTCCATACCAACAATCCGGATTTTCGCAAGTATCAGGTTCATCACAGCTGATATGTCTGAAGTGACACGTGTCATTTGTATATGGGCATTGACCTTTTAGAAAATTCGTACACAATTCATCTTCGTCGATTTCTTCTTGCATCACTTGACATACAATACGATTTCTACGCAGAATTTTGCCATTGTTTTCTTCAGCTATATGTTGTGCATCTGCTTTGTCTTTGACTCCTTTTATCCAAGCTTCGCTCGTTGTTCGAGCATCAGTTGAATGCGCTTGTTCGATTAGAAAACATGGATGTACAAGAATAAAAGGAATACGAACTTTGAATATATTAGCTAATTCTTCGCTTGTAACACGAACAGGTAGATTTGTAACATGAATACAATAAGGAATGTTGTTTGCAATACAATCTGCGTCTAAAAGCAAATTCTCTATCTCAACAATCGATATGAGAGATCTTTCTCTCTACCTGTAATGTATTTTTCTAAATCAATTGTTCGTCCCTTAATTTTCAATCTTTGGTTACAGATGATGTTTCTATCGACTGCATCATAACTGAAATGATCAAATTGAAAAGCTTTGTTAACGCTCTATATACTTCCTATACTCACTCATTGAATTGAAATAAGGCTTCCGTTTTAGCTGAATTCATCCACTTGCTGGAAAGAATCTTTCCATTGTATTGAAAATGCTTGCTTAAATCGTTTTCATTCACTTTATCAGTCAATAAATGCTCATCTTGAAATGATTGTATGCTTATTTTCAAACCGGTAACCATTCGATCATACAATCGATTTTTCGGCAAACTTCGCATAACTTTTAATAGTTTACCATTCAACGTAAAAGGCCGTCCTTCCATAAATTCATCGACACTCTTCAGAGAATCGAATCCGATATAGATCCGTTGACATTCTTCACCATTTTTGCCTGCAAAAACAATCCGTTTTGTTTTCCAATGAAGAAAAACTACAATTGAATACATACGATAAGGAGTGCCACGCTTATTTATCTTATAGTTGCCAGTAGAATACTTCTTCAAAAAGTGTAAGATTGTTTTGTCCAGCGTGTTTTTGTCTACATCATGCAAAGTTATACCAAATTCAGTGATTATCGATGCTGCCATTATTTTGTTGTGAAATCCTTCAAATTCTGAATAACAATGTGGTAACTGCTTTTATAAAGGCAATGACGTTGGGAAAAAACCCACTGTCATAGTTCTTCACATTCTACCCAAAAACAAAAGTCTGGGTAACAGAGAGCTTGCAATGAGTGCTGAAAAGGTCTACTCGTTATCTCTCTCTCGCTATCAAGGCTACTGCGTAAAAAAATCTTTCGGAGAAGGTACGCCATAAAACTGTCTCCTGTTGATAGTGCAAGTTTAACAAGCTACTTCAATCAAGTATGTTTGAATCCAAGAAAATATTCTTGTCAAATGAGTCATCTTTTGGTTCAAGCTGTCGCAGAATTAGACACATTCGTAAAAAGGCTCTTTAGCGTTTGAGTACCGAGAAAATGTTTTCGTTCTGTTGGACACGAAAAACAAAATACGGCAAGCCACTGTTTCGTCTCCTATTAACAATAGCAGTATTCACGAGATTAAACATTAGTAATGATGATGAGTTTCTGTACAAAGCATATAAACGAAAAGGAAAAAAACATGGGGCACCAACTGTCGAATGATTGATTATCTACGCAATCGAAAACAAGTATGTTGACATCATAAACGATTATTTAGAACAATTCTCGTTCATAGCGCTCCAGGATGGAGAGATAGAATCGAACTCGAAGTTGTCAGTGACCGATGTTTGCTCTGCAAGAAACCACGCAGTATGCATATAGTGTTATCTAATGACGAAGTATTATGAAATATGATGCGCATATACAGAATGAAACTATCTGAGTAAAACATACTACGTTAACAGGTAGAAATATAATTGACTATCTGCTTCAGCTAGAGGGTGTTACGAAATATCAATTTCGAGGTTAAGCTACTAAGCATACAGTGTTATGTCCAAAAATGATTGCAAGGTCATGTTGTACATTTGAGAAATGTTTTAACTAAGTCAACGGAGTACATTAGTGTGACGCGAACGCGCCTGACAGTTTCCTCGAGAATGCTTCGGACCTTGCATTTTTACACGTTTGCTTTGTACCATTTGAATTAATTTGTATTTGAAGTTGTGCAATGACCTGGGACCTCAAGGACAAACCTTTTTCTTTCTGCTAGATACCTGTATGTTTGTATAGATGAGAATGAGAAAAAGGAGTTATGTTTTGCCACGATTTTATGGGAACTGTGACGACATAACATTTACCAAAACAGTCAGCAGACACAGTTAAACAACAAAGAAGCTACATGCAAAATCCTGAAATCGTCATTCTAATAGACCACCAGTTAACCATTTGAATCCCCGCGGTACATATATGTACCACCTAAGAAAAGTTTCGGTTATATTTGTGGTTTTCGAAAAGTAGGAATACTTTTCAAAAGACTTCATTGTAAAGACACATATTAGCAAGATTGCCTCAATATTCTATGAATAGACATTCTTGAAAAGCATATGGTTGTATTTACCATATTTCACTTTGAAAAATCGTGTTTTGATTCATTGTCATATGACCACAGGCTAATTATTCTATGAAATACAATAAATTCTGACTCTCATGAAAGTTCAATTATTTCTGATGAATTCACAAGTGGTGATTCCCAATCGAACAACTCAATCAAAGTTTAGTCGGTGATTGAGAATGGATAGTTGGCAGCTCAAGTTTTTTCAACTTCTTTCGAATATTACAACAGACATACATCAGGAAACAACATGATTTGACGAATAGATTCATTTTTCAAGTTCCTATCCCTAGCTGTGATCACACAGCTTTTTATTTTAACTATATACCAAACACCATCTAGAGGGTGTGATAGTTATTGCGCTCAGACCTAGATTTGTTAGAGAAAAAAATCGAGACTCAAAAGGTTAAACTAGCGTAGTCGCGTCTTTAAAAATGATTGCAAGGTCATGTTTTGCATTTGAGAAATGTTTTAACTGAATGATCAGGAATGCATTAGTGTGACGCGAACGCGCCTAACAGTTTCCTCGAGAATGCTTCGGACCTTGCATTTTTACACTTTTCCTTTGTACCATTTGAATTGATTTCTATTTGAAGTGGTGCAATGACCTTGAACCTCAAGGACAAACCTTTTTCTTTGAAGTTTTACCCAATTTTTGCAAGATCCATATTCTCAAATTGCTCGATTATGTGCCGATAGATATTCGGCGTTGTGGAGTTGCTTTTTGTCCTTCAAGATCTATACGAAATACAATCTACACGTGAATGATAGACATTTCGCTCAAGTCATCGTTTTATCATGCATCTGCACAAACTGAATGAGTCTTGCTGAAAGATTATCTTTGTAACAAATGCGGTTTTTAGCAATCAAATGCGCACATTGGCATTTAAGTGACAATTGTCGATTGACTCGGAGGTAATCTTTGATTTCGAAATTGTTTGCTACATCTTCTGGTCGAAGACCTTGATAATTAACATAATCCAAATGGGCGTTTGCATCGAGTAGAATTCTGATAGTCGCTATCGCCGCATCAACATCGTCACTCGAAGCAATTAGATGCAATGGTGTTGACTTTGTGCGTGGCTCAAGTTCGTCTACGTTGGCTCTAGCATTGATTAATAATCGGATAATAGATAGCGTTGGCATACTAAAAATACAACATACTTCCATTATACACCAGTTACCTAATTGTTAAACAATTGAAATAACGGAAATCGATACATACGTGATGCTACTGTATGTGCAGTCATCCCAGCCGGAATGAATTAAACTGACAAAGAAGGTGAACAATGGATAACCATCAATTTCAATAGTGTTCGAACGTACACCTCGGCGAACGAAACTCAAGAGAACGTGTTCTTCTTGTTCATTGACTTTTTTTGCATCAATCATCTACGAAAAATATGATCATAATTCGAATAGTTCCATTTTAGTAGAATACTCACGTGCAGCATAACGAAAAGTAATTTGAATACGATTTCCGTCGACGTTTTATTTCTTCTCCTGATTGACGATTGTTCTGGAAAATGCAGATGAAATGGCGAAGGTGAATCTTGATAATAAGTACATCTACGACTACGCATCCTTCTTCCGCGGTATTTCTCTTGAGCCTCCAAAATGATTTCTTTTGATGATGATCTCCATGGGATATGAAGTGATGGATATGATCCTAGATCGAGCATCCATGACCAGACGATGCCCATATGCCGCATTGGAATAGTATTTTCTGACTTCAGTATTTTGTCTAGAGCGTTCAATACTCCAATAAGATGTTCTGTACGCAATTTCACGTTCTTTCGACCTTTGCTTTCATTTTTCAGTAGTAGCTCATACGCATGCATGCGAATTTCCAAACAGCGATCATATTGCTTTTTCCACCGATACAAATTATCTTGCTTTCTCAGCAGTGGCATCAGATGATTTTTTTCACCATTTTCCGCTGAAACTCGTTCACTCATCATCAGTGCGAATGCTCGTAGTTTACTATCGTCATCTCGGATCAAAGCAAGCTCGTCGAGTGTTTCACGTGTTGAACCATTGTCCGTTAGTATTCTTTTGCTCAAAGCTCTTTCCAAGTAGCTGTATGCTGTACGACGCTTCTTCTGATTTCCATCAATGATATAGTGACACGCAACGAGAGCTAGTTCATCCACAACTTGCTTTTCAGGTAATATCCGTATTAGCATCTCCTTTATTGGTGTGTTATTGCAATAATCTGCTAACATCAGAGCAGTGAAACCTGTCCGAGCCATTGGAAAACGATCATGTTGATGATTGATGAGAATTTCAGCGATGTGGTTGTATCTTTTGTGTATTGCATAATCGAGAGCGGTTCTTTGTTTGTAATCAACGAGTAATGGATCAGCACCGTACTGAAGAAGTACTTTGACAATATCGAGATGATTACGACGGGTGGCGGCGTGCAATGCTAGTTCATTATAGTTTCTTGCTTGTTGATTCGGATCACAACCTTTTCGAAGAAGATAATGAATGATATATTTATGGCCATGCTGTGCAGCAACAATGAGAACGCCACATTTGTTGACATTCGCATGACCACGTTGAACGAGCTGTTTGACTAGACGAAGATCTCCTTTGCGAGAAGCACACCACAGAGCCGTTCTACCATTAGAACAAACGTGCTCAATAATGGTACGATACACATAACCATGAAAGATGTTATTAAGTATAATATGAGCGCAATCTGACTCTTCACGGTCTATGGCATGGGTGAGCATTGTATGTCTGTTGCGTCTCTTTCTTAAACGGTATCGTTTTTGAGGATACTGCCGTTGCCGAGCGTTCACTTTCCGTTCTTGCATAATTGCATGTAGGAGAACAGCATCGTCAGAGTCAATAGCGTGGCGTACGGCGTCTTTTTTATATTTTCCATAGCAGACACTCTGAACGGGCTTCGAATATGAATAATCAACATTTGTCTCATACGAATTCTCATCATATACATCTGAGTAATCCGAATCAGCTCCAGTAGCAACCAGTTCCTGCCTTCTCCAAGAGCGAGCAGATGATCGGGTACGTTCAGGAGAATCTTGGAAATAGAAAACGAATAGATAGTAGGTAGAAAAACATCGTAGTGTGACATACGTGATAATGTTTGATTTACTCTTTTTGCTGATCGAATTGCATGTCTGTGATATTGATGTTGTCGAGCGCAATTACGTTGATCAGCCATATGTTGACCGAATTCTTTTTGTGGAACACTAAGAAACGTTTGTTATTTGTAGTTTTCAAAACAATATAGATTTAGAAGGTTAACTAAAACTGTTTTCCATAGTTTTCTTGCATCTTATAGAATATTTCTCCATACACTGAATCTGTGAAATATGAAAAAGAATTGCGTGCAATGTGCGCTTTATTGTGCAATATCGTATGTAGTTTATTCATACATCAACAGGGGAGTCTATTAATCAAGCGTATTTACCAGTAAACAGAGCGCGAGCGAGTATAACTATCGAATCTTTGCTTTCTTCACATGTTGTAATGTTTTCACCACGCTGGCGTGTAACAAGAGAAAAAACAATGAATCATGCATTGCATCAGCGTTATAAATTCTATTTCAGATGGGTTAAAATCGAGAGTTAAGCAAGATTGCATTTTCATTGCAAGCAGTCGATAGACGTCGTTGTTTTATTTTAAATAAATACTAACAGTGCTCGAGAAAATGGATAGTCCAATTTTTGTTCAATGGCAACAGTGGGAAAATCGAATTCAAGAATGGCTCAGCCAGTCAACTGAGGATACATTGGATCTCGCGAATACTACATCTTTCGAACGAATGATTTTGAGTATTTTATCTGTTAAGTATAAAATTGTATATCAAAATCTAAACCAAGAAAGCAGTTCCACCGTAACAAAGAAGCACAGTGAGCGACTATTCAGTGTTCGACTTTCAAGGAACAAACTCTTCGATTTGGAGAGGAGAAAAGAACGTGACCGAGACAAACTAATTCTATTCGTCCAGTTGACCAGTCGTTATTTGACTTCAGAACAAATGAACAGTGAGACATCACCGGAATGGCAAGAATTAAATGAACTTTGCGACTGGCATGGAAGTGTTTTCTTACAACGTTTTAGGAATTGTCTACTTCAATTCTTACGCGAGTTAATATTCGCAAATTCAGCTTACCAAGAATTCATTAGTCAACCTGTCAAAGTTCCGGTTGTACCTGAAGTCATCAATCAAATCTATGAAGTACGCAACGATGGAAAAGTTTTTCTAAGTGTTGATATGAAATCTGCAAACTTCTCCATGCTTCAATATATACACACTATCGATGCTCAGATGTACCCAACTTGGGCAGATTTTCTCTCAGTATTCGTTGGAGCCCGACCCATAATCACAAACAGCAGAAAATTACGAATGGATTGTTTCGGTGATCTGCCTGAGCGTCACAAACTACACGCATTGTATTTATATTACACGACGAATATTTATCAAACGACTCTTCGTCGTTGTCTAGCTGAAAAAAACGTCGACGCGGAGTGTGCAGCTTTGACTGGAGATGAAGTGGTATTTCATTTAGATGACTCCATCGATACGGACAGAATATGTGACTTGGTGCAATATGTACAATCGTCTCTCGATAAAGAAAGTCCGTTGGTTAGATTCGTTGTACAAGCATATCGCATCCGTGCGTTCAATTGGCAGCAAGAGCATTTATGCTTTGCACGATTATTTATTGGTGACAATGACAATAAGTTTGATTTGAAATGCGTTCCGCACAGAGACAGAAACTATGATCAAGCATGTCATGATTTTCTTGAGACGCATATATTATGATTTGAAGTAAAACAGATGAAAGTTTGTGAAGGAAATAATTGTGTATTCAAAGAATGGTCAAGTATTGGGATGGAATTACTTGCCGGACGTGTTTTAATGCTAACTTTATCGATTCTTCGTCTTTACGGCTCTTTGCATTGAGAAAGTTGCTTGTGTAATTACTGATTTTCAGAACATGATAGAAGAAAAGACATCCAAACGAGTATTCACTCAATACTAGAGCTGTCAGATAGGTAATAAATACTGAATAAAGACAAAGCGAAAACAAGATGTGTGCATATCAAATATCCGCTATTCTCCTTTATTTTATGTACGGAGTATTTTATGATTTCGTTTACCTTGACGCCTGAAGGAAGAATCTTTGCGCATAGCAGATACATCTCTATAATAATCCTCGTAAAATAGAAATCGGTCTTTATATAGATGACGTGTTCGCGAAAGGAAAATATCGATAGGTAAAGCATCAAGATTGTGTAGACTTTCAAGATGTATTACTGAATTACGATAAGAGGAAAAGCTCTACGATTAGTAAGAATGAAATGTATATTTGATAGGAGTTTTTAGTAGCAGCTGAATAAGGGTCGGTTAGCACTTCGATAAATCCATCATCGACTATTGATTTAAGCCATTCACGATAAGCAGTAACGCGGGTGTAAACACCTGAATAACGGCGATCGCCACAACCTATACCGAAACTAGTGACACCAGCCAATAACCATCGTTTTTCTTTCGGATCGAATCGCATCAACGGTCCTCCCGAATCTCCTTGACACGTATCTGATTTAAAAATGAAAAGCAAGTTCACCAATCTAAACAAACAGGTTTCTCTCACCTTTACCACCGCCATCTACACCAGCGCAAAACTGTGTAGTTGAATTCTTAATAAATTCCGTACATCTCTCATCATGAACAGGTACTGCATTTACTGTGACTTGGTGCAGCCTCTCAGGAACCTTCTCGTCACTCTGTTTCAATTTGCCCCATCCGATAGCTACGAGAGACGCTCCATCACCAGGATAGCGAGCATACTCGCTCACTGGTTCCACACTAGGTATGCACAGACGAGCGAGAGTGGTTTCATTAGTAATATTCAGGGGTTTACTCAATCGGAGCACACCAATGTCATGCATTTGTGTTTCTGCATGAAAATCTGGATGAGAAAATATGTTCTCTAACCGGCTAAATTGAGCACTCGTTGATTCGTAATCTGACCATCGGTTGACGCCAACAACTACGAATGCCTTCTGAGTTAAATCCTTGTCAGTGAGACAGTGTGCAGCAGTAATAACATGTCGTGGTGAAACAATCGTTCCAGTGCAAAAATGGCCAACATCGGATGAGTGTATTGATACAGCCCATCCCCAGCTGCCTGGAAATGCCTCTTCACCACCAATGATTTTAGATGCGTGAACATTGGCTTTTGAACATCCACAACCGGCAGTTCCATTGCATCTGTATATTAGAGAGAAAGCAAGATTTACGTTGCATACGAACAAGAGAAGTAAAATAGTTCCTGTATGCTCCATCACGGTATTTGACAACGTCATATTTAAGACTTTTCTTTTTATACTATCGATAGAAAGCGTATTTACAGATATCATTTTTCTCCGCACAATCCAGCATTGTCTGATTTTTTCAAACAAAAAAGTCTCGAAAAAAAAGAAATTCAGTGGGCGTAAATCAATCTGATAGACTTTCTGTATTGTAAAAGTGCATTGTAATACTATACCAATAATATGTACAGCCAACAAAAATACTGAGTAAAAACATTTACACTACTTATCAATATCCCCCGCCGTGCACATGATACGACGCTGATCTCTCCTGATAAAGATAAGTTTGTTATAATATTGCACAACAACCATCAGCAGCGGTTCAGAACCATATACGAAGTGAATACTTTTACTTTTTCAGTCATTTGTTAATACATTACGCAGCTAAAATATTCATATGAAAGTCAAATAGAAGTGCGAAGAACAAAAAGAAAACACCTCAACGATGACTCATTTATAATATTGCACAAGTTAGTTGTCAGTATTTTTCTGTTCCTTGAAAGTGCATGGCTGAACCTACATTCGTTGTTTTAGCCTCCTTTTTGATGATTTCTTCATCTATTCTTTCGTATTCTTTCCTACCTATTATTATATAAACAGATGTCTAATGCGACTTACCTCACAGACATCGTTAGCGAAGGTAACGATAAGGTGCTCGCATAAAATCTACGAGTATGTCGATGACACGTCAACGGAAGACCGTACCGTTCGCTTCTGGTTTCAAACTGCCAGATCAATCAGCAATTGAGAAGGCTCTAGGAGCATTCGATGACGCGACCCTTGAATCTGTTTTCAATGAGAACTTTTACAAAACATTCGACAGTTTGCCGTTTCCGAAGAAACCATGGGACTGGCTTGCGCAATACATTGAAAGAGGACAAACATATGCCGAACACCTTCAACTATCTCGAACTTTGAATACTCCGGCATCGTCCAATCGAAAATCAATTTATCTGACAATCATCGGAGAAATTGATTACTCGATCTTCGATGTAAACAATTTAGTTGAATACACTCAACGCTTTTTTCAAATGCCCGTGAAACTGATTCATCCATTCATTGACTTTCAGTTGGATGACGACACGTATCAATGGACTTGCAAGAAACTTACGAAGTCAGCAAATGAGAAAAGTCAAACATTTAAGCTGCATACACGATACAACGAAAAACCAAAACACTGTCAAGTTCACGTGACTAGTATCCTAAACTTACTGACTAAAGTCGTACCTGAGGACGCCAAGTGTCTTGTTGCTCTAACAATGCTTGATCTTTACAGCGACGATACTGATTTATTTATCGCGGGGCTAGCTCGCGGAAATAGCCGTGTGGCTGTTTTTTCTCTATACCGCTACGATCCGCATCTATCGTTCAACGAATCCGATTGGTTTAGCTGTAAAGTGAAAACTGCTTCGAAATCAGAGAAAGAAATGGCCAAACGACGAAAATTGCTATTACTTCGAGCATGTCGACTGTTGACCCATGAAATTTGTCATCTATTCGGAATAGCACATTGTATCTTCTATTCTTGTCTAATCAATGGAAGTGGACATCTCGGTAAGGTCATCTTGAATCCAAGCATATTCATCGCTCATCTCTCTTTCAGATGAAGATTTTAGCCAATCACTACTTGAATGCCCAGTGGATTTGAGGAAACTTCACAGTTTGATTCAATTTGATATTCGAGACAGATATGAACAATTACTCGAGTTTTTCAAAATACATGAATTCAAGAATGAGCTGGAAAGTGTTCAAACAAAACTCAATGTTATCAATCAATCGACGAACTCTAACATCTCTACTGCAAAGAGAAAACATGATCATTATACTACAACAAGTGATAGTCGTTTGCGTTCATCAAAAAGACTCGCGAAATGTTAAATCTACACTAGAAAATAAAAATCTAATCTAATGAATGTTTTTCAAGTTTGACAAGAAAAGCTTCTAGTTGTTGAACAATGTATCCATAGAGAATCTGAAAATTGTCTACGAAATATTCTCCAGACACAACCTTATAATGACAGAGCAAACACAGTTTCATCTTCATTAGAAGAAATCGCATTCGAATAGTATAATGAAAATATATCTGAATGAATTACTGAACCTCTTTGGCCGGGATAACCGCAAACGATGGTATCTTGTGCGCAAACTCTTGACATAACTGTGGGAACAATCGGGTACATTCACTAGCTCTATCTTCGACAATCCCAGCATTCGCCAATTCCGCTTTGTGGATAGTACATAAATGCAATAGGCAAGTGCTGTTGATATTGTCTCGGTAGAAACAAGGCACCGTTGTTGATCAATTCTTCTCAACAAATATAAAGAGGAAGACGTTCATCATCAACATTGTTCTGCAAAGAAAAACGACAATGACTGTGCTGAAGCGAAAGAGTTTGAGACTAACATCAAACGACTCGTTAGTTGTTTAATTGATCATTAATTGAAGGAGATCAATACGCGGATGTGCTTCGATAGCGTCTATTTTTATTTTGACAATATCTTTAACGTTGTTCTGATGTCAAACTCACGGACTTTCCTCGATGTTTTTCATAAGTTTATGCATGACAAGTTTTGTCACTATTTCGACAAGCTTTATACATTTTAACACTGGAGTTAGCCAAGAAAGTAATTTATTGACTCGAACTAACAAATACTTGTCTAAATTATTTCTAAAGATCATCGCGCTTTTTATCATATACACCTTGTTAACATCGACTTGCATATTTGTATCCAATCGAATCTCACAACGACTTTGAAAAAAGCTTTTATTATCACTTTCGCCATTGTATATGTGAACTTACAAATGATATCCATTGTTTAACGCTTATACACTATATATAGATGTTGAATTCTGTCTTCTCACCTTTGAGTTCAGCAGATGAAAATCTTGAATTAATCACATGTTGTTGCCGATATGATTGAGTATCGCTTGCTACAAAGAGATTTAGTTTGTTTTGCTTTTTTGAAATATCATCGGAAAAGGCAGATGGCAAGAATGAAATGAGAGGAGGACAATTGTTTGGTGTAGACCTGTTCAAGAAAGTCACCGTCCGATACGATACAGATGGGACCATAGTGTCGAGTCCATTTTTTCAGTTGATGAATAAGTGACTTAGCACACCAGAAGAATCGATTGTGAACAAGGAAAAAATTCAGGATCGGGACCTGGTATGCCAATATTTTTGAAATAATCATATTTGATTTTGAGACTTCATAGATAGAGACCAGAAGAGATAGCGTCAATAGCATTTGTACCAATGGCAGAAGCAGTACAACAAATAAAGACTACATAATTTGGTTTCATGTGTATAAATAATACAATCGTTCTAAGCTACTTTGAAGTGAAAGTAGGATGCGTCAACGTGCTTACAACAAACGTGAATTTGAAAATAAATCGGCAAGCTTATACTCTTCTCTCTTTATAGTATGGTTGCATCTGTACTCTTCACGACATCACACAAATTTCATAGCTGCATATGGAATATGAATTGTCCTTTCCAATAGATACGGTCGTCTATATATGTATATCATTTACTATGTTTACTTCATGCTGTACGATCAGCTGTACTGACATCTGAATCGATTGAGGCAATGATTTCTTCATCACTGAATATGTAAAGATCTTATCATAACCAAAAGTTATATTTACTTTGCAGAAAAAGGTGTGCTTACTGATAAGAAAAAGTGCATGTGGGAGATACATAAGAAGTATTGTCTTTAGTTTCTTTTCACGACAACTCGCCGATGTCATTTTCAACATTGATCAGATTACTCATAATTTGGACAAATCCATTGGTGATATTTGGTTTAAACAATGGTTTAGCATTAACTCCACCAATGGGCTGGTCCACATGGAATGTTTTTCATTGCGATTACAATGAAACGGATCTTATGGGCATGGCTGATGCTATGGTTGCTAGCGGGATGTTATCTGCGGGATATAAATATTTAAACATTGATGATTGTTGGGAAGCAGCGTCTCGTGATCCAGTTAGTGGAATGTTAAAGTATAACGAAACACGATTTCCACATGGGATGTCTGCTTTGGCAGATTACATTCATTCGAAAGGTTTACTTTTCGGTATTTACACAAGTTCAGGAGAATGGACTTGTCAAAGATATCCTGGTTCGTGGCAGCATGAATATCTTGATGCAGCATTATTTGCAAGCTGGAAAGTGGATTTTGTCAAATTAGATTGTTGCTATCAAGATAATGTAAAAGATCGTGCAACAGCCTTCATACGATGGTCACAAGCATTAACTTCACAGAACCGTTCGATTCTTTATAGTTGTGATAGTGATGAATTGATACTCAACGAGAATAATCAGGAATTTCCATCCCAATGGGCACCTAATTACTGTAACATGGCTCGTATCTGGTGGGATATCTCAGATAAGTGGGAGACAATAATGAATATCATCGATCATAGTGCAAATATATATTATGCTTCAGGACCCGGATATTGGAATGATCTAGATATTCTAACAGTTGGTTTAGGTCGACAAACACTAGTTGAATATATGACACAGTTTTCATTATGGTCTGTGATTAGTTCGCCTTTAATAGCTGGTAATGACATAAGAAAAATGAGTAAAGAAATCGGCGAGATTCTAATGAATAAAGAAGTGATTGCCATCAATCAAGATAAATTAGGACGGTCAGGAAATATGATTCATCGTGCAGTGGATGGCTCGTATGAAATATGGGCAAAACCAATTTACCACGAAAATACATCACAAATTCAAACAGCGATTCATTCATTAGGCTTCACTCCATTACCTCGTCATGCTGTAGTATTATTTAATCGTCGAGATTCGATAACAAATATTACCTTGGAATTCGATGATTTATTCGATCATCGTTTAAGTCCTCATCCGCCTACACCTACTTGGACTGCCAGTATACGAGACCTATGGCTTCATGAAGATTTAGGTCAATTTACCGAGACATGGACAGCCACAAATATTCCTGGACATGGTGTACGAATGATTACAGTTTTACTAGTGAATGCCACCAGTAATAATCTATAGGTGGCTTCGATATTTTTCATGTATTTGCTGATTTTCGAACAAAAATATAAACTATAAACTAAGTATGAAGTATAAGTGTTGTCAGTGTAAAGAAAACAGTTCGTGTCTATTTCACGAGAGTAATATTAAGCATCACAGCCGCGTGTGACGCAATATTCGACGATGTATAGTTTCCTGTGAATATTCCAAGATCTTGATGAGCCCATAAATCACGCACACTGGCTGCTTGATTCATGGGAAAACCAATATCTGTCCAATTGACAGTGATTTGTTCATTATCATTCTCACCACGATTCAATAGAACGACAGATTGCGAACCACCTTGAAGAGGACCAGCCCATATTTCGAGTTCTAACGGAGCAACTAAATATTCGTTTTGATGTTTATTTCGTAGTGTTCCATCTGTTGTATTCCACATCCAGATTTCATTCTCTTGATGATTACACACAAATGTATTGACAGCTGGACCATCGTTACCGTAAACATCAACGGCTAAGCTATAAAAACAGAAATAATCTTATTCTACAATTTATATTCATAGCATCATCGTCATCAATCAATTTACCATAGTCCGTTCATTTGGGAAACAAAACTTTGATCTGTTGTATTAGCTAACCATTGTTGATTTTTACCTTGGCATTGAGCATGTGGATCACCGATTTGACAGTTGTCGAGAAAGAGATGCGCTGGCTGTCCTGGATTACAACGGAAGATGGACAAACATTTGCCACTATATGCGGATCGAATACTTCCATCTTGCGCGTCGTATATCCATTGACGACGTCGTAGATCGAAATTTCCTGCCGGTGTATTGTTGGTAACCTGAACTCCACTGGATGCATTGGGCAGCCGAGCTGAAAACGAAGCAATTTTCTTTCCCTGAACACCCAGTGGATCTTGATTGACAGCGATGACTTCGCGATTTGTGAGAGTGACTATCGTAGCCGCACTCATTTTTGTTACATCGCATCCGATAATTAGCGGAGCTTTACTGATAGACCAAAGAGAAAAATGAGTTCGATACTCAGTGTCAGTCATGCCACCATTGCCAATTTCAAGCACTATACAACATATATGAAAGACTCATGGAATTTTACAAGAAAGATTGACATACTATCAGGATCATTCCAGCCACCTGGTCCTGCCTTTTCTGTGAAAAAATTATTCTAAAGAGCGAAAAAAAAGATTTGCATGCCTTCGAAGGCATATTGAAATCTAGTCTCACAAAATCGATATTGTTGATCATGGAAAACCAATTATCCTGAATGTCGTTAGTCGTTCTCCAACTGTTTCCAACCTTGGGAGGCCAGGCATCGTTCACAGTTACACCGCCTTCAAACGAAGAAGAAGAAAACTTGAAGTGGAATACTTTATTTCTAAATTATATATACAAACCACATAACGAATAGAAGATTGCTCTTCCTGAAGCATTTAATGCATCGCGCATTTTCGAATATTCAACTTCGGTTGGTGTTCCATCAGTGTAACAGCTGTCAAGTTTCAAATAATCAACACCCCACTGCGCATATGTATTTGCATCTTTTGTTTCATATCCTAATGAACCAGGTCGACCTGCACATGTTTTATATCCTCGATCTAAATGTATCTCGTTTAGGTAAACGAATTCAACTCTGATCTGTTCACCTGAATAGAGACCGAATTTAAGTTTTCTTGAATGAACATAATCAGCCAATGCTGGAATACCATTTGGAAAAGCGATTGGATCAGCTTGTATTGTTCCTTGTGAATCGCGACTTTTTTGCCAACAATCGTCCATATTCACTAGAAATTCAAAATTGAATAACGATTACTACATAAATGGACACAAGAATACATTGGTACCATATAGATATCCAGCAGCAGCAAGACCCGTTGCAACAATGCCATCAGCTGTTTGTCGTACGGTCGTCTCATTGATAGAACAATGGAAATGATTCCAACTATTCCATCCTTTGATAGAAAACAGATATGATCAAGACCTGTATTTACCTTAGAGAAAATAGTTCGTTTATTACCCATTTGAGGAGTACGACCAAGCCCATTATTTAATTGATGAGAAATTTGTGTAAAGCACAGAACATATATTATAAGTAGTAAGCGTACCATTGTATCGCGTCAAAAAAGATAATGAGTTACCGATAGAAAAGTGAAAGAAAGGATACCGTTGTTTTATATTTGACATGTTTTATCTTTATCAATGTGATAATTTTATTTGCAAAGCCAAATATTTGAAATACGGACTTAAAACGTACTTTTCATGCAGGACTAGGATAATTCAACTCACACACCGATGTTTTTCGTGAGAAGTTGCAAAGAACATTTTCTTTCAATTTATCGATTTCACTGAAAAGCAGTGTATGGTCTCAACGGCTATTATATGAGATTTATGACTTCATCAAGATTTTGAAGAATTCTACGTAGATATTCTGTATGAATGATTCCAGTTCTGTGAGTCAATGTTACCAATAGTTTTTAAACACAGAATATATACTATTATCTCTATGGAATGGCGATCATACTTTACTAATCGAGCAAGGTTAACTCGACATTAAAAAGCATGTAGAACCATCTTTTCGTATCGTTAGTCTTAAATAGAGTAACGTAATCAAAATGCAATTTATGCACGAGAATAAAATTTAAATCGCATAGAGTTAACTAATACTACTCATAGTCAAGTGATTACTGATTTAAATTGTCACCGAGATGTAAAGGTACCTATTGATTGTTATACGGTTAACTGATTTCTTTTACTACCTAATTGGAATACACCTCATAAATCATGATTTAAGTGATGAGAGATTTTACTGAGGATTTTTTCTAAGTAAATATAATAAATAACTTGATTTTAATGAAAGGAAAATATGTCTTTATTTTTCTTAAAAATCCGATTTGTCATTGTAAGTATTTTATTGCGGATTTAATCGGTAGCGTGGATATATACTTGCTGGTCGATAGGCTGGCGAGTCAGGGCGAACCTATATAAATAATTAAAGAAGAATTTTTTTACTAAATATTTCATACCGTTCGCTGTGAGTGACTGCGGATTAGTGGACTGCGCGAACGAATTGCAGAATAGGAAGCCACAGCAGAATCTTGCGGTTTAAACATTGACGTCCGAGACCCTTAAACATATAGACATGGACAAAGATTTAAATCATTCTGAGCAAATTTTCTGTGTCAACGAATTATAGACGGTTCACTTCTGTGAAGACACGAATGCACAATTTTCATCCATTCAAGTACCTTTTTTAGTCGTGGGTGTTGATACCGATTGAGTATCGAACAGCTTGTTTATTGGCTTTTTAAAGAACGCAGTCGAGATCTCAGTAGGTTTCCGTGTCACTGGATCAACACTCGTGAGTGACTCCCATCCATACTGTCCTACAGCAGACGGTGACAATGATAACGGCGTCGCTGATAGTTGATTAAAAGCCTCTAGCGTTGCTTGTACTGTATTACTTGGTGAATATGAGGGATCACTGTCTGAATTTACGAAAAACAAATGTTAGAGTCGTTTAGTCAGCTGAGCATAATCGTTCGACGTACCTGATGATGGAATGATGGAAATTTTCTCAATATATGATGATGATGAAACTCTTTCCAGGCAAATAGTTGATGGTCTCATTAATTCTTTATTTAATTCTTGTAATTTATTCTTCAACTGATTTAAATCAATTTCATTAAATTCATTGTGTTGGCGGACTTGTTTTAATTCTTCAGTGAATTCGATAAATTGATTTTCGACGTTATTGATGTAACTATGCGCTACTCGTCTGCATTCTTCCGCGGTCTGTTTTATTGTAACTATCGACTTCTGTTCCCATTCATTAATTTCTTTCATTAACGAGCCATTTTGCAAATTTTGTTTTTTGTCTTGAATGTTTTGTTGAAATTGGTCACGATCTAGTTCCGTTTCATCCAATTGTTGGCTAAGTTTCTGCCGATGCTCCGTCAGATGTTCGAAACAAAAGCTTTCCCAACATCCTCTACATATATAACCAGCTGTGGTCTTTTTACAAGACGAACACGCGACTTTTTCGCTTGCCATTAGAACGTAAGAAAATGTTAAGTATGAAATGAAATATAAAGAACATCGAAATATATCGCTAGATGAAAGACTATTACGCGTGAAAGGAAAAATGAATCACAGGGTTTTTTGTCGCGATGCGGCAGCTACGAAGAAAAGCTTGGCAAGTCAATATCTTGAAAACGTTCGAAGTACAAAAAACGTTATTCTGAATGCGTTTTATTCAATTCATTTTCATAACGTACAAGTTGAAGTAACAAAACATGGTTAGGTGAGGCTTGCTGTCGTCTAGTTAAGAGATATTCAAACGCTTGTGCTACAGTCCATCGTTTATGGTGCATCAAATATGCTAAAACAATTGTTGACGAACGTGACACACCACGTTCGCAATGCACAAGTACTCGACATCCTTGTTCGTGGCATTTATCGAGAAATTCATTTGTCGATTGAAAAAATGGAGATAACTCAGCTAAACGGCCGTTTTTACTTGAAATATGGTGTACTTCTCTAAGTTGATCAACTAATGTTCTGTCTGTCGCGTTGACAATATGTGTGATGGAGAGTGAATCGAGAAGAGTTGAATTATTTGCTTGTTGCCAATTGCCTTGATATAACCAAGAATCAAGTATTTCTGACGGTCGAGAACTTGATGGTATCGCACGTCCAAAATACGGTTGCTTCAACTGTACAATTGATTGAATATATGCTAATTCAGCTTCGGTAGCATTGCAATTTTCACGAAGATATTGTTCGCGTTTATTTTGTGATGCAGCCATTGTTTCGATATCAACTTGAACTCGGTAAAGCACATTTATTGCTTTTTATACACTTGTGTCATACGTACTTACATGAAATTGTGTAATACTCGCATGGTCGTGAGTCATATTTCAAAAAACGTTCTTCTTATGACGGAAGTTAATTTGATTGGATTCATCGCTTGAATTGAAACATACAATAGGCAAAAGAAACGTGTTTTTTTTTTCTATATGAGAACATCTAAATACGGTGTTCAATTATCTGTAGGTTTATTGATAATATACGAAAACTAGCAAGCAGAAAAAGTTTTAGAAGCAGTGTCTGTATGAATGAAAGTATGTTTATTCTTTCTTTTCATCGTCGCTATGTTGTTGTCCACTCGATTGTGTGTGTTGTGCGTTTCCGCCAGGTCGGTTTGAGTTATTCTTAGCAATTGTTTGAGTGTGAGTAGTGGCAGCAGGCGCTTGTTTTCCTGGATCCTGTGCCGGCTTCCAAGTTGATCTTGACGATCCGGGACCACCGTACGATGAGCGCATTTTGTACAGAAATTCTTCTTGTGTTACTCGAGAGTAAAGTCAGGGATGGATGTTTTTAAGGAGAAAAACTATTAGGTTCCACTCCGTTATATACATGAGAGAAATAGCGTCGTTTTTCTTTAGATCATCAGAGAAAAACAAGCAGATATTATTTTTGGTCCATATCAGGACAAAGTACAATTATATGGATATACCAAAAGAGAAGGAACTGTCGACGCCAAACGACGAACGACAGAGGACGACGGAAATGGCAAAAAAGAAATATGTGTGTTGCCATCTCGCGAAGAAAAAAAAAGAGCAGAACTTATTATCTTCGTTATCAATGTACGAGATATTGTACCAACAATGTTCTATGGCGATATCGTAAAGACGTATGACAAAGAAGAGAAAAAAAATCAAACTGTGTGAAGATAATATTCATCTGATAAATAACGAATATGTTTATGGGAAAACTTCGATTTTTTTAATTAATCTTGTATGGATAAATATGTTTCGAAGGTCATCGGTACCCGAACAAAGATAAACAAACAAGAATTTTTTTCTCCGCGAGATGGCAACACACATATTTTTCCATTTCTATCACCCTCTATCATTAGTCGATTGGCGTCGACAGTTCTCTTTCTCTCTCTCTCTCAAGCAAGAAAAAAAAACAGAAATATCCATATTCGATAAAGATCGTTTTGGGTAATAACTGAAAAGAGACTCAGTACGTCACTGAGCGAGATTAACATTTTTCTATGCTACCAAAAAAAGACTATTTATCTCTCTCTCTCTTTTACGTATATATAAAGTATTACTGTTATGCATCTCGACATTACAACAAATACAATCCTCTACATCGTCTTGCTACATCATTCTAAACAATGCGCTCGTATCAAGTTGGACCGGGATCTTCGAAGTCAACATGGAAAGCTACTTTAGATCCTGGCAAGAATTTGCCCTGTTCAAACAGTGGTCTTCAACGCAACGGCAATGAAACTGAAGTGAAATCATCAGCAGGTGCTGAAGGCAACGGACAAGTACCACAGCAATCCAACAATGAACAAAAGAAATGAAAATAACATTTTATTCTTTTTTTTTATAAATAGCTTTTGACATGCAGTGAAGTACCCTTTTAACTATTTTGTTAGCTAGTCATATAACATTTATTTTTTCTCTTATTATCAATCAAATAAATAAATAAAATGTTTGAATAATTGTAAAGATTGGAAATATTGATGATGCGAGGATATTTCCATGATTGGTACCGAAATACTTGTCATAGTCGAATTGAAAATTTGTCTTTCGACGAACCAATTCAACATTATCCAGTGAGTTACAATTCGGTGTTAGACATCGAATATCGAAATCATCGTACCGTTTTCGTTCAATCAAATCGAAGTATGTCATCGCTTCAAAATAAGGTCGACCAGCTGAATCACATCGAGCACATATTTCAATGCTTGTCACATTCTTCCAGTTAGGTCGCATTGTTATATGACAATGTTGACAACCGGTAGAAGGTGAGCAAACAGATCCATTTTGGAAACTGTAGCAGCTAGTCGGATCAAATATTATGCTACTGTTTAGTTGTGAAACTAAATCTACTAGTGAATGTTCTACGGTTGCTGAGCGCAAGGCACGCTTGAGGTTCGCTGGTGTATTACAAAACTCAGTTGCGCATAAATATCGAAATGTAGTAGACGGTTGATTGTCATTAGCCAATACAGATATGAAAGCCATTTCTTTTGATTCTGGCGCATCCAAAATATCGTGATAAGTACCGATGGAACTTATCCCATTGTCCCATGTGAGTGTAATATAACAATTGCGTGTCGCAGTAAAATTTGAACAACCAGTCAATGCATCGGGTAAATTGTCAGCCGTTAACTGATAATCATATTCCTCATCGCCACAGGTATAACAATGCACTGTTGCTGATATTTCTGCAGTGAACGTGAGAGTAAGCAAGATGATGTACCCAAGGAGTAACATTCTATAATGATGCATAAAGAAGAAGTTTTCAATTGCATTTATATACATGAGTCTTGGAGAGAGAAGACCTTGAAAGAGATCATAAACTTTCTTTGCAAAGAATGTATACTCTGTACATTTCGGCATCCATAAATCGATTTTGCTATCATAGATAAACATCTTTCTTATCTTAGATTTCATTATCAAAATTCTTTTATTTCTCTATAGACAATCATTCATGTCCATAATCCAATGACAGCCATGGTACCCGCTCCCGCATATAACGCTAGGAAGTACAAAACTTTGAACCGGCTTTTCAGAGCATGAAATGTGTGAGCATGACAATCCATTTCACCAGCGATTAGGTGAACAAGTGCAACGTAGATAAGAATACCGGCGGATATAGAATCTAAGATCCCATTCATTAGTAAGGATGTCGTTGATTTGGGATTGTAGGAATTTGATTGAATACAAATGCCAATGATAATGCCGATAGGTGTTGTAAGAGCGAAGAACATGATCATTAATAAACATGATCGTAAAGAAATGTGATCTAGGCGAGCAATTTGCGCGCCAAGTGCCATGCCTTCGAAAAACTGATGAAAAGCCAGGGCGATAAACAGAACGAGAAATTCATCAGTTGCTGTTCCCAGTGTCAAGCCAATCAAAACTGAATGTAGAGCAATGCCGAATTCAAGTAAATATGTACTAATTTTCTTGGCTTCACTATCATTCTGAAAACCTATGGCATGAGAATGACCTAACAGATGGTTACCATTTGACGTATCTCCATCTATTGCTGTCGAAGTCTTGTGCGATTCAATCGATCGATATCGTTGATAAACTATGTACTCAGTCAATTGCATGATCAACGCGGCTACCATAGCTAAAAGACCAGCAGAAGCATCATATACAGTATAATTATCGGGTAAACAAGGATCAGTTAATGCTTTCATTGCTGCTGGTAACATATGAATAAAACCAGTTGCTAATACCACTCTAAAAAAAATCACATTGTTGTATATTCTTTTGCTTCATTCTACGAGCAGATTTCTTCTTACCCAGTACCAAAAAATTTTCCTAGATTGAGAATAACTGAATTGTCGCGCAACCGTTTAACTTGTGATGAAACAACAGATATCGAGGCACCACCGACGGATAAAATCAGTATAACAAATACCGATAAAATATGTAATTGAAGATCGTACGAATGATCATTATTTTCATCATCAGTTCGAATACAAGCGTTGTTTGGTGTGGACATAGTCACATTCATTCTTAGTAATAATATTTGTTTCTTTCAGGGTACTATTGTATATATAGTGTAGATCTACCCTCTCTTATTCTCTCTTCTCTTTTTTCTCTCCTTCCCTCTATCGTCTGCCACTAGACGGTGTTATACGCATGTATGGCCATCTGTTGAAAGTAATTGTGTTTTTGTCGTTCTGTGCGCAAATAGACTTTGGACTATCATGCAAAAAAAAAGCTTAAGAGAAAGAAAATGTCGTTATTTGTCAGTCGTGCTATTTGACTACCATATTCAAACACTTGTATGAGATAAGAAAGAATGCCGTTATCATTCATAGAACGTGCTTTTCTTTTTATCAAATTTCAATAAACTACTATTACTAATGCGTCCCCAATTATAACCAGATTTTGGTCATATAACTTGTCCTACGGTACACGCTATCATTTTTTTTTGCTTCTAATTGGTGCAAAGATTGACTTTGTGCCAGCTGTATTGAAACATTTTCTGTAAGCGAAATTGAAATTTCAATGAAAACCTACCAAGAGCAATCAGACACTTAATAGGCCGATAAGCATTCTGAGATTAGATCAACTGTTCAGACGAAATTTACTTTATTGACGATTTATTTAGATAAAAAATTAGTTTTTTTACTCTCGTTATTACACTGGAAAAGTTACGAAGTGAATAATTGCACTTCAGAATATTGAACACTGTTTGATGTTGCACGTTTGTTTGAAACAAGAAATCGATAACTTTTATATTGATTTGCATTCGTGAACCATTGAACTGATCCACAGATACCTCGACCAGGATTTACTGAGAGACCAGTGCTACCATTGTAGACTAATGACCAACTCGAACCTAATGTCAGAAATATTCCTGTTCGATTGCTTCCTTCCAGTGAAATCTCTAGTGGATCACGTTCTGGATAATCAGTAGCTGTACAAACGCGGATTCCTGTCACTAATACGAACTGTTGCAATAACTCCAAATAGAAGCCTGTATTTAAACCACACGCCGCAAAGAGCTCTGTTTCTGAACAACTGCCGAAACTAAGATATTTCGTCATAATATTATTATCACATACATTGTTGGGTGATTCAGCTGGTGGATAATTGCCAACGTCAAAACCTGATGTAGATGTCATACTATTACCACCTACACTGGTATTAAATATACCATGTATTATCCCATCAATACTTGTTAATGTTAATTGGACTAGAATAGTCGATAGATTAACACGGGAGTTTTTCCGTCATAAATCTACCTTTTGTTGTTATTGTTGTTGTGGACGTGGACGTGGACGTGGACGTGGACGTGGACGTGGCTGTAGTGGATGTGCTGGTTGACGACGTTGTTGTAGTGGACGTGGCTGTAGTGGATGTGCTGGTCGATGACGTTGTTGTAGTGGACGTGGCTGTAGTGGATGTGCTGGTCGATGACGTTGTTGTAGTGGAGGTTGCTGTAGTGGATGTGCTGGTCGATGACGTTGTTGTAGTGGATGTGCTGGTCGAGGACGTTGTTGTAGTGGAGGTTGCTGTAGTGGATGTGCTGGTCGATGACGTTGTTGTAGTGGAGGTTGCTGTAGTGGATGTACTGGTTGACGACGTTGTTGTAGTGGACGTGGCTGTAGTGGATGTGCTGGTCGATGACGTTGTTGTAGAAGATATGCTGGTGAACGATGTTGTGGAAGAAGATGTTGTCGAAGAGGACGTGTTAGCCATTGACGTTGTTGTAGACGAACTGCTCGTGGATGAGGTTATTGTGGAGAACGTGCTGGTGGATGATGTTGTAGAGGACGTGAATGTGAATGAAAATGACGATGTAGTATTGATAGTCGATGTACTAGCTGTGGTCTTTGTTATTGCTGAAGAAAATGATAATAGCGAATCAAGACTGAAGAAAATAGTATCTACCTATGGTTGTCGCATATTCGCCATGCGTAACAAGTATAGGTACAAGGAGTATTGTAGAGCAGACAACTATACCGGCCGTTAAAGATACACCAAAAAGAATTTTGCTTCGTGTAGCACTGGACATAAAAAAGAAAGAATTGTTAGCAGAAAATGAGACATATTACGTACAATCCAGTGGTCACTGCCGGAGCCCATGAATTTGTAGACACCGGTCCACTTCGGGATGAAGTCGATGTTGGAATATGTATATTTGCTATATCTCTCATAATAAATGAATTCTAAGAGAAAATTCTATGCTTTCAAGCATAAATCTTTCTTTTTTCTTGCCTACGTCGTTTTGAAGTTTGACTTCTGTTCAATAATATTCTCTCTTAGCAAAAGAAATCATTTTTCTTGTAAGACGTCTGTTTATTCTCTTACATAACCATGATGTACTTTTTTCCTTACTCTTTTAACTTCAATCAATTTTTGATACAGAGCAAAAAGTGAGCATTCATAATTAATGACGAGCTTTTCTTCTTTTTATGTAAAACAGAACAATAATCAGCCTCGATCTTTGACAGTATTGATTTTGTCCTTCATGTGCTTCGGAAATCATTCAAGGTTAGTGTGTAAAATGGTTGCCAACCAGCCAGGCAAGATTATTTAGTCAATATTTCATAAAGCAGATCCATATTAACATGACTACGAATATGATCAGCTAATTTATTGTATTGCTCTTCTTTATACGCTTTGTAATCGAAAGGTTTATCTGCTAATTCAGTAGTGTATGATCGTAGCAGAAAGTCAATAAATGCACTGTTATCCAATATTCCATGAATATATGTACCAAAACATTTATGATTTAAGTAGAAACCATCGTTTGTTCCATCAGTCAGAGTATTTAAAGAATTGTATTCGGTACCGTGTGTGGGAACAGTCTTGCCCATGTGTATTTCATAACCGCTACATAATTCTTTTGAGTCGAGGAAAGTAAATTGAACTTGTCGTGTCACTTTTTCGCTTTGTATTTCAGTTGAGATCGGCAATAAACAAAGACCTGCAAAACGTTCTATTTGCCCTTCGATTTGATGCGGATCGCATACTTCTCTTCCCAGCATTTGATACCCTCCACAAATTCCCATAACAGTTGCTCCTTTCTCATACGCTGATACAATACTTTGTGCCACTCCATTCCGACGTAGTTCACATAGATCAGAAATGGTGTTTTTACTTCCTGGTATCAGAATAATATTAGCCTGTGCAATATCTTTCGTATCATTCGAATAGTAAAGATGAACACGAGGATCCCGTTCCAAAATATGAAAATCGGTGAAATTTGACAGATGACGAAGCAAGATTACAACTATGTTAATTTTCCCATGAGTAGCTTGTGAATTTTTTGTTTGAAGCATTAATGAATCTTCTTCTTCGATATGGATATCTCGAAAATAAGGTATTACTCCAAGAACAGGTATTTTACAGAGTTCTTCCAGCATCTTAACTCCTGATTCAAAGATCGACACATCACCTCGGAATTTGTTGATAAGAATTCCTTTCGTGTGCTTGCGTTCTTCTTCCGTCATCAGCAGAATTGAGCCATAGACACTAGCGAATACACCTCCTCGATCGATATCAGCAACAAGAATCACGTCAGCTCGAGCATGAATAGCCATGGGTAAATTCACCAGATCAAGTTCACGAAGATTTATTTCAGACACACTACCAGCTCCTTCCAATACAATCGGATTGTACTGTTTTTCCAGTCGATCAAAAGCATTGTGAACCTCTTGGCGTAGAACATCTCGGCCTTCTTTTCGAAAATATTCTTTCGCAGTCTGACTACCGATAGGTTTTCCGTTCAGAACAACTTGTGAGCTTTGGTCTGACGTTGGTTTCAATAGGAGAGGATTCATATCGGTATGACAAGGTATTCCGGCAGCTTCAGCTTGTACGGCTTGTGCACGTCCGATTTCCATGCCATCGGGAGTGGCGAAAGAGTTGAGGGACATGTTCTGTGCTTTGAAAGGTGCAGGACGGTATCCATCTTGTAGAAAAATTCGACAGAAACCTGTCACGATGACACTTTTCCCCACATCACTGCCTGTACCTGCGAACATGACTGGATGTAATTTCTGCACCAACTTCATACTCATTTGCAAATCTCCTTTGATAAAATAAGATAGATTTATATTTCCACACAAATATCAGAATGACAGATAACAGTTGCGTCTTTAGTGAGAAGAACGAAAAAAGCCTTTTTTTTTTCTTTATTATTAAATTACCACGCAAGTGACGACATACGAAAGAGTGGCAAACGAAAACAGAAAGCATGTGTGTTGCCGTTCTGTGATGAAAATCAACATGTTTGCTTTGTACCCAAAACCTATAGACTCCAATCTGATTTAGTATATTGTATCCCTCCATCACTGATCGATGCTTGTCTAACAAATTGAACCATGCCAGTATTTCCAAAGTGTATCTATCCCCAGCCACTCTTTGTCTACAACATTTCTTCACACACACGTTGCTCAAATACTTTTGTTTGATCAATACTCCCATCGTAGATTTGGTAAAAAAGATAAAAGCTTTTTTTTCTATAAGCAAATCGCAAAATCGTCGTTACGGTTTTGCAATCTTATCTGTATGCAATAAATTAAAACTAGTTTCATCTAGTGTATGCTAGATTATATCAGAATAACATAAACACAATCGAAGCTCCAGTGTTGATATTGATTTGCTGATCCTTAAATTGTGGCGTTGTTTCCGAATGGAATTTCAGAGCACCGTCTTCTAAATTCCTATCGATATACGAATAATAGACACTACCGACGAGAATACTTCATATTCGACTTGATAGAAGTTCTCAACAAACAACTCGCTTTGCCTACGCGACAATGTTCGAAATAAGAAGATATATGGAACGATGTGACGTATTATTCCAGTAATTGTCCTTTTTGGCCATACAGCTGTTAGATATTCTCAAGTGAAAAGAAGCAAAATAAAAATGAGTGAAACAACAAAGGATTTCATTGTACAAATACACAGATAGGTGAAATGGCGATGCAATCTCTCGTGTTTCTCTTGGTAGCAATAAACTATTTCACTGTGGGTAGTACTGCTGTTCCATTGCCCGGTAACGGTGTACTTCAACCATCATTGAATTATCAACGCTACCGACAACATGAATACAAAAAGTATCTGCCGTATTATCAATGGTGGTATTATTGGATTCGTGACAACAATAACGATCGTCATTATGCAATAGCATATGGTACGACATTGTGCAAACATACGGATACAAAAGTTTGTATGTATGATGGCGCTGCTGTGGGCTTTTCAGTCGTGGATAATAAACGAAATTTTCGAATGCAAAAGTATGAATTCTACGATAGAAATGCATTTTCGGTCGAAGGCATATTTAATTATAAGATTCATGCGAATACCAATCGAACAATACATGAAATTCTTCCCATCGACGATAACACCTTTCGAATCAGTGGTAATATGTCAAAAGATACGATCGACAACGTCTGGTTTTGCGATGGTTGTCCAAAAGATTTAGAAATCCAATGGGATTTAACATTATCTCGAATCTACGGTTGGTATGCACAGGATATATTCGAAGAACCCGATAGAGTCTTAGAAGGCGTCATCATGTGGGACACGTACTCTCATACGGCGGAAGTCGAAGGATTTGTCAAAATTAAAGGTGAAGAATTCACTATTACGAAAGATGCTGGTTTCCGCGCTTATGGTGATTCAAATTGGGGTGAAATCATGCCATCATCTCCACCAAAACAAAAACCAAACGCAAAATACGCTTGGGGATGGTACTACGTAAATATTCCATCGAATAATCAGTCTCAAGAATTTAGCATCATTGCTGGTACTGGCTTAACTTATGCTGATGCGCTTTTGAAAACAATGGATGCGCGTTTCAGTGATATTCGTCTCGATGCCACAACGCACATCGAGTTGAGATCAGTAACCGTTTGGAATATCACATTAGATTCGTGTAATGACGGGAAATTACATCGATTCGATGTTGAACGTAGTAATTGGGTGAATGTCACTGATTCGTTTGGCAATGCTACTATACCATTGAGACAATTGGTAACTATGGAAAGTGATAATTATTTGATTACAATGGATTTCAAGAGTTTGGAAACGAATTATAATCGATTGTTATTCGCTTTTATGGATTATGTATTTTCTGACTTTGAAGGTTTAGGTGTATCGACGGATGTGGTGATCATCGAAAAAGTGACCGGGAAGGTTCTACGAAATGAAACAGTGAAAAGTGGTGGTGTGGAATATGGTTATCGTTTTGACATAAACGTACCGCCTGTGCCTTCAAAATATCTTTAAACTACTAACGACATCATTTGTTTTGAATTTTTCTGTTCTTTTTTTTCTGTTGTTTTCATCGCTACGCATAATAATATGTCGTCGCCTATTTACCACACCGTCCCGATTTGTCCGGATCTTCCTAAAACTAATCGATATTATAGTATCGACGAAGTTCATGATCATCCGTCTGATATTTATTGGATATCTCAATTAGATGATGAAAAGAAGGATGAAACTCGTTACAAAGTGAGATACACGGTTACCAATGGCTCTCGTAAGAAGTAGTTTTTAGCAGCAAAATAAATTTGTTTCGTGTTTAGATACGTCAGCCAATGAAACACATGCGATTTTCTCCTCATTTCTTTTTGCGTATAATTCACATGAAGATATAGTTCTCTCTCCCGATGATATTTGGCTGATGGTGTGTATCTACTTCTCACAGTATGTGAACGACCATGCCGAGCAACTTCGCAAGCTTTTTGTCGATCATGAAGATGGTCGAAAGAGATTGACCATCGTTCAAACTGCTCGACTTGAACCTGAGTGAGTCTGTACAATTATTTGAGACAGTTGACGAATGTACATTTGATTTTTCGTGTAGTTGGGAGCATTTCCTCGCAGGAATACGAACAAAAATAGATCAGAATGTAAAAACTAATGTGGTCGACTTGTTGTCTCCTCAGTTTTCGACAACAACAGCAATCGAATCGCTTCTATCATCGCTTGTCGTGATGAGTACATGCCAAAAATATTTCGACTACGAATGTTATATCACCAAATGTGGCATTCGGAATGTTCATTTCCTCGGTACATTAGACGATTGGAAATTATTACGAAAGAAAATTCAAGATTTAAAAAAATTTAGTCGAGATAGTTTCGTGAGTTATATCAATGCAATATTACCGGTGATTGATCAATTTATCGATACTTATCAAGGTAATGTCGATCAAGAATTCTGGAATAAGGTCATGGATATCGAACACGTCGGCGGTGGAAAGTCCGGAAAGTAAGTCGATATTGAGATGGATTTACAGTAATAACATTCAGATGATTCAAGAATGTCTGGCACTTATATTAGCGGATGGTTTCTTCGTCTTTGTTATGGATTGCATTCGAAATCTGACTGTGAAATCAAACAAATCAAACTGAATCATCTGAAAGTAGCGGTGGAAGTCAACAACGAAGTCACCAATGAATCAAAGACATGCTATCTGCTCGGAGGCCTTCACGGCATCGATTCACGTGACGAACGTCATAAACCAGTGATGAGTCTTGCCGTTATCGATGATCTATCAACGATTCGACTTTTCAAACGAGAACAATCCGAATGAGGTTGGTGTACAATAGTTGACGTCATCATTTATTATGAAGAAACAAAAGAGTCACATCCATGTGCTTCTTTCTTTGTCATTGAATTATTACGGCTAATACTTCTATTTTAAGGAGCAATAGTTATACTCGATAGCCATTTGACTTCTCTCTTTTTCGAATAAAAGCTACTATGTTACGTATAGTCGTGTTTTTCTTTCTGGTGCAAACAGTGATCTTTCCTGCCTCCAGCTCTCCGGTATCAATATCCTATGATCAACGCGCTCGTCAAACTCTGAATGCTTTGCAAGGTCTACTCGATTTTTTCGAAAATGATGCCAAAGATATTAATCCTGATGGAGTATTTTGCTTACGCATCGCACAAGGCCAATTGAATGCACTTAGTCAATCGCTCGATTCCTCAACGCAACTGACTGACCAAAAGCATATCATTCCGTCATTCTCAACTCAAATTGATCGTATAGTAAAGAAAAGTATTCAACAATTGGCTGATACAGATTCTGTCTACTTCAGAAGATTTAGTCGTCTTATTTCACGAGAATTCGTGGTAGAATATCGCCCGAGAAAACTCAATCAAACGCTGATCGAACGTAATCAAGAGAAAGATTCGTTTTTCGATGCTGAACTTTCCGATCAATGCTTTAGCGAACTACTTAGTCAGATCAATGCTGCTTCATGCTCGATAAGTAATTTATGCTGGAAGAAAATGACAGCACGAACGACAAGCTCCTATCGTTTGACTCATCAACTACTCTGGCTGTTGATTGCACAAGATGTTCGTTGTCAAAATGTGGATCTCGTTTCAAATCGTTCGTATTTAGAAGATTTCTTTTGTGTAAACATTTATGAAGATGCAAATTTCAATATCAACAACCATGTCTGTCAAGATTTATTTCTCGAACAACTCTTGCTTTGTTCCGTTATCGGTTACGAAGAGTTCCTACGTTCCGACTGGTTAGGTACGATTCTAACATGGCAAGATCCGCAGTATAACTGTTTTAATAACGCATCAGAAGTGAGTATCTCTTCTCGACATTTATTAGTCGAACAAATCATGGCTCATGGATGTTTATCACATAAAAGTGGATTAGCAGCAGGTGTGCTAGCGACATATGCACGATATTATTTACAATAAATATGTTCTATTTTCGCGTTGTTTCATCATTGTTATCGATTCCGAATAAATCTTTTGCATGTTTCATTGCAAACCCTTTATAATCGTTGTCTGCACCATCGTGTAGTCTCAATAATAATGGAGAGTATATTTCCATATTACATGTTTGAGAAATGATTCTTTTATAAGTATTTTTTGGTAGATGCTTGTATTTTTGATAAAACTGTTCTATTGATTCAATCATATGGTTGTATATCGGTCGAACATGTTGTTCCATGGCATCGATTTTTTGCAATGTTTCGGGATCATGTTGGTACAATCCTCTTAGATCGTCGGCTTCCTCTTGAATGATAGCTTCGAATAGAGATCGATCAGAGTTTGCATTCGCACCATCTCGATGTAAACCAAGATATTTTTGTGTTTTGATCTTCACAAGATACGGAGAACAATTCGGGTGAATGATTTCAACTACGTAACCTTCACCATACGACTCTTGTGTAATGCTATCAAGTAAATCTTGATGTGACACATGTGTTGGAACGGATTGAAATGAAACAATATGGCTGAGCATGGTTGGAAAGTGGTTTTCAAGGAAAAATGTTCGTAATCGAGTACCATAGTACGATTCGCCAGTTTCATGTGAGCGGATGGAAAGAATACTAAGTTTTGCTTCGGGATAGGAAACAACGACATGATTTGTTGGTGATGTGTATTCGATATTTACAGTGTACTTCTGACGAGCTAAATATTCCACTTCAGTTTGAAGCTGACCTGTGAGCAACCCTGCTGCTTCGGTGGCCTGTTTAGAGATAAGCGATTGTTTGGATTTCAAGCGAACTGATATTTGATTTGCAGTTGTTCGATGGAGAAATGTTGAGATCAATGTTCCATCCATTTTTTCCATTTTATCACCGAATCGACCGCGTTGATGGAATTGTTGCCGACCAAAACCTTCGTTATAGTTAAAGAATTTTTCTAATGGTAGAGAAACAAGTTCAATTTGCTTCGGATTTGTTATATTGAACATTGTTCCACGACAGTTCAACGCTGCTGGACGCGACTGAAATGCTGCATAAGTACAAAGGCGATAGTTAAAAATCCGATACGAAACTGATTGGAGGCGGACATCTTTGTAGTAAAAAGTATCGTCGACTGAACAGAGTTTCATCAGATCATCGTAGAGAGTGTTCATATTCAACTCCATGAGCGAGTGTTTGAGTGAATGCGCAAGGATGTACGAGAGTTTTATTGTGCATAGCTATTGCGAAATAATGTGAAATGACTTATAGAAGTGAGAAAGAGAATATGACTCATCGACGAGCCGCATTACTGCAACTTGTTATGTAATAAGTGCAAGACGTTATTTCGTTTTTGTTTTGCTGAAAAAATGACACTAGCACTTCATACACTACTTCTTGAGACAATCTCCCGAATTCTTGATCATTTGAAAGTCTTTTCAAGGCTTAACGCTGTTATAGACACCTATCGTCGCGATACCGAGTATGACGTTTAGTCGAATCAAATCTTGATACGTCATATTCGCTCAAGGAATTTACTATACTTGATGCAGGATGGACTGGTGTTTACTGCAAAAGGAATCGCATATATTGCGAGGACTGCTTGAAAAAAACGAAGTAGTTTTATCTTTGAAAAACACATTCTGTTGTTCATGTACATTTTGTAATAGACGATCACTGCACTTCATATGTTACTTAGGTAGAGGCGTAAATGATCAAAGGATAGAATATTTCGCCAATGCTCCATAGATGTCATAATGCCGTTACGACGTGTATCGTCAGCCGAACGTCACGATATGCTCACCCTGATCAACGAAAAAATGTGCGTATCGACATCACCGTATCCTATCCATGGGTAATCACTTCAATGCGCCAGCAAAAACACAACAAGACGTCGGCTTGAGGAATCTGAGTGGATTTGTCGTATTCACCACGATACACACGTCTCGATCCATTTGAAAAGCTGAGGGATTGAGTGGATTTGTCGTATCCACTACGATATCCATATTCCTCATCGATCTACCAAACCTGAGGAATATGGGTTGATTTTGCATGATGTTTTAATTGCCGCAGGAATGAACTAATTCTATTCTTCAAGTACAAGAGTAATCGCTATTTTACGCCACAATTGTGTTTATATTCATATTCAAAACGTTTTATGAGACAAATTACACGCGATGCTTTTAAATTCAAACTGAATATAAATATACTCATGTTCACGCATTTGGTTATCATAATATAATGGAAAATATTGCACGATAAGGTTAGTAATGATAAGTTAATCGAATAATCGGTCATAAAATATTATTTCATATATTTGAAATATTCCAAGCATACGAAGGAAATCATAAGTAACATTCTTTCATTATATTTCTCTGTACGCAACCATTACATCCTCTCAATCCCTCAGCTTTTCAAATGGATCGAGATGTGCGTAGCGTGATGGATGGCGGAGAGGAACGTAGTATGGGTATTGGAGCGAATATGATGAATTTTGATGAATACCTGTTGTACCGATATTATGACATCACTCGAGTGGGAGAAACATCGTATGATAGTATTGTTATCGTTGCATTTCGACACAAAGGCCTGTATTTCGTAAGAATCCAGTACGTTAGATATATATATATATATAGATGCTTGAGGAAAGAGAACACAAAAATGGCAAGCGAGCAGCTCGATCTGAATGGTTTACTTCAAGCAGTTTCTCAAGTCTTAACTGCTTTTCATTTTCCAAATGGTTCGTCTCTTATCGAACGAGCCATGACAAATCGTGTGGACGATGTAGCTAATACTCAACTGTTGGCTAATCTCAAACAAGAGGCATCACAATTACCGCTGTTGACAACTATCGAAATGAGTGGTGAAATGCGTTGTTTTGTTCAAGCAGTCATCGACAGCATCAAAGCAACGGATGTGATCGACAAACGTTTTGTTACACGTTCGATTGGTAAAATTTATCGAGGTTTTGAACCATTCGTAAGAAACGAAGTTCAACGATTAGCTTTGATCGATATGGAAGCGGCAAAAGAAGATGCACTCAACATCGAGCCACGTCATCGTATTTCACACAAATTGAGAACAGCGACAAATAATAACCAACGCTGGTTGGAAGATGAAGAAAATGACGATGATTTGCACATGACACGCGAGTTACAAGCAGCTGCTTTTTAATAGCACAAAATATAAAGAAAAAAACACGTTTTTTTTCTTGTTCTATGCTATTTGATCTTTTAAAATACAAGAATCGGAAGCCGTTTAAAAATAAAGCTTAGATAGTCGAAAGAGCAGCAAAAGTTCATGTTGGTCTTGTACCCTAACTCTCAAGAATAGCAATTGTTGCATATTCGTTATCTATAACGAGTTCATAACTGGACGCTCATATTACATGATAGTGAAGAAATATGGAATTATGAATAAGAAGACTATATGTAAAAAAGCATGCAAGAATTAATTGATCTACAATGATGTACTCAGAAGTTACGTTCTTTTCGTGAAAGTTCACAATCGAAAAATGTTCCATTATCGTTTAAATAATTCGTAATTGAATAAAAACTAGTCTCTCGAACGCATTCGTTTCTTTCGATCAAAAAACATATTTTTTTATTATGATTAATTTGTTATTCTGTTTATGATGACTTTTCTTCGACTCTACCCTTCATATCATTCGCATTTTACCCTTATTACATACATGCGTAGCAAATAAAGTCTATCAGTCGTAACACGCACGAAGAGGACAGGGGAAAACGTTAAATTATGTTAGAAAAGCTAATAAGTGAATCATTTGATCGCAGCGATAACGAACCAAGTTACATATTTTACTGAAATGTAGTGTGCTCTGATAATTTGATCAAAATTCTGCTGAAAATATTTTCGCGCAAGAAAACTGTAAATTGTCTATGATGTAATTCGAAAACTTAGTACTTTTGTAGATAGAATCAGCCGACCTTATGTAAGGTATAGTAGCAGTTCCTTCGACAATGCGTATGTACAGCCAGGAGATCGATGAATCCGATTTAAATATGTAAGTTTATTTGTAGAGAATCTCAAGCCTTACAATCGTTTGCCTATCTGGCACTACAATGCGAATAAACATGGTTGGATACCAAGGGATCCAGCAATGGTACATTATCCGGACGCATATCGACATGGATCACTTCGTGTTATTACATACAATATATGGTTCGATACAAGATACCAACCGCAGCGATTCCGTCATCTCAATTTACTTCTACAACACACGAATGCACAGATCATATGCTTACAAGAAAGTAGGATGGGAAGAAATTGCTTCTGAAAATGCGAATTTTTCATTTTGCTTAGTGACCCGATCGGTTTTACAAGGTTTAATTTCTCAACCATGGATACAACGTCGATATTTAGTAAGTGATATTGATGGACGAACATTTGTGACTAGTCCCGATAGTTATGGTGTGGTGATGCTAATCGACAAACAGTTACCTGTACAACAACTCATGTCGATACCTTTTCCATCTAAATTAGGAAGACAACTACTGCTTGCTGAGATACAAATCGGATCAGAACTATTGGCAATAGGGACTGTTCATTTAGAATCGATGCGACGAAATGAAGATACTCGATCCGAACAATTACAAATCTGTCAAGCGATATTTGATAAATACACCAAGAAACGTTCGCGTGCTACTTGTTTATTAGTAGGTGATTTTAACTTCGATTACCAATGGCCTGAAAACTTCGACCAAATGAATATTCTTGCAAACTGGACTGATCTATGGCCGAGATTGAATGGACTTTACGATCCTGGCTTAACAACACTTCGGGAAGCACGATTAGATCGGATGATGTTTCGCAGTTCACGTATTATTCCTATTGGAATCAAAATTATCGGAAATCAACCAATTGCGCATATACCAAAAGAACACAATCTTGGAACTAACATATTGAACGTTTTATCATTAGGATATGTAGGTCCCTCCGTGGAAAACGTTTTTCTCTCTGATCATTTCGGTCTAATGGCTGATTTCGATCTTCGCCACGTCTAAACTCTATATTTTGTATATAAATAAAGCTTCAAATAAATCTTCTATAGCTATTTTCGAAAGATTAATTACATTCGTTGAAAACTTGAATCTAACAATAAGAGCAGGAACTTATCATCAATGAGCTCACGTTCTATTCCCACTGCAGATAGTTAAAGTATATATTTCCTTGTTTGTAGGAGTGGTCTATTTACTGTGTTTCGCATACGTCTTTGCAAATGAAAAGTCTCAAATAATTATCTTGTACTAATTGATAGAGAAACGAACGAAAATTTATTCTATTGTTGAACACGCCAACAAAATATATGCGTCAATCAGTTGATGCTATTTATAAAAGCCTCAGTAAATGTAAAATATAGCTAAAACAGCATCGTGAATTTCCACTTTCGTTCACTAATTAGTGAAAAATCTGTATGAGACATATTTGATGTTCTCAAACAATGAAGAGGTCTGATTGTGTATAATTCTTTGAACTTTGCTTATTAGAATTCGAAATTAGATCCTGTTGAAAGATTGTCTGGAAGTATACGATTCGGTGTTTTGCAACATGTGCATCTGCAAAATTGCCATATGCGCTTTCGAAGAACACATTTGACTTGACGACGATACCGCGATGATATCATGATGTAGAGATAAAAACTAATCTGTAATCAAAAGAATATCTTGTTACTATCTGAAAATTAGTAGAGAGAGAGATTCAACTTACTCCATGTTGAACATTGACGAAGCAAATGGTAATGACTTGAATTAATCGGGAAATTGAAAATTGCAAAGCAGAGATATCGCTCGTAGTTGTATTGATCGAATAGATTCGATAGCAAACCAAAGGTGTAAATAAGAGAACAAAGAAGATAACACGAATCAAGACCATAGCTGTAATCTGTTGATCAAATCGACGGCGTTCGATTGGAATCTGTCGTCGGATAATGCGACGAACATTTTGATAGGCCAAAAAACTAAATATCGATGCAATAGTGATCGGAAGAATACCGACGAGAACTGGATAGTAGAAATATGTCACGTACTGGCTCCAGATATCATTATATATAATGCATCCAAGTAACGGATCTACATCGAGGTAGTGTGCAAATAGGAGATTAATAGAAAACCAAAAGCAGATAATGACAATAATGACGCGTTGAACGAAACGAAATGTAAGCAATTGCCGAAGGTAGGGGCGATAGTTCGTTGAACAGTACTGATCGATTGCAGCGAGGTATATCATACTATAAGAAATATTTCCTGCCGCTTGCACGAGTACAGCGCGCGCTCGACAGCCGATGAGGGAATTGTTGTTCAAATCATTTTGATAGAACGAAGCTGATATTGTAAAAAACAGTTGAACCGTCCGATTAATAAAGATAGCGATTATGTCAATGATGAAGTAATACGTGATTCGATGATCACGAAAACATTTCAATTGAACGAAAACGAGCAGGTTTATAATATTCCCGATAAACCCGAGCACGAACGTGATTAAGTCACAGTATAAGCTGTAGTTCGATGCAAATGTTAAAATGACCGACGAGGACATTTTAAAAATAATTACACTTTAACCGAGAATGAATAGTGTTCTCTACTAGTTTCTTGATGAGTGCATTGTGAGAGAAGAAATATTTCAGTATTCTTTTTTGTCATATATTATCTTCATTATTTTTTCATGCTTTTTCGCCTACTGATTTACACTCTCGAACAAATTACAGATTATCTGATGATTGTAGAGACATTAATATGAAAAGCCAATTTATTCAATAGTTCAGAAGGATTAATGCAGTGAGTGCCAATTAAGCAGATCTTCTAGCTTGAATAATAAAGTAAATGTTAGATTTTTCTTACAGACCAAAGACTGCTGGCCACTAGACTAGGCGGAAAGTAACATAAAACTAGAATCTGTATCGGTTCGGTTAGTATATGTGGTTATCCTACTTCGGTGTTGACGGAGACGAACGAGGTGATTCGAAATCTTCGTGATAACGTTTATTGGAAAACGACAAGAAGAGATAAAAGAAAAACAACTGGTGTTGATTACAGATCAAATACAACTGCCTGTCTGATCTTACCAGCTCAGAGTGAAGCCAGGCAGTCGACATAGAAAGAGAAAGGAAAGAAGAATGCTTCAATGAACAGAATGGCTGAAAATAATAAGTTCAGCAGCTAATTGTGTGACATTGTTTGATCTAGTAACAGTACACTCTAATCCACAACGAAAGATGACTTTCATGACGTACTGAGCAATGCCAAGATTACTGACAGCGATAAATATTAACTTTACCAATTTGATGAGAAATATCATTGAAGTTTTTTGAAAATTGTGAATTGCATTGCAGATCTCTTTTGAATAATCGCTAAAATTATGGTTTTAATGCAAGCAGCTCGCAGCTCCTGTAATCATGATCATGTGACTGATTTTCACCAACACGATTTATTTTCGTATAAAAATTTCACTTTATGAAGACAACAAAGACTTTCTCGTTGTTTAACTGAACGTCAGTCTAACCTACGCATTACGATCATTGTCATCATCGTAGTTTAAAAACAGTCGCAAAACGTAACCTCTTCAGGATAAATCATACGATAATTCTAGAGAACACTTCAAGAGTACTTGCCATCTCCATGCACTCATTCAGGACAAGAGTTGTGCTAACATTGAACAAAGACGATATTTCTTCATTCCATTCCAACATTTGACGGATAGTTAATGAGATTATCCGGATGAACGCTTTTCATATTCCAATTAAACCACTTTCTCCAGCATTTCTTCGTCAAAACATATTTAACTTGTCGCCGGTAGCGTGCAGACGACACGAAGAATATATAAAAATTAGCCTAGATAAAAGAAAACAGCTTTCAACTAGAAACAGAACATCTTGTACGTCTTACTGCGTAATTTAGATTGACAATGGAGACGATGATGACTTGAACTAACTGTGAAAGTGCATAATGAACCAGATCTGTTTGCTCTACAGGTACATTAACGATGTATATTCGAAACGTTATATAAGGTAGAGTGAAAATGATGAAGCATATCACTCGAAGTAGGATCATCGCCGTGATTTGTTGGTCAAATCGACGGCGTTCGATGGGAACTTGTCGACGGATAATACGACGAACATTCCGATAGGCTAAAAGACTAAACACTGACGCGATAGTAATCGGAAGAAAGCCAACGAGAACTGGATAGAACACATAGGTTACGTAATGAATCCATGTCGAATTAGAGATGATACATCCAATCGATGGAATAATACTCACGTAGAATGAGCAAGCAAGACTATGCAAAAGCCAGATACAAACAGTCCCGAATGCTGTGTATTGTGCTAGTGTATAGGTGAAAATTTGCCGTAGGACACATCGATAATTCGTCGAAAAGAATTGATCTGCTGCTTGGAAGCAGATCATTGAGAATGTGATAAGACCGAACGATTGAGCGAAAAAATATTTTAATCGACACCAAACGAGCACTCGATTCGTAAGGTCGTTACCATAAAGGGATATGAAGACGGTAATTGTAATCGAGAAAAATTGATAGAGAAAGTCCGAGATGGATTCGATGATTAAATAAAAAATACTGCGATGATGACGAAAATGTGCGACTCGAAGGAAAACTAGAATATTTACTGTATTGCCAATAACGCCAGCTGTAAAGGTAAGACAGCCGACTGCAGTTGAGTACAGATAAGCAATTTGAAGAATTTTCACTGCTACCAACGACGACTCCATGAGAAATGTAACTCTTTCATTAACAAAAACGTAAAAAGAGATCTAGTCGGATACAGAATAGTTTATTCCATTCTTTAACTGAGCTCTAATAGACTATTCTGACATTTTATCTCTCCCTTCATCTTCAAATTGTATGTAATATGCTTCAGGTATTTATTTATCTTTCATGCCTTGCATTCTTCGTAACGAAAAACACTAGTCACATCTGAATATTTGCTTACTATGAATGAGCTACTTATCTGAGAACAAAAGAAAACGGGAAGAGAGAGAGAGATAAACCGGCATATAATCTTTACATAAAGAGTACTTCAGAATTTCTCACACAGAATGTGTCTAATCATGCCGCGTAAAGTTCATCTTAAGATAATGGAATGAATTATGCCATGAGCGACGAGTCCAATGTTTGGTTATCAATATTTATTTTGAGATAAGAATAAAAAAGCGAGACAGTGCAGCATCACAAATATTGTTGAGAAAAGAAACATGTCGAACGAGCTTCGTCATCTCTCACCGGAATTCTCGATTGATGAAGCAAAGAAAGTCGCAAATGAATATTACAAATTAAAAGAATTTGTTTCTCAATTACCCAGTGAACGCGATCAAAATTTTCTTTTCCAAAACGATGATCAAACGAAATTTATCTTGAAAATTTCCAATATCGACGAAGATCACTCAGTTCTCGATATGCAAATCTGTGCGATTCAACGTTTCAATTCACAATTACGCACAGTACCTTCCCTAGATGGGCAAATGATAATTACATACAAAAATCATTATATACGTCTTGTTACTTACATACCGGGCACTCCTCTCGCACGTTTTCAACCGCACAGTCGAAAATTACTGATCAATCTTGGAAAAACTCTTGGTCAACTTGATCAATCTCTAGAGAAATTAGATCATCCGAGTATGAATCGTGATCTCTACTGGAATATGAACAACGCCGAGAAAATTATCAATGCATTCAAATACCTAATTACCGAGAAGAATCGTTATGAAATTATCGAAGACATTCTCCGACGATGGGTGAAATTCGTTCGTCCATGTTTGCCATCATTACGAACATCTGTTATTCATAATGATGCCAATGATTACAATATCATTGTTCATGATGAAGAAACAGTCAATTTGATTGATTTCGGTGACCTATGCCGAAGTTATGTAGTCTCCGAAGTGGCTATCGCATGTGCTTATGTTATGTTGGATAAGAATGATCCAATTTCTGCAGCAAGTTACGTTCTATGTGGTTATCAGCAGATATATCCACTGGAACCAATAGAAGTTGATCTGATCTATTATTTTATTTTGATGAGACTAGCTATGAGTGTGACAATATCCGCTCATCAAAAACAGTCGCAACCGAATAATGAATACATTGTAATTAGCGAGAAGCCAGCGTGGAGTTTATTAGAAAAATTAAACGATTTAGATTTCGATTCTGTTCGACAGACTATTCGTTCTGTATGTAATTCGTCTAATTAGATATAGAAAATATCATGATTATAAATAAAATACGTTCAAAAAAGTCATAACTATTGTCTAATGTCGTCCAGCAATTCTAATAAACGTTTTTAGAACAACTGTTGCAAGAAGAGACAAGTCATCGTTGAGATTGGAATAAAATAAGCTTAACTGCTTGCGGCAGAGTTGCTTGAGTGTTGATTGGTCGTACTTTGTCTTCGTACATTTCCGGTGATGGTGGCGATGCTCGAGATCACATCCTTGTGGTCAGCTTCATGCAACGTATCTTCTTTTTGCACCATGTAAAACCATAGGATTCTGATCGGATCTCTTCTTGAATAAAAACAGAAGTCTTCCGTTGCTGTGTGAACAGTTTCTAAACGTGGTGTCCAAGCGAGCTCTCGTAGCCGTCTTTAACTTGCGTCAATAAGCTACACTCAAATAGAGATTTTACACTTTTGGATGAAGCTGCAATACGACGTATATTCTTTGAATGGCTGATCTCTTGCATTATAGTGCTTTGACTGCTGAATGAGTAATCAGTTGATCGTCGGCATTAGTTATCTCGGGACTATGGTCGATCTTTGCAGATCCAAACTGAATGGCTTCGTCGTGATTCCAAATTTCAATGGTCACTAAATGATCGAATCGTTCAGAAACATGAACATCAACACTCAATTCTGAAGGTATAAACGTGAATCGGCCGTTATATGGTTGAACGAGCAAGACTTGTGATCACTGCTCGACTTGGTGGATGAACTTGTAGTCATTGCGATGGTTCTAAAAGTTCTGTACTTCCAAAATTAACATTCATGTTCGAAATCAATTCTTCAGCAGATCGAACATTTGCTTCGTTATAAACGGCAGTGGCCGTATTCAATCGAGTCTGATAATTTGATCCAAAACGAGTAATATTAAATTGACAATTGATAGGTAGACTTTTCAGAAATAAAACTGTTGCTTGTCATGCAAGACCAATTTTGTTCGAGTTGACAAGTTCATATCGACAATGGTATCGCGATCTAGATAAATATTATTTTGAGCACATGTGATTTCGTAGCACTTCCTATACCACTGAATCTGGATAGGATGTGATGCTGACAAAACACCTGTTATCTGCTCATTCATCTTGTCGATTTGACATTCTTCTTCAGGAAGAAGAGCACCGACATTGCTAATGAATATGTATGTTGATTTCTCATTTTGTTCCATGAGATAAGCTCCATTACCTTGTTGTAAAACTTGAGAGTATTCTTGCTGTGCTTGGATTTTTTCTTTTAATGGCGCACGGATCTCACGCTTGTCGGCTTCAGCAATAAATGAATAGATAGCAGCATTCTCTTCTATTGGAAAGCAGTAGACATCCTCAATTGGTTCTCATTCGTCGTTACGAAATTGACTTTAGAAGAACATGTTGCTGATGCTATGCAGATTCGCTAGATATGACGCGAAGCATCATTGCCGACGTCAGCAAGTGTTGTGTCAATAGTTCATATTTAAACGTCGTTTTATTCTTATAGAAAAGAAAAAAGAACAACGCAGAATACCAATAAGTCATTCACTGAGGAATTATCTCAGCAAGTGAAAAGAGACAAAAAGTCACACAAAAAAGTAAGATTCTGAAAGCGTCTAATTCGCTTATTGACATCAGTTTGTCAACCAATGTTTAGTTCACCTTCTTCCGCATTGTACAAAGTTCCAGATCATCTCGTACTGTACCTCCTGAATACGGTAGTGTCGGAACGAAGCGTTGACGCGCACCCGTGTCGATAAAACCTCTACGAGAATAGTACGATATCAATTCAGGTCTTTGAACAATCGCCGTTAGTTCTATGTATTCAACATTCCAATTGTTTATCGCATACTTTTCAGCAGTGGATAATATTGAACTTCCAAAGCCTCTCGCCTGTAGATCTGGACGTACAGAAAGCATACCTATTCGAGCAGTTTTACATTCCGACTTATGCGATAGTAAAACGCATCCTTTGAGAATTTGATCATCTGCACCGAAAAACACCAGAAAGATGTTATTCACATTGTTTATCAAGTTCAATAACAAATCGGAGTTCGTGCGTGGCGCAGGATTCAATGCATACTCATTCGTCCAGCCTTGATGTGACATTTGACCAGAATAAGCATCATTTATTAGTGTAACCATTGCATCGCAGTCGTCTGCAGTCGCTCTACGATGCGTTAGCAGTTCTTTAACGATATCCATGTTGTAAATATCTCACAAAAGAAACTTGTGATAGAGCTAGAACACCTTTTCATTTTCTTCTCTTCTATTAATGACGTCAGAAAAGATAAACGAAAATGGAAAATGTTTACTAAATTCGTTTTTTTATCTCGGTGATGGTAGTCGCGTTTCGTCATACAATATTGATCAGTCAATGACTTTCAAGGTGAGATCTTTTGCTGATGACATAGTGAATCGTCATTTCATCATCTCAATCTCGCCCGAAAAAGCCTAATGATATGAGTATACTTCTTTATTTAATCAACTAAAACTACATCTACAGTTTCTAAAGTATCGGACTCTGAGGAAATAATTGCGAAAGAAAAGATGTAAAATCTAATTTACTCTGAGGCGTCACATATTTTGAATATTGCAAAACAACATCCAGCTATACACAAAAGTAAACCGATGAAACTATATTGTGCTAAAAGACATCGGAATGCCATATTATATACCAGTTTTTGACAGTAGTTTGCTTCAAGGGGATGCTCGAACTGCACTCGACTTCGTATTGCAAATACCCATACACTTCCCTAAATTAGATTAGAGTTACTTTTGTGTCATATTGAAAACTATTGACTAATTTATGAAATGTATACTTACCGTTATCATCCATGCAAAGAAGTACAGGAATAATATTAACATTAAACAACCACCGCACATGAAACAATTTTCTATTTCGCAATGTTTTTCACTGTGACAGCAAGTCATTTTTACGATGGCCTATACAAATGAATGGACAGAAAACTTTGAATACAATCAACAAACGACATTTACCATGATAACAAATAGTGTACATCCGCCAAGTCCAACCGATCCGAAGATAATTAGCCATCTCGGTACCCATGGTTGAATAGGACATTCATTTCGCTTTAGCAGACCAATCACTAATGCTGCTATCGATAAACTCGAAAGAACAACCATAACAATTATAACAATAATTCCATGGTATAATGTATTCAATTCACGGGCTATCAATGCTGCTGCCTTGGTTGTTCGTCGCTCTTTACGTTTGAAATAGCTTGGAAGATGCATTGAGGTTAAGATTACTGTTTACGTAAAAGCGACAAAAAATCTAGAACTGAAATGTTCTAATAATTGTACATCATAAAACGATGCGAAAAAGGAGATGGAAAAGACCTCTATATTTCATTGAAAGACGTACGAAGACGCAGATGCATTCGTATTTATTATATCTCTAACGAACATATTCCACTTTTACCTATGGATATCGAACTACAGAGGAGTACGTTAAACATACGTTTTTGTTACATGTGTAATATGAGTATAGGCGACAGAAAAGTTTGTCTAAGCGGAAAATAGTGACGAATACGCCAGTTATATAAAGAAGTAGTCAGATTCACTCGCTGCTTTTCTTAGAGATCGTTTAGGTGTGGGATAGTGTTGTAAGATAATTCGATAATCGGCATCCGTGTCATTTTCTTTAAAATCTCGAAGTGTAAATAGTGTGAATGGTAATACTAGCACTTCATTTTCATCTTCGTATTGGGACAGACAGGGTAGTTGTTCGGAGAGTTTTGATAAGTTGATAGCCGTTGGACTGTGATCTGGAAATTCGAATTCAATCAAAACAGAAAAACGATCAGAGCCGTGCTGCCCTCCTAGAAAACCAAGTGCAACAGACTTCTCTGTCGACGTCGATTGTAATATTCGTGTTTCAAGTATATGAGTACGCCATGATTCTTTTTTCTGTGACGCCCATCGATATGCATCTAGATCACTTTGGTTCATTGTTGCTCCCCGATATGAACGTCCTGTAAAAGAACGATTTCGTAATTCGTGTAAGTTCAGATAAAGTATCGCAGTGAGAGCATCAGCTTCGTCTTTTAAGTTTTCATAGAAGCTAGTTTCCATCGTGTATAATGTTATCAAATGGCGCACACCCAGCTTTTGGAAGAACTTTTCAAGTAGACTCTTAGCATTTTTGTAGTCGCCATGAATTGGTGAAATGCTCTTGTTGAATAATTTGAGCAACTCCTCATTATGATTTCTTTCCAATCGTTTCTTTACGATGTTTTTGAAAACCGAATTTGATTGACCAAGAGCTAACATAAACTGCGCTTCATAGGTACTATAATCACTGGTACGACCTGTGACCCAATCATCTGGCGTTTCGAGCTCATCATCTTTCGCATTATTAAAAGAATTGTTCTTGATCAGGCCGCCAGCATAGTGTTGAACAAATCGTTCAGACGTTGGTCGCTTAAACAGTTCCCGAATTGCGGGTGAAGCTATCTCATATGCTGTTTGATGTTGACTATTCAATGTCGTGCGAGAACAACCAATCTCCAATAGAAATTTCACAACATGAATATGATTGCGGGCACATGCGTCATGCAATGCTGTACTGCCATTAGGCTGGACTTCATTGAGTTGCTCGTATGTCAAATGTGGATATATATTTTTCGCTGCTTGTAAGTTATCATTTCGGCAAGCCCAGTAAAAGTCAGCACCGCTAACGGTGTGCTGTGAGTGAGAAAAAGGTAGAACACGCGTTTTAGAACTACCACTGCCCATTTTATGTTGCTTCACTCGGTCGATACATAGACAGTAGATGAAAATTGACTATACAACAGCTCTTCCTTGCTGCTTTTATAGGGATCTATTCTGATAAAGTAACAAAAAACCTCATTCTACTATAAGTTTTATAGTCGTCTACCAAAAAGCTCTTAAAAACTAGATACGCTATCAACATCGCTTTTATATCGAATTGAAATTTGTATACGAAATGTGAAGAGCGTAAAGTGAATATCATGCACACAGCGTATTGTGAAGAGGAACATTGAAACATAAATCAATGAATGTTTCAGGTTTTTTTCGAAGAAAGGTTTTATGACAATGTGCAAATAAATTGAAGTAGAGAATTACGTAAATCAGCATTTATCAGCACAATTGTCAACCCTGAAAACTTTGCTTTTTATTTATGGACTTCAAAAAATAAACAATGCAAAATAAATACTGTTTACAATTAGTCCTCTTCCGAAGATGAATATTCGTCATCTGAAGATGATGTATCAGACGTTGTTCGAATATGTTGACACGATTGATTGCACACTTGAGCAATAAAATATTGTAGAACACATTGAAAGTCATCACAGAGCTGATGAAGATAGCTATTCATACGTTTTCCAGTATTTAGAAATGCCCAAGTTGCAATAACAGGAGTGAAAACAACACCAGTCAGAATGCCAATAACAGATGCGGCTCTCACTGTACCTACACCAACTGGAATTACTGCGCGTATGACATCGTCTGAAACTCGTATCGCTGCCATACTAGCAAGAGTGATACTCGCAGAAGAAATCCTTGTTCGATGCATGCTATTATCTGTTTGATTTCCAGACGACACTGAAGCCAGTATGACTTCATTTGCTGCCGATTTCGTTGTCTCGGAATCCTTTGCGATTAAATACTGAAAACAACCGGATTTGAGTACACCTTTGGAAATTGTGAATTTATGTTGGACTAAATAATCTTGTAAACGATCCTTATTGTCATACGCACCAAGAGCTTGACAGATTTTGTTTTTGCCCATATAGTTGGAGATCTCATCAGCAAAAGGAATTATGCTTAACCCAGCAGATAATAATCGATATGAGCCTTGCGAAATCGCATAACCACGACGGAAGCAGGTATTCACAATATGTTTAGATAGAAGAACAGCAAGTCTATAAATACGTTTGATTCGACAATCGTTCAGAGCTAATCTGAATATCATTTGTTTCACTTTTTCCAAATCAAATTCACCAACTTTTGTCTCGTTCAAATCTTTATTTTGATCTGCAGCTGTTAAAAAGACGAGATGAGATAACTGTTCATCTTTATAAGTGAGCTTTGCTTGCGTACGCATTTTTCGAAGAACATTATCTACATTGACCACATCATTATGACAGGATTCTTTGTTGTACTCATGTCCATTCTCATCTTTATACAGTTGTTTGAATAACATGTCGGATTTACTTCGAACGAAGATACATTTTCGTTCCAGTACATTTGTCACATAATCAAAACATTGTAAATTAAAAGCTGTCAATGGTTTATCATATACAATCATATAAAGATCACAATCTGTTTTTGTGATAATATCGAAATAGTTGATAAGAGCTCGCTCGAGATCGTTGTCGATCGCTCCCTCGATATCAAAGAAGCTGACTGGTACACGCAACTTTGATTTGGGACTTTCTAAAACAGTATCAATTTGTAAATAACCAAATGTACTTCGCTGGGAGAGAATTGTTACACTGGTGTGCTCGGTATTTGAAAGAGTTTTAATCAATGCACTTTTGCCAGCACTTGTATCACCAATAGCACCGATTTTAAATGGAATCGAAGAGATATAGTTAGTTCCATCGTAAAGAGTTTTGATGTCGTTTTCGAGATATTGGCAAAGGTCGATTAGTTTCGGTTTGAAACTGTCGTCAGTTCCATAATCGTTTTCCCATGCGGACATCAGTTCTGTTGTTTTAGGGAACAGACGAGCTACTTCGATTTTATCGATTCGGATACGTAGTCGTTCCATGAGAAGAATAAATCGAGAATTGGGAATGGTCGGTATTGTTTGATCCAATAATAACGAAAAGTATTCATCTATCAGGAGTGATACATCCAAGCATTTCTGGCGAAAGAAAAGTAACGTTTCTTTCACTTCCTTTAGTGTACTTATCATTTTCTCGACTTTTTCGAAATTCTTCGCTGCACGTTGCTCATCCAAAGAATGTTTTTCAAATAATACTTTCACTTTGCCATAATATTGCCAAATTAATTCACTACGGAAATCAACATCGTCGAGAATCTTATCAATCGAAGAGACATTCGGTTCGGATGGAAGTGCCTGAAGTACATCCATATGGTACTCTTTAACTGTGTCGATTTCTGCATGTTCGATTTGTTGAATGGTAGTCAGCATCTTTTCACAGAGGTCATCGAAATTTTTCATTCCTTTCTTATACTTCTCCAATGTCAAGGAAATCGTTGTTTGCCGAGCATTGATCTCCTTTTTCAAACTTTCCGTTTTTCCTAAAATAGTTGTTAATCTTTGGCAAACGTCTGTAGCGATGGCAATCAATTCATCATCTGCAAGACTCGGAGAACAGTTCGTAGAAAATTTTTGACGAAATGTATCCAATCGAGATTGAAGATGAGTATATCGAAGTTTAATATCCGTTAAAACCGATTGATAACAGAGTGAATCGGAATTGTTTTTCAAATCAAATAAACTTCGTGTACCATATAATTTCTTCATATTTGGCCAAATTAAATACTCCTCGATTAGTTTATTCCGTTTCGGAGTTACATTTTGTTTGCAATCAGCACATGTAAAAGGATATTGACACGAAGCTCCCCGAATAGCATCCACGCATGAACTGCAGTACTGTTGACTACACTTGTCATTCGGGCATTCTAAAAGAAGTTCTTCATCGATGATACCAAATGGATTACTGCACATGAAGCAGATTGGAGAAACCTTGTAAAATACAAAATCGAGAATAGAATGAGACAAAGAAATTCTCACACTTACATATTTGATATAAAGATTCCGAGCTTGACCGTCTTCAAGAGGACTGGGCACAGTAGTTAATAAAGTTAAGTTTTCATAGGAATCAAAATAAGTTAGAATTGCGTTGTTTTCGTTGAAATGATATTGATCAAAACAAGCGAACGCATGTTGGGTGATTTCATTGGCAGAATTGAACGTGATATTTTTTATCTTTTTTTGTTCGTTTAAATAATGAACAATGAAAGAATGAGTTTCTGCACGACAGTCTCCCTCTGAATAAGTTTCGCGAAAACTAACGCAATCAGAATTTCGTAATTCAGTGTTTTCGAACGAAGTATCAGCTTGCATCATTGTCTATAACAAAGTCAAAGTAATGCAGACACACTTTCTCACATACGAAATACCAAGCCTGTTATTGTGAGAACAGATAAGGAATGAAATAAATCTACCATGTGTTGGATATTTCCGATTAGTCATAAAGTCTTGCACGATATAAAAAAAGAATCGACGCGATACGACTGAACGAATCGTGTTTTGACTAGAAGAAGAAAAGAAAGGATCTGGACGAGAGAAGGAATTGTCACGTGTGTTCTTGTATATATCGATTCTGTTTTCGTCGTTTGTATAGTCAGTATCATCATGATAGGAATAAAACGGTCACGAAGTGAAAATGATTTGTACGATCATAACAACAATAAGAAGCAAAAATCAGATCTTGAATTATCCGTTGCATCACCGAAAACAAAGTTAGTGCAATGAGATTTGGAATCGCTCGTCTATTTTCAATTCCTTTAGATCTTGTTTGGAAAACTTACCTAATGAAACAATTTATGAAATTTTCGATTATCTTGATAGTTTTCATGTTTATCAAAGTTTTTTTTCTTTAAATACTCGATTCGATCGATTAATTCTCAATCCAACTGGCTTGCTTCAAGTCAACATCGGTGCGATGACGAAATTAGATTTCGATCTTTATCATAGACACGTCATTACGCCGAACCGACGTCGAATCAATTACCTTCGTTTATCTAATCCATTTACAGCTGACCTCATTTTCTCTCCACCACTTACGATCTGTCGTTTCACGCAATTGAAAACTTTAATTCTCGAACAATTTGATTCGAAATATATGAAAAATGTCTTACAGCATTTAATTCAACTACCCAAACTTGAATCACTCAAGATATCATTCGCTGATCTCTTTCCACTTCTCCCTGCTGTTCTCTTCCAGTCAATTTTTCAACTATCGAAATTAAAATTATGTCAAGTTACTTATCGAACGAAATTTGATAGCATATCACCTCCGATTTACTTACCTCAAGCTACTTCGACTTCAATTGAATCGTTAACCATCAACAATCGTTTCTCCGTTGAATCACTCTTCGATCTTTATCGTTTTGTCCCTCAACTTCGTTATCTATCGATCAATTCTCTTGCGGGATACCCTCCATTCATGGGATTTCAACGTGAATCACTGTTACTAAAGCATCTCAAAACTCTCTCGCTTAAAATCGACGATGTTCAATTCGGTACATTCGCCCAGTTGGTGAAATCCTTCTTTAGTAATATTGAAATTTTACATTTGGAAGCAAATCACTCATCTTATTTGCATCTGGATCAATGGCAAGACTTGATCTTGTCTTCCATGCCTAACTTACGTGTTTTTGACTTTTACTACAATGGAATTTTACACAGGAACGAAGCCATCGATCAATTCATGCTCAATAACAATTTCGATCAATCGTTCTGGAACGGGCGAGGTTGGGTGTTCGTGCAAACAGAAAAACAACAAGGAAATCTTCGTCGGATCATGTTTTATTCCTTAAATCCATATCGACGAAAAGATTATGATCTCTACTGGGAACATGGTTCCATACATCCACTCGATGACCACTTGTCCTCAGTTGAACACGTACATTTACGAAGTGATAGTGGATTGAAAAACGCGAAGAAATATTTTCCAAATGCGACAACACTGACTATCGAACATTACTTTCAACCGGCGCGTGGTTCATTGGCGACCATTGTTAATGAAATTCTTCCTCTGAAGCAATTGAAGAAGTTGGTTATCGAAAATATCAGTTATCCTTTTGACGAAATCCTTCAGTTGATGAAGCTCACACCAAATCTGCAATTCTTATCTGTACGACGAATCAACTATCCATTTCTTCTTCTTAGTAATCTTTTTCAAGTAACATCGCTTAAAACACTGGAAATCTGTCAAGAATGTTCATATGAATATTTTCAAATAATGATGATGCACTTTCCACAACTGGACACACTTCGAATTGCTATGAAACGACCTGATATTTCTCAAACAATTCGATATGTTTTTACACAGTCAAATCATTTGTTTTCTTTATGTTTTACAAGGATGCCCAAAGTTTGTCTACGGGACATCAAAAATTTAATTCGATATGAAAAATTAATCGTAAATTATACAATTAAATTATTAGATCATGATTTATATTTATGGTGGTAGATTTTTAGTTTTTCTCCTGTGAAATTAGATGTTTGTTTTATAATAAATGAAAAGATCATCGTGTGTAAAACCATATTCAGTTTGATGTAAATACACTCGTTCGATTCCGATACATCCCGACTCTGTGACAAATAAGACAGTGACTGATGTTTAGCTGTCAGGTTTATTCTTGGTATTTTAGTGCTTTTAATAATGTGAAGTCGGGTTTAGTTAGTACAGTTTTTAAAAAAATTGTAAGTTAAGTATTGATATAAAAATAGAAATATTAGTTCACAGGAGAAAAGAGATACTTGTTTGGCAATGAAAGGCAGTATCTATTTTAATTTGTTTGTGCGCCACGGCAGATTGGACATTGTACAGAAGTCTAGAGAAATGACAAAAAATAAAGATAATCAAGTCTGACCGAAAACTAAGATGTTCGTCAATACATACTTTTAACCAGGGATCGATGCAGTCCGAATGGAAAAAGTGATCACATCGTAAACGTTTCAAAGTTTCACCGGTTTTATAATTACTCAGGCAAATAGCACATTTATCGTCATTGGCTTTAGATTTACTTGACTTTTTGTACGTCACCTTTGGTATACGCTTAATATCTTCTTCGGATAGACCTACAGGCGTTTCTTCTTCACCAAGTAGGCCCATTAGATTCTAGATGAGAAGCAATCGAATTGTATTGCAAAAACTCACATCAATTGACTTACACCCAATTGAATATGCACAATGGCCGGCCGTTGCATCATCATCCCTAGAGCAATAAGATTAATTGGACTTATGATTGCATGACCAAAGTCGTCGTCGCCATCATCATTATCAGCATAGTTATTGCGAAGTCTCGCATCTCTTACTGGACGTTGATCGCCGAGAAAATTTCTATAAATGAGAAAATTTCGATGAAACGAGTAAATGCTTTTTGTTTTCCAGGACGTACTGGAGAATATGGGCAAGTAGGGATACCGGATGATGTTGTTGTACGACCACACGTTGTTGTGGAACTGATGAAGGGGACGAGGAGAAAGGAGAAGAAGAGGGCGACGACAACGACGGAGGATGGGCAGATCGGTCGGGATACAAATTGGGTCGGACTCTTGGACTGTCTGATGCTCGATGATTTCTAGAAAATCTGCATGGCAGTAGACATTATGAGTAGATAAGTTGCACTTACGAAGGTAAGTTATAGGATTGAGATGGATAGTATTCTGGTTGATAATAATTTTGATCATAATGATCGGTATTTCCTGCGTAATTGGAATAATCTTGATCGTAAGCATGTGTTTGACGGTGTGTGGTACGGTTTGACGGAAACTGTGGTGGCCATTGCTGGGGTTGTGGTTGTTCTCGCTGAGCATGATAATAATCGTTTTCGTACGATTGAGGATATTGCATATACGAATGATTGGAAGGTGGCTCTAAACGATATCGACGTTGTGGGCGGTCATTTGATGGAGTCTAGTATAAAAAGTATGACATATTTATTGTAACCATGAGTGAATTTGTCAAACTTACATGCATCCGATTAGGATATCTATCAGAATGATCATAGTCTCCATAGTACTGGCGAGAAGGAGGCGGTGCCGGTGCGACGAAATGTCTTTCTTGAATTGGCTGAAACGTAGATTGCGAGACGAAATTTCTCGATGACGTCGATGGCTGACGTCGAGATGAACTGTTCGTTGGTTGATAAAACGAAGCAGGTACACGACGAGGAGTTGATGATTGATACGAATCGTTGTAGTATTGGCGCGACATGAAAAGCAAACTTGCAAAAACTATTAACTATACCGGTGATAGATACGATCAACACGTGTAATTTGAAGTATGCAAATATAATTGCATACTAATACACCTACTTCCCAAGCGTGATTCATAGGAAGTTAAATGACGGGAAGAACGAATGACATCAAGACAAATACCTGTGCAATGAGAGCTATCGACATCTTTCTCCCGCACAAAACCCATTCAACTGTATGGCATGCAAAACAAATAGCAGCTTAGAAAATTCTACCGAGAACTTTTAACACATAGCGAAACAAAATGCGTCAACATCGAGCGACCAAATTTGATGAAACTTTAGCGTTGTGGGCGCAGATGACAAATTTATAGTTCTGCTTTCACTCTCACAAACTTAGAAATCGAAATGAGTAAAGGCATTCTGTATTGATTCACACCTATGTGCATATTTAACTTCTGACTCAACTTCTACAATGAAAGATATACCGATTGAGATATCGTTAAAACAAAGATTAGGGCTCACTTTCTACCGTTAGACCAATAGTCGTGCGCACAGAAGAAAAACGAGAAAACTGAAACATGAAAAAACCTGATCTTTGCTGATTAATTTGCTAATCTATACATCATACCATATACTATATAGACATACAGCTTATAGGTTTATTCTCTATCGAAACCTCTGAATGAAGGCCAACGCATCTTTCCTTGTCATCGTAATATGTTTCACGTTTTCGGTTGCCAGTGGTATCGATTCATGTACGTTCACTTCAACAATTGCCGATATACTTCCTTCGAATTGGTCGTATTCCACATTAGACAAAGTAAAACCATGCTTTCAAAGTATAATATTGAATAAAACGATCGTGAATCAAACCATACAACAGCTATTCAATTCGTTAGATTTTTACAGTTTCCTAAGTATAGCTCGTCAAAGCAATGCACCTTATTTTATCAATGTAAACCTTGACAATGAGTTGGTCAATATCGTTAATCAATCCAATATGAATGCATATCAAAGTGATTATGATTTTCATATAGCAATCGTGAATTCATTCAAAAAACTTAATGATTATCATACGCAATATACTGCTCCATTAGGATACGCTAATTTCATTTTATTATTACCATTTATTTTCGAATTTCTTCCTGCAACACAACAAATCAAAATAAAACAAGGCGTTAAATTATACTCCTCTCTCACAGGAAATGATTTCAATATGCATTATACGAATGAAATGATCACCAAAATCGATGGTGTGAATGCATTCGATTATATCAAAGAATTTTCTGAACGACACTCACTGATCAGCAAAGATAAAAATGTTAAATTGAATTCGGTCTTCAAAGAAGAATTCTGGTTACGGAATCTCGCTAAATATCCGATGCCATTGCGTGACAACATAACATTTACGTTTCACAATATCACCGTAACATTTCCTTACGTTGTTCTTATCACAAAACAGTTTAACAGTCAATTAGATTTCGAAAAAGAGAACAGTTTTTTACGACCAACACCAGCATTTGACCAAACGCGAGTTCTGAACTATGTCAACAATTTCGAAAAACTCGATTGGTACTACGAAAGATCAACTGACCGTTTCGACTATATCATGGGTGGAAATACGACTTATCTTTATACTCACAAGAGAACCAAAACTGCAGTTATCAAGCTTGGTTCATTTGATGAAGAGCATTTCCCAGATATAAAGAAAATCCTGTTGGCAGCTTCTGGAGATTCATTGATTATCGATTTGATCGGTAATCATGGAGGTCATAGTTGTATGGCGTATGGTTTACTCAATTATCTCATTCCCGAATATTCGAATTTGAGTAACCTGTATGAACCATTGGACGGACGGATAACCAAAATCTTACAAACATGGTCGAGAGTGTTTACGTTTTATCCAAATTCAATTTTAAACCTTCAGACCGGTGAATCGTTTACAAATATGGATTGGATACAACCATATAGGAATTACACGCGAGGTAACATTACGGAAGAATATTCGATGAAATGGTCGATTAATTGTGATGGACAAGTCTTCGGCGAAGGACAATATTGGCTTAGAAACAACACCACACCCAAATACTTTCGATCAATCTATGTTTTAACCGATGGTACGTGTGGAAGTGCATGCGGACTATTCTTATCCAAACTCAAATTTGGTTCTAATTTTAAAACTATCTACGGTATCGGCGGTGGATACGGTGGAAATAGTCCGTTTGAAAGTTCGAGTTATGCAGGTGGTGGTGCATTCAATTGGAACGATATTGTCATGTATTATAACCTGGTTAATGATAGTAGTAGTCCACCTCTGCATTACTTTCCAACAAGTGCGTTCTTGAAATTAAATGTGTATGAAATATATATCAATAAACTGAATCCCGACTGTCCAAGAGAATTTGCATCACAACCAATAGATAAACATATCACCGGTCCGGATTATTTCAATCTCGAACAACTCTTGGAGCAGATCATTGATAGCAATATTTCATCGTTTGGAATCAATGTGCAAACAGATGTTCTATTCATTCTCAATCTCCTGGCATTAATAATACTGTCAAATTACATTTACTAAGCAACTTCAAAAACTGAGATTTCATACCGAACACACATTCTTCGACAAATAAAAAGAAATTTAAAAAAACTCGTGCCATCACCTCTCTACAGCCACAAATCGAATTATTTTTTCTTTATCTAGATGTATATTACGACAGCAGGAAGTATATGATTAACAAAAAAGTATTATATTCCTATGTTGATATCGGATTTGACATATCAGAAATTTTCTCTTGCATAATCAGGACGGTTTTGTGTGCAATTGTTGCTGACAAACGGTAAAAGTCACGAAGATGACTGTTGCTTCATCATATTACAGCGCAAAATTACATTGCAAGAAGGAAAAAACCGTTTTTGACCACTTAATAAAACCTTACACAGAGTTTAAAAGTTATCCATTGAGACAATTTCGCTAAACCACATACATACATAATGAAAGTACTTCTCTGATCTTTAATGGTAAAAATAAGTCGAATGTGTACACGAATCTATTATTCGCCAGTTTTCCTGCTTTGGAGTATGACACTAGTCAACTGCAATAGTATATCTTTGCATGCAACGACTATGTGTCCTGGTACCCAAAAGCTATGTGGAAATGAATTTTGCTACGATCCAGCAACACAATATTGTCCCAAGTCGCATGCAATTGTCACGTGTATCAATACATGTGGAAAAGAATGTTATGATCCAGTTTGGCAAACCTGCATCAATGGTATTTTATGTGATATTGATGAAGATGTTTGTGAAGTGAAGTATGATAGTAATAATGGCAATTCAATTGTACCGACACGATTGCAGTGCTACAAGCCACGACTTCAAAGATGTTTAAATCATACACTCTGCTATGATAAAGATCGCGTTTGTAATAATCAATGTATCCTGGGCACTTCTCCTTCTAATCAAATTTGTGCAAATGACGGTGTAACACTGTGTAACGTACGATATCCTTATACTTGGTATCAACCAAATCAGATACAAGTGTGTAATGGTTCTTGCTATGATACTGAAATAGAAGTAAAACATTGTGTGAACGGTTCTTTGCAATGTATTTACAACTGCTCTGATAGTTGCTACGATCCAAGAACACACGTTTGCGTGAACGGAACTGTTTGTTCTCTTGGACAAGAAGTTTGTTTGACCAATTACCGTTCTGATAATGGCCATCCTCTTGATTTCCCCCAACTCGAGTGTTACAATCCTTGGTCTTCGAAATGTATCGATAAGGCTCTTTGTAATAATAGTCGCGTCTGTAATGGACGCTGTATAACTGGATATACTGCTTATAGACAAGTGTGTGCCAGTGACAAACGTACTATTTGTGACGTTAAGGATTCTTACACTAGGTATCTAGTCTATCAAATGCACGTATGTAACGGTACTTGTTTTGATGTAAGTCTGCAACAATGCATCAATGGAGTTGTCTCGTGTATAGATGGCATGTGTGCTGGCGAGTGTTACGAGTCAGCACATGTCGTCTGCCTTAACGATACTCGATGCCCACTTGGGTATAGTCTATGTGAAGCACGATATAGTACTTATAGTGGTTATCCAATTGAACCGCCGTACCTACAATGTTATGATCCACGGCTTAAAAGATGCTTAAATCATACACTCTGCTATGATAAAGATCGCGTTTGTAATAATCAATGTATCCTGAACACTTATCCTTCTTATCAAATTTGTGCAAATGACGGTGTAACACTATGCAACACATCGCAGCACTATACTGCTTATAAGCCGAACCAGATAAAAATATGTAATGGCACATGCTATGATGCAGGATATCCAGCAATCCGGCATTGTTCTAACGGTAATATCCAATGTATATCAGATTGTTCGAATACTTGTTATAATGCTTTGACGCATATCTGTATAAGTGGCTTACTTTGTAATCTTGCTGAACGCCTTTGTCCTACACAGTATGGACACGTTTGTTATAATCCACTGAGATCAAAATGTTTAAACGATACACTGTGCTTAATTTGGCAACATCGCTGTTCTACTAATGTGTGCTACGACTCTGCTTCTCACAAATGTTTTAATGATACACTTTGTTCAAATAATCGCGTGTGTGGTAAACAATGTCTTGTTAGCGATTATCAAATATGTGCTAACGATAGGAGAACAGTATGTAATGTGCCTAAGCCATATGATCATTATCGACCAGACCAAATACAACTTTGTCTAGGCGTTTGCTATGATTCATTAACTCAACAATGTGCACCTCAAAATATCAGTTCATCGAAGACAACAACAAAAACAACAGCTTCGTTCTTGCCTAACTCGACGACTAACAGTGTCTCTGTCTCTCATGTGACTGTAGCATCGGACCTTCAAACCAGTGCTAGTACAGCACATTCTTCTGAAGTAACCGTCGATACTGAAGGAACAACGATGTCTACAATTACGCTCCCTACCACGTACGTTGAATCACTTTCGACAGACGTCACAGATGATTTCACTTCGTACGGCGTAAAAAGCAGTAGTATGACTACGACCTCAGAAAATGTTGATGTTAAATTGACCACAATTGACACTGGAACATCATCAAGCATTCTGTCACATTTGTCAAACAGGTATGCTTCCCTAAATGAAGCATCATCTGACTCAACTACAGCTCCTATACGAATAACTACAAGTCAAGTCGAAGCATCATCGACGACTCCATTGCACTCGTCAGATAATTTTGCCTTAATATCCGACTCGAACTCGCTGCCAGTGGGTATAAACGTTCCATCAATATTTCCCGGTACATCTTTTACGCCGACGTCGGCTTCATCAATAATTCCATACACCTCAATCAGTCAGACGTCAACAACACTTTCCCTTCAGGATAATTGCTGTTCAACGAGCGAATGTAGAAATGAGAGTGATTGCTGTACACCACACATTGAATGCCGTTGCTATCCTTATACGAAAGATCATCAGGATGGGCAAATGTGTAAAGCAATTGTTATCGGATCAGTTAGTCATCATTCTTTTGTTGCTGCTATTGCCATAAATGATAAAAAAGTTATCGTTATCCAGAACCAATATTTCTTCTTCTTATTGTTATCTATACCATTAGCATTATTTCTTATGTTATTGATCACAATTTCGTTAGTTCTTGTTATGTGTCGCAAAAAGATAGCAATGACTTTCTATCATTGGCGCCTCTCGATAAAATTTGATAGAGCCAATCGTCGCCGACTACACTGGGAGAGACACGAGTAGACTATAATCTGTTTTATGTAGCTCAGAGCGTGTACTATTTGTTACATATTTTTTATTCTTTGCTAATGGAAATAAACGTTTGACTCGCCTCTATATTGTTAAATCTTTGTACTTGAGGAAAAAATACATAACATTCGATCAAGTGATTAGGAAATTTATTTCAAAGATCGGAGAACTTCATTTTATTGTTAGAAAAAATTCTTATTGCTTTAAATTCGGGTCTTTTATTTCATTTTCGATCTGTGACTGTGCGTTTGCCTTCGTGTTTTCGATTTCTTTTGCATGCAGTTCGAGCTGATGTCTGATGAGTTGCTGAATATCTTGCATTTCAAGAGTAGATTGCCGAGCGAGTATGGCTTGTTTAATATCGCGCTCTATTGTCGTCCGCATTTCCGACATCATTTGCTCACATAAGTCTCTCTGTGTAGCCGCGTTCTGCTTCATTTCAGATTTATGAAGTGCAATGTCCCGTTGAAATTTTTCATTCTGTTGTTCACTCTGTTGCAATAGACTTCGAACGGAGATTGTAGCTTGTTCTAGTAACTGTTGGCTAGTTTCAACTGCTTGCAAGCACTGTGCTTTGGCTATTTCAACTGTTTTTGAAATTTCCTCTGCTGTCTCTTGCGTTCGCTTTTCCATTCTACGCATTCGAGTGTTGATCAATTGTTCTAAACGTTTTTCCATGTCTTTGACAGTATTATCCAATCTCTCTTGAGTGTTTTCATATCGCATTTCGTTATCTTGCGTCATCGTTACGCGATTTCTTTCCGATTCTTCTCTAATTTGTTCATGGGCTGCATCGATGGATGTTTGACAGACCTTGACTTTATCTTTGATTTCTTCACAGAAAGCATCGACACTCAACTCAATTGCTTCTCGAGTTTTTTTCAACTCTTCCTTAACATCATCGAGATTGGCAAAGATGTTGTGTGCACGAATCACTTCAGTCACTTGTTTTGCCGTTTCCAGTGTAATCAATGATTTACTTGGATCCAGAGACTTGTTCTCAATAGCATAAGCTTTTGCATGCTCGATGATATCTTCAAATTTTGTTAAAATGTTGCCATGTTCATCCCGACTAGCTAAACATAATTTTCGTCCTTCGACAATAGTTTGTAATGTTTTCTCATCGGATGAAAATGGAGTAACATAGACGTAACCAAAGAAGTTCGAATATTTCAGCTCATTGTCAGAAGCATCGGCTGATACTGGATACTGATAGATACCACCATCATTGCCCACGACTGATACACAACCGATCAGATACCGTATTTGGACTGGTACGACAATTTCTTTGTCGAAAAAATTTTTGATTTTTAAGCAAATTTTTTTATGCCCTATGGGATTGCTGCCGATGCCAGATGTCAGTTTTCTAGACATTTCTGGATTAATTGGATCTCTCTTAGCTACACAGAGCCACAGTTGATGTGGTAACGGTTCACTAGGAACGAGTCGATCACGTCCTAGTTTCAGCTCTTCAACTATCCAGGTGGTGATGTATTCAGCGACGGTTACAACGGACAGTTCTCCGGAGCTTTCCCCATAGACATATTTAGTAGAATTTGTTTTATTGTCTGACGCTGTCGCATTCTTAATTTTCTGTGATGGATCAATACATTGAATCTGTTCTCGGTAATAAAGCGTCAGTAAACCGGCTGTGTCCGATGCGATGCGTTTAAGTTCTTCAATATTGCCTAGTGTAGAGAAATTCTCCCATTCTTTCTTCAGTTCCCTTTTATGAAGTCTCGATAGCATAGGACTCAGTATCGTTTTAATACTTTCCGACGTTAACTGTACTAAAGTAGAAATGAAAGTTAGCTTTGTTTATTTTCAATCAATCTACTCACATATGGGTACACTCATTGAAGCTATGTCCGATGCCAGAAATGGTCTGCCAAATTTCATGGATGCTTCTTCTTTTAAATAGCCACCTTGTCGTGCTAGAACACCATGAAAAACAGCCTCCAACAGACTTTCAATAGTACGATAGAACATCATTAAATTTGAATTTCCTTTGATAAAATTGATTGTTTTTTGTCGGGCTATTGTAGCTTCTTGTTGGCGTTGGAATAAGAATATTGAACACTCGTAAATAGTCATCTGCTGTTTGAGTGCTTCTATGGCTCTAAATAATTCTTTTCGTTGTATGGCAGTTAGATCTTGCTGTTTGAAAAGACGCTCATCAGCCTCTTGAATACGACTTTGTAAAGAAATTTTGCTTTCTTCCAAATTTTCAAGTTGTCCATTAATCTTGATTAATTGCTCCTTTGTATTTGTTTCATCTTGTTGAACGATCTTCACCACGTCTTGCTCATTCGTCACCTGCTGTAACTCTTGAGAACGTTTCACCATGTTCTCAGTTAAGCCAGAAAACAATTCGACGTACGTTTTAGGATCAGCTGGATCGAGTACAATCGGACTGTTGGCAATAAGATCGCTGAGACCACTCAAGAAGCCCAGCAAGACTTTCTGATGATGTTTACTCAATACAATATCGATACCGCCGGAAGGATTTAGTTCCTCATCCCATAGCACGTCGCGGATGATTAACTTGTTATAGTGAGATTCAAGAATATCTGAAATTTGAAATTGTTTAGCCTTTTTCGCTTGCTCGATTAATTCACCACATATGTGCCGTTTATGTGCTGTTGAATTGTAGCGCTGATCAATGAACTCTTGGATAATTTTAATGTGGCCATCACGAGATGCTTGTAGCAACGTTTCATAGTCGTGTTTGGTTTCATCTGCTTTTCCTTGATCCTTTATCAGTTCAGGCTCGGTCTCGTTCATTTTAATCAGCTCGACGATACGTACAAAGTTAAGATTCTCCGCCATTTGTAATGCTGTCTGACCAGCTTTGTTCGTTTGTCTTTTTGTCGCTGGATATTTCGTGATGAAATATTCTGCCGATGCATAGTCACCTAAAGCAGTGAATATCGACAAGGAATTCTTCTGTCAGAACACTTCATGTTTTCAACAGTTTTACCTTTTTCAATCGCTTGAATCAATGGATAGTTGCCATTTATATCACATATCGTTGGACTGCTACCACATTCACACAGCCAATTTATTAATTCTGTACTATAATATTGAACAGCATAGTGCAATGCCGTACGCTGCTGTTCATCTTGATAATTGAAGTCCACGCCCATATTTGCAAGTTTCTCTGCCATTTGTCGTTGATTGTTGACAATGGCGGCCAAAAACTGTATATTCAATTGTTCGTAAAGATAGTCAGCGATCTGTTTATAGTTCTTACTGTTTGCCAGATCAAGTAATGACATCGGTTCATTTTCGTTCAGATGCAAAAGTGATGCTCCAGACGAAATGAGAGTGTGTACAATTCGAAAATAATTCCCATGCTGAATTGTACATAGTAGTGCAGTTGAACCATGACAATTCTTTGAATCTATATCAGCACCAAGACGTTGGCATTGGATAACTCCATCTAGATCACCACTAGCAGCCGAAAAGCGCAGTCTTCGGTTGATTAAACATTGATTGATGCAAAATACGACTTCTGGTTTTAGCTGTTGAGACACAATAGGTTCGAGAATGATCGATTTTGAAGTAATCCAATTCAATGGCATCTTTGCACCATTCTCACAGAGAATCTGAATTAATTCGACATTTTGATGCTGTAGTGCTTCATTTAGATTATTTGTGTCGTGTGTGTCAACACTAGCTCCAACAGCAATCAGTTTCCTAACCAATTCAGGATCGTTCTGTTTCACAGCTTGGGTACATTCAAGTGACAGTCGATATTTGAGATAAGCAGTCAATTTCATAAACCTCTTCCTTTTTACCGTTTGATACGGAGAATCCGATGATGAATCACTAATTAATGCTTGATGAATATCCGCATTCTCGTTCAAAAGATAATCGACAATCTCGACGTTGTCCGATGCATTGCAAGCTCGGTATAATAAATCGACAGTAAGTGTCCCACTGGCAAGATGATAGGCTTTGACAAGACTTGCATCAGATTGATCGATAGCTTCAATTAATTTCTTATTTGCGATGTGTTGAATCATATTAGCAATTTGTTGACAACCAGCCACCATCTGTTCAAGTACTTTGCAGTTTGATGAGATGAGTACGGCAGCTTTTAATTGAAGGTCATACTCTTTTTCAGAAGCTAGGGCTACTTCGTATGGTGTACGATTCCCCTTGCGATAACAGATATCAGCTCCTTCGCCAATCGCTCTTTGAGCTTCCCACACTGAACCGTTTTTCGCAGCATCATGTAAATTACTGCTAGGATTTTTCGAAAACAGACTCTTGCCCGATTTACCTATTGCTCCTTCTGTATGCTCAGTAGCTGTAGGTATAGGATCTACCAATACAGGCGTTACTAGTTCGCATGTATCCAGATCCAAATCAGGCGCTTTTCCATGAGACGATTGTTCGATCGATTGGTCTACTGGAGGACAAATTAGTTGCTCGAGGAAACGAATTAATTTTTGGTCACCGAATTCTTCTTCTTTGTTTTGAGAAACGTTTACACGAGCAATATCCAATGGTGTTTGTTGCAATCGGTTTTTCGCCTGGTAATCAGCACCCCATTTGATCAGATACTGAACAACGAGTGTATGACGTTTGTTCGTAGCTAAATGTAACGCCGTCTGCCCATCATTATTAGGCACGTTCAAATTCAAATTCGGTAAGCCACGTAAATATTCAACTATCGATAGATAACCATTTTCGGCTACAATTGAAATAGGATAGTTGCCATTATGAAACTGTAATGTATAGTTAGCGTGCAAATGTTCGATCACGTATTGAACCAATCGTTGTGTACCTACTTCGCATGCATATTGCAGAAGTGTTCGTTGTTCTGATCCTTCGTGACAATATTGATGATCAATTTCAGCACCGTAAGTGACCAGTTGCTTCAATTCAGTCATAGTCTTTTCGGAGATGTCTTTTTGGATGTTTATGCGTGTGACGCAGTTCCATAGGCGATGATTTAATTCTGCTTGAATTAATTTTGCCACTTG